ACATGGGTATACATGGGTATACAGGGGTATACAGGGTATACAGGGTATACAGGGTATACATGGGGTATACAGGGTATACAGGGTATACAGGGTATACATGGTATACAGGGTATACAGGGGTATACAGGGTATACAGGGTATATGGGTATACAGGGTATACAGGGTATACATGGGTATACAGGGTATACAGGGTATACATGGGTATACAGGGTATACATGGGTATACAGGGTATACATGGGTATACATGGGTATACATACAGGGTATACATGGGTATACAGGGTATACATGGTATACAGGGTATACATGGGCATACATAGGTATACAGGGTATACATGGTATATGGGTATACAGGGTATACATGGGTATACAGGGTATACAGGGTATACATGGGTATACAGGGTATACAGGGTATACAGGGTATACATAGGTATACAGGGTATACATGGGTATACAGGGTATACATGGGTATACAGGGTATACAGGGTATACAGGGTATACAAGGTATACAGGGTATACATGGGTATACAGGGTATACATAGGTATACAGGGTATACATGGGTATACAGGGTATACATGGGTATACAGGGTATACATGGGTATACAGGGTATACATAGGTATACAGGGTATACAGGGTATACAGGGTATACAGGGTATACATGGGTAAACAGGGTACAGGGTATACAGGGTATACAGGGTATACAGGGTATACATAGGTATACAGGGTATACATGGGTATACAGGGTATACATGGGTATACAGGGTATACATGGGTATACAGGGTATACATGGGTATACAGGGTATACAGGGTATACAGGGTATACAGAGTATACAGGGTATACAGGGTATACATAGGTATACAGGGTATACAGGGTATACATAGGTATGCAGGGTATACATGGGTATACATAGGTATACAGGGTATACAGGGTATACATGGGTATACAGGGTATACAGGGTATACAGGGAGATAAACAATCTATTACTATTACATGAAGGATATATCTATTTGGCGTAAGCGTAACATGAAAGAATAACCAGGCGAACAGTGCTGAGCAGCCTGCCCTTATTCTCGGAATGATAAATGAAGGGATTGGGTACCAATGAATCTTTGCGATCTTCCTTGATCGCAGTTACTCCGAGACCCGCCGAGAACTCCGAGAATAACTTTAAGGCTTGGGATGGCTGGGGTGCGTTTTAATCGATGACCATCGATCGCCAAAAATTAGTCAAAATTTCTACTGTCAACTAAGGCCTAGGCTAAAGGTCGAACTTTTCATGCGACGAACCAAACTTAGTGAGTTAAGTGTCATTGTCACTAAGGACCAGGCAGGGTCCGCGGATCGAGGTCGGCCGATTGCCTCCAAATTTTCAGCATTTTTTCTCTATCAGATAAGATTACGATCGGTGGTATTTTTAGTAAAATAAAATTAATTTCTTAGAATTTTGACCACCCCCCTAGTTTTTGCTGCTATTTTGCCCACGTGAGACGGAAAATTTGGGTAAACTTCCACGACACATTTTACTTACTTGGCATTAGCCTTATTCATTTATACGAACTGTACATACTTTCCAGCCGATAACCAGCTCATGTCTTCAATATAAACGTATTTTGTTAAAAATAACTTACTTTGGAGCGGTTCCAAATATCATCACTTCGTGGCTATCGCAAGTAAGAAGAATTTTGGCAATTTTCCAATCTGGTTTTCTCTAAAGTGCGGCAGTTTATATCCAGATCAAAACTATTTTTTTTTAGCCTGTCATAAAGTCTTTACAAATACGCAAACTCTTATTTGGCAAGTTAAAATACCTTCGCGTGAGCTTTCTCACAACTTTAACCTAATTTCCTAATTTGCATAATTGTCGTTTTTCCCGGAAATATTTCACGCTTGATTAATTTGCGACATATTCCCGGTGTTTGTGACTAAGAGCAACACATTACTTTTTCAGATAGGTGGCCTGCATATTATACTATACTTCACTGTCAAACTCTTTGAAATATTGAGCGGTTCTGTTATTTGGTAGAAGTACACTTCAGGGAAAGATAATTTTCCATCCCTTATCTGATTATCTGCAGACAGCTGTCCTGTTCAGCTGATTTTGCTGTTTTCAATATGGATGTTAGTTTGACTTGTTCGTTCAGTTCTCCTGATTCTGCCTGTAGTTTGGAGGGCACGGGGTCACAGGTTGTACCCCTGTTGGCGTGCAAGCTAGACATTACTGCACATCTACTAAGCCTGGGAGTCAGCTCAGGGCAACTGCGAACCGGAGACGAAAACGTTAATGAGGTTGACCTGATCCTGAATAAAGCTGGATACTTTGTTACAACCGATAACGAGAAAATGTCAATGACAATATGCCCGAGACACAGAAAAAAACTAACTACAGACTGGGCTGGCAGAAAGAGCAACACATGCTCGTATCCAAGTCATCGAGGACCGCGGAAAACTATAAAGAAACCGCGCCGCGTAAACGCCACCTTGTCGGAAGAAATTTATCAATTTCACCAAGCCACAGTTCCCATTGGCTCGGGTAAGTACAAATCGGGTGCAGCCAGACCGCAGCCTTAATACTTAGAGTTGTAGTATGGACTTCACTGGTAAATACAAACGAAACCTTTATTTCGAAGGTACTTATTTTACTTTGTGCTTATGGATATGGTTAGTACATAAATTTTATTTCTTTATCGGAATATGCTAAGGGAACGAAGCAAAACGTAATCCGATGCCATTGCTTTTTGTATTTGAATGAGCTTTTCTCTTTTAGTCGACTCGTTTAAATATACAAAGGCATTGCCTAATTCTGTTGCATTGTCTGATATCCTTCTGACTTTTTCGGAAAAGGGGAGGGAGAGGGGACGTTGGGGTAGTGTTTCGAGGTGGATTGAAGTGGTAATTTGCTAATCAAGCACCCCGCCTGCAAGATGACGCCAAATGGGAGAGGACGGGGGAAGAGGAGAACTAGGAGGGGGAGTAGAGGGAATGGGAAGTTGGGTGGGGCTGCAAGGGACGCCCAAACACTCCGTATTTCACTCACCTTCCTTTCTTTAGCTGTTAAGAAAGCAAATTACCGCACTTTAATTTGGTCTTACGTGAGCGACACAAACTACAGTCAATGGACATAAGTATTCGTCACTATCAAAAATAACGCGCGAAATTCTTACCCGCGTTGTGCACACTACGCGGGGGAAAACTAGATGCGGAGCGCGACATCGGGCAATAAAGGCGGGAAAATTATGTAAAAATAAAAACAAACAAACATCCGACTAAGAGCAAGAAAAAAATTTCAAACTTCCCAAAAGGAAACGAACAAAAGCTGTTTGTGTTTTGACACATCGTGCAGTCATTTATTCAACAGTAACTGCAACGGGTGGTCGCAAAAAAAGATCACAGTTATTTTGTTTTGCTTCTGATAAACAATATTCAGCACTCGTGAGTCGAAAAAGTGCTTAACTGTCTGCAGAGACAAAAGAATTAATTGTTACTTTGTCAGAATCCGTGAAAAACAAAGCTGAACTGTCAAGACTGTTGAGCATTCTAAGAACGACTATCACAGGTGGAACAAAAGATAAATTTGATGATCTGGGGATGTTTTTGATATGATGGTGTTGGAAGTGTGACTTCAGTTGAAGGCAACAGCAACTCTGCCAAGTACATTGACATCCTAGAAAATAATGTATGGCCAGTAGTTGTTTAGTACTTAGGAGACAAAGACTACATGTTCATGGATGGCAATACGCCAGTTCACAGCGGAGCACACAATGTAAATAATTATAAAGGTAAAGCAAAGTACCCTTAATGGAATGGCCAGCACAGTCTCCAGATTTAAATATAATAGAAAATATTTGGCTTTACATCAAGAGAGAGTTACAAAAGTCCACTGAAAATATCGCTACCAAGAATGACCTTCTTCGTGAAACTGAGAGTGTGTAGCGGAAGATCCAATTAGATTGAATATGAAAGCTTTACCAGCCCATTCCTGATCGCCTAGACAATGTTATCAAAATGACGGGTCATCTTACCAAATACTAAGGTGATTTTAAACTTAAATTTACCGTAAACGAAGTTAAAACAGCGCGCGTAAACGCCGCCATATTGAAAGTGACGAATATATATGTCCCTTGACTGTATATTGATGATGGGTATGATAACGATAACCATAAAGACGATGGTGACGGTATAAAGGGTCAATCACGTTGATGGTGATCGTGTTGGTTATTGTTGTTAGTATTGTTAATATATTTATCATAATCATTTTTTATGACAGCTGTGTGTTCCAGCTGCCGTGGAGCACACTACAAATCCCATAAGGCTCACGGTTTCATGTCTGGAGAGCAGGTAAGCTAGTACACATTGGCCATTCACAGCTTAGTGTAACTAAGCATAGTGTAACTGACCATATAATCAGAGGATGTTTTGATACCGCCAACAGGTGCACTGATATCTATAGCAACTGACAACATGAATAACACGTACCTTTGTTGGTTTTCCTGTCTTTTCTTCAATGGGTAGCCATTTGGAATCGTTAAGGTGTGGTCGATTTCCAAGAGGCTTGGGTCCTAGTTATAATGATAGCCATGTCTAGAGTTTTCAGATCGCGCGTTGAGAACAATTACTCGACTACATCTGAATGTTTTCTGAATGACAAATTGGTCTTGACCAGTGCTTGAAGAGACCAGCAACAACAAAGATGCGAGGGCACCCTTTGGCAGCGGCTAGGAAACACATATAGAGTTTCCACAGTTACATGTATTGGAGATCTTTGTGGAATTGTTGACGATCTTGTCCATAATTTGCTAATCTATTTTATTACGCTTCAGGATCCTTACTCAGACACCTTGGTGATTGGAGACGAGATCGAGGAGTCTGATTCTGCCACTGTCTCTGTCATTACTGTTTGTGAGGAGAGCACATTGTCAGCCACGGTGTGTGCAGCGGTCTCAAGCACTGGTGAGGGGTTAGAAACAGTCTCTTTGCAGTTCCATTCGTCCCAAGCCTCGATACCAGACGAAGAGATTAGTTTATGGGTTGACGAGATGGAGGAACAAAACAGCAAACGGCAGAAATTAAACGAAGCTGTCCACAGCATCTCAGGTGGCCGCTACAGCCCCGTAATGTCCAGCCTGAACACGACCTGGGACGAAGTCTCCGACACCCAGCAGCGATATTACATCCGCAAAGCTAAGGAGACTATAGTGACTTTATTGTCTGTCATCACTCCCGGTCAAGAGGAACTGGTTTGGAAGGCGTTACAAACGGAGGTACTTTTGGATCCAAACAGAGACAACCAAGGAAAGTGCAAGCGTTTTGATCCCAATTCTGGTCTTGTCGACATTTTAGTCAATGCCTATGAGCAAGCAGGTCATTGGCAAACAAAGCGACAGATCCTTTCCCTCTTTGCAGACGACTTTTCAAGAGCTGAGCTTCAAGAGATGATCCCTGGGCTTTCCAAATGGCGCATCGACCAAGCTCGCCAACATGCAACAGAAGCAGGGAAAGGCCAGCCTCTCCCTGAAATTCCTAGTTTCCGTACAAGAATTGAGCATGAAAAGGTGGATCATTTCATTGAATATATCTCCAGACCAGAATTTGTCCAAGACGTGGCGTTCGGGACAAAGACTCTCAAGCTTGACTCGGGGGAGAAAATTGTCATACCAGCAGTCATTAGGACCGTCATTCCTTCACGCATCATCAGACAATATTTAGACTATTGTAAAGAACAAGAGTTCGAGCCGGCGAGCCAGCGTTCTCTCTACCGATCCGAATGATTGAAGTGTGTTCGGCCTCTATGCAGAAATCCCTTCAGGGACTTGACAACACCACTGCAGAGGGTACAGAGGCTTTTGATCAACTCTTTTCTATGTTGGAGGCCTTACCAGATCAGGGCATCAACGTTACTGCCACTCAGAAATTTCTAAAGGATGCAAAAAGGTACTTAAAGAATGATTTCAAGACACACATCGGACGAGGAGAACATTGCAGTGATCACTGCACGGTCCACGCACTAAGTGACAGTAGTGCATGCGAGTTCAGGGGCGAATGTGATCATAAACATTGCTACGAATGTGAGCGCTGTGAGAGTCTAGAAGGAGTACTGAAACAGGAGGCAGAGATGCAAGACAAAGCGGACATGACGGAAGAGGAGAGGGTTAGGTGGAGGTTTGAGTACACTGAGAGTGTGCGCAACATACAAGCGTGGAAGAATCACTTGCTACGGTCAAGTAACCAGGACGAAGCCAAGCAGGATATTCTCGAGAAGCTAGACGACAACTCGTGTCTTGTCGTAATGGACTGGGCAATGAAGTTTCTGCCTGTGCAATACAGAGAACACATGAGTGATTTTTTTGGCAAGAGAGGAAGAAGCTGGCATATCAGTGCAGTAATCACTAGAGCAACAGTGGAGAGCAAGCATGAAGTCGAGTGTTTTGTACACATTTTCAACAACTGCACCCAAAATAGCTTTGCAGTTCTTTCAATAATAGAGGACTTGCTGCAAAAAGTCAAACTGGAGTATCCAGGGGTGACAACAGCCTACCTCCGATCGGATAACGCTGGATGTTACCACAATGGGCCTCTCTTGTTAAGTCTTAGAGAAGTAGGGGTGAGAACCGGTGTCAGGCCAGTACGATATGATTTCTTCTTGATGAAGAAATTCGAAGAGGGTACAAGAACTGGAAACAAGGCCGATCCTGTACGGGTAGCGAGGGAGATGAAGACCCTCAGAAATGAGGACGGAGAGCCCACGTTTAAGCCTGAAGAGTGGAGGACTGCGCAGCAGATCAGTAGCCTGTTTTCACATCAGACAGCGGCGCTGCGTCATAGGGGTATTGATGCGGAGGAAATCTCGGAGGAAGACATCGAGGCTGCCGAGTCGGAAATAGCGTTTGACACCCTTAGAAGTTTGGTGATGGATGATATGGGCAAACCAAGCCATCCAATCATCGTGGGCATTAGCAATATCTGCGAACTTGTAAAAAACAAGAAGCTTGACTCACTCAAACTGGCAGCTCTGAAAGAAATCTGCAATCAGCTACACCTGACGACAAGCGGACCACTGTCAGGAAAAAAAACTTTCTTTGAGGCCATTCAAAAATTTTCTGAGAGTTGCACGTGTTTTCAAAAATAACGTTACATGGTTTTAGTAGGGAGGATCTCTATGCTTCTACCCCAATCTTCTCCATTGGGGCCTTTTAGATAGGTACAGGGAGACCCTTCGATAACAGGGTTTATAAATACTTGTAAATTAAAAAATCGTGAGCAATATAAGACTGCAAACTGAATGAATGCTATGGTAAACACAGTAAAACAAAAAACTGCAAGGATTTTTACATACTGCTAAACACCAGCTGTCCGTCGCTATGCTTGAATGCTATCATGGATGAAACCAATTCGGTTTTCTTCCTAGACAAAAGAGCAGTGCCGGAAGATTTCAGCAGCAATGCACACGGATTGATCAACTTTAGTAACGTTGTGTCAAATCTATTACGTTATAATGCATTAAGTTTCGACTCACTAATTTGCGCATCTGTTCGAATTGCATTTCCTCTGCCACGAATTGACTGTCATTTCGGCAGCCTGTTTGCCTTCCATCACACGTGGAGAAAACATTAACTCTGTTAGTCTCCAAAACTATTCACTACTTTACAAAACACAATCTTGAGCCTGTCTGGCATATTAATTTGCATGTCCATGTTTAGTGAAATGACAGAATTGTTATGTTCGCCCCAAATTTGTGGACTGTCAACGTCTGCAAGATCGAAACAACAATTAGTTTCAAAGACAAGAACCTCATAAAAATTAATAATTAATTACGTGCAGGGTTATCATCGCTTGTATATAATATCAACAGACAGGTGAAGTTTTCCCGGGGAAATTCGACAACATGCAAATTAGTTAAATTTGAAGAAAGCTTACGGGAGGGGATTTTGACCTACCAAATGACAAAATAGGCCGATGAACTATGGCCACTTACCTGAAAAAGTAATGTTTTTCTCTTAGTGATAGTAAAGAAGCCAATAAACGCCTGCAACAAGTCGCAAATCAAGTGTGAAATTTTTCCCGGAAAAACTACAACTATGCAAATTAGGAAATTAGGTTAAAGTTGTGAGAAAGCTCACGCGACGAGATTTTAACTTGCCAAATAAGAGTTTGCGTATTTGTAAAGACTTTATGACAGACTAATAAAAAATAGTTTTGATCTGGATATAAACTGCCGCACTTTAGAGAAAACCAGATTGGAAAATTGCCAAAATTCTTCTTACTTGCGATAGCCACGAAGTGATGATATTTGGAACCGCTCCAAAGTAAGTTATTTTTAACAAAATTCGTTTATATTGGAGACATAAGCTGGTTATCGGCTGGAAAGTATGTACACTTCGTATAAATGAATAAGGCTAATGCCAAGTAAGTAAAATGTGTCGTGGAAGTTTACCCAAATTTTCCGTCTCACGTGGGCAAAATAGCAGCAAAAACTAGGGGGGTGGTCAAAATTCTAAGAAATTAATTTTATTTTACTAAAAATACCACCGATCGTAATCTTATCTGATAGAGAAAAAATGCTGAAAATTTGGAGGTAATCGGCCGACCTCGATCCGCGGACCCTGCCTGGTCCTTAGTGACAGTGACACTTAAGTTCGTGAAAAGTTAGACGTCTGGAGTTAAGTTCGTCTGAATGAGTTTGGATCATCTAACACGTTCTATTGTTCTATCCAAACAGTGAAAGATTCCGGCAATTCTACATTTTTACAAAAAGGTCACTGAACTCTGCTAGTTGAGAACAGCAGAAAAACTTCGTTTCTGCATTCATTTTTCGTAATAAGAATAACATTTATTTATACCGCGCAAATTCAACTATACAGTTTTCAAATGCGCCTCAGATGCGCCTTAAAGATCTAAAAATATACCTTACAATTAAAGATCTAAAAATATACCGTAAAAAAAATATTACAACATTAAATTACAACATTATATCAGAAAAGGCTTTTTTAAAAAGGTCTTCAAATTACGTTTAAAAACTTGAAAATCGGAGGTGCATCTGAGATCTAACGGAAGATTATTCCATAGTTTTGGTGCGGCGGCGGCTACAAAGGCTCGGTCACCAAGAGTAGGGAGAGTCCTAAAGTTAGGATTTGAAAGCAGACATTTGTTATTTGATCAGAGGATGTAGGAAGAATTAGGTTTAAAATTAACGAGAGATGATAAATAATTAGGAGCTGTTCCATAGATTGCTTTGTGAGTGATTATAATAACCTTAAATTCTATTCTAAACGTCACAGGCAGCCAGTGTAATTCGTATAATATTGGTGTAATATGGCAAAACCGTGGTGCTAGATATAGAACTCTTGCAGCTGCGTTTTGAACGCGCTGCAGTTTAGTGAGGGCGTAGTGGGGTAGTCCGTATAAAAGTGAGTTACAATAGTCCAATCTGCTTCGTGAAAGCGTGCACTAATTTCTCGGCAGATTCTATGCTTAGATATTTTCTGACGCGTCTAATATTGTGCAGATGAAAACAAGCACTCCTACAAGTTTTGGTTATGTTAAAATTCAGGTTGAAATGGCAGTCAAACCAGGCCCCTAAGTTTCTAAGGGGTTCCGTGCTAGGAGAGATGATGGATTCGCTAATAGTTAGAGTGGCGCTTTTAGTTTTCTGTAGCTGCGCCTTCGTCCCAATGAGCATAAACTCAGTTTTGGAATCATTGATCATGAGTTTGTCATTGATAATCCAGCTACGGATGTCACAAAGGCACGCTTCCATAGCTGCAATGGCGGCGTCTTGATCGGAATCATCGTTTGGATTGAATACCAAATAGATACCGGTATCATCGGCATAACTGTGCGCCGTTGGCAAGTGCTGGCTAATGACATAAAAAAGCTCACTAGTGTAAAGGGAGAACAACATTGGGCCGAGAAAAACAAAATGCAAAGAACAAAATGTAGAACAAAATGCAAAATTGTTACCTTTTTTGTCTATGCTTGTCGTTTGGCATAAAAGATAACAAAAGGTACCTTTTTTGAAGAACATATTCAGGTATTTTCAGCTTTCGAGTGAATGATATTTTGACGTCATTATTGTCCGCTCTTCATCCATTTCTCACTTTACCAAACGATGTTTTAAAGCCCGAAAGAGGCACCTTTTCTTCGGTTTCAAGCGATCACATGAAAGGTACCTTTTTTGCAGTTGAAAGTGATGTTCTCAGAAGCACGAAAACGGTACCTCCAAAAATATAAAATAGTGTTTTCTAGCCATGGAAGGCCATTTAAAATCCTACTGATTGACATATGTCAACCGTTTGATGCCATTTTATGAATTTTTTTGTTTGAATTTACCGATTCACTAGTCAAGAGATAAATATTCGCTGTTTGTTCGCTAAGTTTGAAGCCAATATTGCTGAGCTTGACACTGTAACAGTGTCAGGTCGCAGTTTTAAAATCTATTCCCGTGTGCTTGATTTCGGCATAACTGTCAGCCATCTTGATCAGTGTCGGAGTCAGGAAGTTGAAAGCATTGTCACTGGTTCAGTGGTTATCAATGAATGACAGGTGTCAGTTGTAAGTAACCTGCATGAAGAGAAGCCGGGTCAGGCTCTTGTGCATTTAAAATGCTTTACCTTAATGCTCCATTATTTCGAATAACACGCTCACCCTAAAAAAATTCACTAAAGGGAGCGATGATGCGATGATGCGATGATGATATGTATAAGTGTTGTATAACAACAATGTATTCTAAAAGACAACTGTCCAAACGAGGGTATTTGAATTTTTTTTCGTTTCGAATTTTGAGAGTTTATTTTCTATTTGAAAATTTCTAATTTTCATTTTCTCTGAAAAGAAAAGAGAAAGAATTTCCGGGAAATTCCACCAAAGTTCTCGAAAAAATTGCTGGCATGCTGTACAAAAGTCTAAGAAGAAGAAAGCTGTTCAGGCTTACTTTCTTGTTTAGTTAGGGCGTGTCATAGCAGTCATAGGTACATGTATGGTGGCAGTTTTTACTGTTAATGGCTTTACTTCGGCCTGTAGCTCAAAAAGCATCTGAAGTTAAATTATTTAGTTTACATCATAGCAAACAAAAATAACCCCAGGACTGAAGTCTCTAATAACCTTTCTGGAGTGAAAAACATCACCCACGAAACAAGACAGTTATTAAAATGACCCGTTCGGAAACCGCTAGGTTTAAACTTAAAAAAAAAAAAGAAAAATGAACACCTCTGCTTTTTGTTGTAGATCGAGGTAGATTTTTTTGTCAATTAAAATGGTTTGACTTTTCATGTAGGACTTCTTTCAGGTTAAAGTATTTGCTCCACGCTTAAAAATGCACTTGCTGACCTCCTCTTCTTGCATCTAGTCTTAAAGTACCAGAAGTTGTTACATTTTCAGGAGCCATTTCATCCACTGGGCTGGTGGCCAGGATTTTAGGATTTCTTCTAGTTTCTCGCTTTTGATCTTGGCTAAAAGAAGCAAGTTAATTTTTTTTACTCCTTCTTATACCCCTTGTAGATCATTTCAATTTTAAGAGAATCACCTAGAATCCCTTAAAAAAAGTCTGTGCATCGTTCATTGAAGCTCAAAATGTGCCAACGGTTGACTTCTGTCAATCAGGAGGATTTTCAATGGCTTCCTAAAAGCTTGAAAACACTATTTTTTGTTTTAAAGACTTTAAAAGTACCATTTTCGCGCTTTTGAGAACATCACTTCCAACTGCAAAAAAGGTACCTTTTTGCGCTATGAGATCGCTTGAAACCGAAGAAAAGGTTCCTCTTTTGCGCTTTGAACATCGTTTGGCAACTTGAGAAATGGATTAAGAGCGGACAATATTAACGTCAAATTTAAAATATCATTCACTCGAAAGCTGAAAATAATTTTTTCAGAAAAGGGTACCTTTTCTTAACTTTTGACCTAAACGGCAACTGAAACGTAACAATTTTGCATTTTGTTCTACGGAAAATGAATGCAGAAACGTAGTTTTCCTGCTGTTTTTAACCAGCAGAGTTGGCCTCAATGTAAAAAAGTAGAATTGCCGGAATCTCTCTGATTCTTTCCGTCTACTTCAGGACCTTCAGACGCATAGAATGTCTGAAGATTGTTTCCGGGGCAAACGTCGATCCTATCATCACATGCGACGGAACTAAAATAATGGGGGATAAAAAAAAATGTATGATTAACAACAACAACATCAACTTTATTATTTTGAACAGATATATACACCAATATGGGGAATAAGAAACCCTTATGGGCTTTTACAAGGTTCTTTTATTAATTATTTGCTATTTGCAGCGTATTTACCATATGCACCGTAATCTAACTATAAATGCAACTATAAATTAATTCAATTTTACTAGCATACTGCTAAGCATTGTCTTAACACCGTTGTGTCAAAAGAGTCGTCAAAAGATACTTTTTTAATTTCTTTTTCTTTATTGTGATATCATGTTCTTTAATTCCTATGGTCTCTTCTTCTCTCTATGTTTTTTTTTAATTAAATTATTTGTCGTTAAAGGCTGTCTTTCAGAGACTTTTGGACAGAGACACTATCAGAGTTCTCTTGACACCAACTAAAAAAACCTAAATAGCTGGAAAGTTTCCCGGACTTCTCTTTCTATATTTTCTAGTTCCCGCGTTCCTACTGACTGATGATTGTGAGGAGAACTTAAAGGATGAACGCACTGATGACCAAAAGGGAAGTCAAGATGGCTGGATATTGGTTAATTAGTTTTTTGGCGTTTTAGGGACCGGATATAGCTTTGTGAGTACCCAGCATGCACTCTGTGGAGCGTGGAGCGCAATCACGATCACGTCTGAGAGTTGAACAAGTTAAGATGTATAGCTCGGCAGTTCATTTATCCCCCATAGCGTTTAATTCGTAAAAATTGAAATTGTTTTACAAAGAAACTGAAGTTACTATTTTTATTAGGTGCTGCTTCTCTGTAAAGAAACTGAACTGAACTAAACTTCCCTTGTATACCAGGGACTTCCCTTAAAAGGCTCTTGAAAATCGGAAATAGTGGGCGTTGGATTTACAAACGTTATCAGCGGTCAGCTGAGTCAGTGTTCCTTAATATTTGCTATAAGAACAGGCAAGAACTGATCGACTGCAAACCACGTCGAATTGATCGTGGGATAAACAACTATGGCACAGAGATGGAGAAAGTTAGCAACTGCTGGAGGATTTAAAATTCAAGACTACGTGGATAGCGAGGTTGAACCACACAAGCTAAGGGAAATCGAGCCAGAGCTTTTCATAAAGTTCTTGCGAATTCCTTCCCTGAAAACCTACTCAAGTTTGACTAAAAGGCTGAAAGGTTGTCCAGCGAAATGGCTGACCGAATTTTTGCTTCTAGGCGGGCTTTCCACGCTATTCGAGGTTCTCGAGAATCTCAGTCAGAGAAGTATTGCAAAGTTTTCTGATGCATTTCTTCAACTTGAATGTGTTCGATGCATTATGGCCGTCATGAATAATGCAGCTGGATTGGAGTTTATTATAAACAACCCTTACTTAACAACTCAGCTCGTTTCAGGTAAGTGAATGATCATGACCTGTAGATCTAATATTTACTTATAAATGATTATTAACATTTTTAATTTTAAAGCATCCAATTAAAATTCTCTCTTGTTAAAACTGAGATCGTAAATGCTAATTTTCACCGCTATGTGTAAATAGCACTTTATCAGGCATAGTAGATTTCTAATTATGATAGCTTTCGATCAGTTAAAGGGGGTGTAACCAAAGTTTACTCAGCTTTCCAAAAACCAGAGGGAAGTGCTGATAACGAGGCCTGAGCATGAGTTTATTAGCGAGTTAAAAGCTGGATCAAAGACTCATGTAAAATATGAAACAAGCTATGTTTCTTTAACCACTTTCAGATTAGCATTTCTAATAGGTAATCAGTTCTAGTACATTTTAAGCGATCCTGTTTTAACGTAACATGCGCACGCGTTCCTTTAAAATTGATACAGAAAACTGGAATTGTTTCCTCTCATGAGAACTGACCACGACTCTTACATGCAAAGTTTATTGCCAAATTATCACTTAACAGGAAAATGCCTTCAAAATAGACCATCTGGTCTGATCTTATCATGTGACCATTCGCAAACAAGTGCCGAAAAACGGGAAGAAAGCGTCTCTCCAAACAGGCTAAGGAAAGTTCAGTGAAAGTTATGCTCAGGTTCTAGTTGGTAAACAGAATCGCGTGCACGGCTTTTTAAGGACCTGCTGTCACCAATCAAAAAGGATATTAATATCGATCAGATTAGATATTACGGACTGGTGAACCATGTACCGTAAAAATAGTCTTGCTGCTGACACGTCCTAACCGGTTCTTAACGTAGTGACGATCCATAGGAAATCCATAGGATTTCTAACAGTTTTCTGCAAGAGGAGTTGAAGGCTAGACACTGAAAAGTCTGCGAAGTGAAATACGTGAACGCTTGCGCTGTTCGGGCGGAAAGAACAATTTGTTGTTTTTCCTTCTTAAAATGGCACATAAGAGCTCTTGAATCAAGATAGCAGTCGACAATTTACATTTACATATTTTTCAGACTGGGTAGCTTTTTCAGTTCAATATCGCTAGGCCTTTCGGGGGTGTTCCGCGGTGTGTTTCGGGTGTGTTCCGGTTTTCCGGGTTTTAGTACATCCGCCGGTGAGGCGGATCGTTACTGTCAAGAGAATAATCTCATACTTGTGTTAATGATAGAAACCCATTTTTAGACAGCAGTGATAAGCATAGAAACGATGTTTCGCCGTTTTTGTTGAAACACATTTACAATCTTCGTTGTTCATGATCAACAGATTATATTTTTTTAGTAAATGAAACGAACAAGAATCTAGCTCCGGTAATCAACTAAGCACTTTCAGTGCGCGCTTCTCTGGGCAGTAATAGCAATATTTTTTTTTCCAGAAAACTGTCTGTTAAAGGAGCTTACTACCGATCAATCACGAGTAGGATCTTTTCGCCACTGAGAGAGCTATCGAAAAGCTTCTGAACTCGTAAGCGAGAACGTGCCTGACTACAATGCACGGTGCTGCACGTACAAACACTCATAAAGTTAAACTGAATCGACAACTCATGAATTCTTCCCGGACGACTCTCAGTTACTACGACTTCAGCTCATGAAACTGAATTCTTCCCAGACGACTCTTAGTTACTACGACTTCAAGTAATTTGATTTGGACGGTCTTGTCGTTACAAGCAAACTCTAAAAATAGTGCCGGGGCTAAGTTAAAGAGTCTTATGACAGAGGACCACACACTAGTCTCAGTTTCACGTGAAAGGCTTGATGCATGCCGGATGTACCGAGAAATGTATATAAGCGGTCCTAGAGGGTGTCTAAGCTCACAGTGAATGACTCGGTTTCAGTACAGGGAGTTAAACTTAATTCTTTGCTTTCCTTCAACGTTTGCGCCGAATCGACTTAGCGTTTTACACTATTTGCGTTTTTCATTTTTTTTTCTATCCAACCAATCAGAACACAGAAGTAATTATTTGCTTCAGTAAAACTCCTTGTCCACTTGAAGTCAACACTAGAAGAACTGATCGATGCCTTACTGGCAAACTGCTTTTAAGTATAAATAGTTCGTCTCGACATTCAGATGACTTGATGGCTGAAATCGCTCCATGAATAAACATTTTTATCAACAACACTCAGTGGACTTGAAAGCGAAAAATCTCAGAGCTACAACGAAACCGGCAGCGGAAACAAAACTTGACTGAGCAAACTTTAGAATATTCCAGCTGAATTTCAGATCCTGGTAGGCCAGCTTAAGAGCACTTGCCCACAATTTTGCGACACGGATAACATCAAAAATGGCGACGTGGCGAAGAGTGTCGCTGAAAGTTGGTCTAGAAATCAATGACCAAAAAGATGGCGACTTGGCTGACCTTCAAAATTTAAAGGATATCGAGCCTGAACTATTTATCAAGTTTGTTCGAATTCCGTCGCTTAAAAACTACTCGAGTTTAATTGCAAAACTTGCAAACTGCTCGAACGAATGGCTGACGGAGTTTTTGACGCTTGGTGGGTTAGCTTCGTTGTTCGATGTCCTAGCGCAACTTGGCGAGCGTGGTTTAGCAAAGTTCTCCGATGCTTTTCTGCAACTTGAATGTGTCCGATGTATTAAGGCTGTCATGAATAATGTTACGGGATTGGAATTTATGGTTAACGATTCTTCACTAACCAGACAGCTTGCCACGGGTAAGTAAAGTTATTTTCTTTCTTTCTGTTAATATTTGGTGTTGTTCTTGAAGAATGAAGTCAATTAACGGAGATGAGATTAGAGGGCGCAAACGGAATGAAACAATATTAGCGGAATGATTTGTTTTCTTTGTTTTTTGTTTCGAAAGGCGGATAATCGAATTTTCTTCAAAGTGAAACATCCAAAGATTCCCCTAAGTTTAAAATTTATAAACAATTAAGTATCCATGAATTTTAAGTCAATCGATTCGAATAAATGCAAACAGATGTCAGCTGCCACTTGAGAAGCGAGTGGCCTTCTTTAGAAGACTGACCTGTCACTCAAATCAGTGAAAGAGTGACTTGAAAGGTAAGGCGGAAAAATAATACATCCAAGATGAACTTGTCGAAGAGAGAATAGCGTTCGAAATTGTAATTGTTGCGCGCGCGCAAGTACACTTCTTCGAGAAACAATGTGTGACATTTTCGACATTAATGGATTCTCAACAAAGTGGTGCTTTCAAAATAGTGAAGAGATAGAGTCCCTTTCAACTATTCACTCAAATATCTGTAGATTTAACCCACCCGTTCTTTTTGTTGTTGTTACTGCAGTTAACCATTTGATAGTTTTTGCGATAGTCAAACCTTTTTGATAAATTAGTCCAATTAATATCAAGCCGAGAGGCAAAAAACGCAGTCGTGTAAACAAAAGATTATTAACATGCGGGTGTGGTTAGTGAACTGTATCATAAACATGCAAATACTCTTCAGAAGACCACAAGACAAACGCAATACAACCCGATCAAACGTAACACTTAGGAAGTCGTAACATTGTTCCTGTTGTTCACGAGAAACTTCCATCCCTTTCAAACCCCAGCATTTCCGTCCATGACGTGGATCTCAAGTGGCCATTCCAGGGTCTTTGAGAATTTTGCGCCCGCATTAAATTAAGCAAGCAGCAAAGAAGTTCTCATTAAAATATTTGTGATAACTGTATACTTGCGCTTCAAACTTGTGTTCATGACAAATCATTTGATTTAAATTTTAAGGTTTTCGGTACCAATGCTAAATTTATAAATCTCTCAAAAAACCTTATTACCGCGCACAATTTTCGTGTGATCTTAGCTTATTTTACTCACTAGCCACCTCAAAAGTAGCTAAAAGTACTAAAAGAAAGGTTCCTGTTAAGTTTATGATTAAGGGTGGATTCATGTGCAACATACGTGTATAGATGTCGCACTTGCCCGCTGGAATTTTTTATTGTTTTGAAGCCTAATAATAATAAAATATTCCAGCGAGAAAATGAGACACCTATAAAAAGATAAAATGGCAAAAAGTAGATTGAATTGTTTTTCCTCAACTTCTTCTCATTAGCAATATTTCCTACACAAAACACGCTTTGATAGAATGTTGAATTAAAGTAAAAAAAAAAAAAAAACACTGCAAAAAACCGTGTACGATCAATCTTGTGCTACGTATACGTCGGATCCAAAAAGATCGTGATCAGTCCAAATAGATTAAATTGAAAACGTTACAGTCAAGAAGACTTTTGCAGGGACTGATCAAACAACGTGAAATAGAGTTTGGTTGCGATATTTCGACTGGCCAATACCAGTCTTCATCAGGTTTATTGAGATATTACAAATTTACAGAAATATCTATGAAGTAAAATATTGACCGGAAATTACATAATACATGTATGACGGGTATGGTGTGGCTACAAAGCACGTGGAGCCCACCTTATCCATAAAGCTAAGAAAATTGAGCCTCTGGGCATCAATAAACGTTATGAACTGTAACTATATATAGTATATCTTTTATTTTTTGTTGTTATATTGTCTTTTTAAAGTAGCCACACCATACCACGTCATATTATGTAATTTCTGGTCATTATTTTTGTAAATTCGTGATACCTGATGAAGACTGGTATTGGCCAGTCGAAATATCGCAACCAATCTCTATTTCACGTTGTTTGATCAGTCCCTGCAAAAGTCTTCTTGACTGCAACGTTTTCAATTTACGGCTTTGATAGTCTACGCTAAGGAAAGTCATTGCCCTTTTTTGGTTTGTAGGCCTGTTTATAGTACCGCCTGTCCTTGACCAGTTAAAGAAGATTGTTCCAAGCCAGCGTTAGTGGTGAACATCCATATATGGAAAAAATCCTTCGAGTTGTTTTTTTGGCCAAAAGAAATTTTCGTTGCGAAGCCTGGGCTGTCCAGTCAATCATGGCCGAAAGCAGGTCAGACTAATGCATCCAACTTTGAATACTCTTAGGTGAAAACAGCCTTGTCCAAACGAATCACAAACAAATCACCTGTTTCACACCAAATTCACACGGCTGGAGAAGATTAATGTTGATCGCTATTTCATTTTAAAGTCTACAGTTGCAACGTAAAAATAAATAAAGTAAAAAGCAGATCCTAATGATACCCTACATGATGCATTATATACATGTATACATCCCCACAAAATTTACCTCAGTTTAACTATCATCCAGTATTCAGTATAAACCGGCTGAGACGGTATCCCTTAATCTAAACACTTACCGAAGACAAAAAGTAAATGTAAGCTTAAATTTTCATTGCTTTCATTTTTATTGTTTAACACAAGATATTAGGCAAGTATCCCTCGGATCAAGAACAAACTATGACCCAGAGCTAGAATGCGAGTAAAGCCACTGTTTTCTACAGTTTTAATTTTGTATTGATTTCTCTTTTGATAGATAAATCATACTTTTAGTCAACTTCTGCTATTATCTGGACAGTTAAAGCGGTTATGTGACGCTATTTGTTGTCTTTTTAAAAAGCTAAAACGTGTCGGAAACGGATGGCAAGGCCAGGATGGACATGGAATGAAACTTGAAAAAGTTGGGCCAACCTAACTTTTCAAGTTTTGATGCGATGCCTTCAAAATTCTCCAAAAAGAATTATCATGTTTAGTGCTCCCATGTAACATTTGTTCACTTCTTCATAACTTTACAGAAGCATTTTTTGTATAGGTAAAGGAACAAGAAAATTACTTAAGCACAGAATTGACCTAAATCCCCGGAGAGGGCTACTCCTGGGAATTCTTGGTGGGGATGTGCCGCCCGGTTCTCCAAATCCTGACCCGATTTCAGACAAAAAAATGTCATTTTTCACATCCGTTTTCAGACCAGACCTCTAGAATCCATAGCCATTTTCAGACCTGGCCTTTAGGCAGAAATTATGTCATCATTACTTATGATTAGAGCGCAAACAAAAAAATTCTTCAAATCCATTTCGAATTCGCATATTTCTCTATCTTTCCGTACTCAGATCATTTAGAATTGAAACAATAAATACGTTCATACACTCCCGTAGTTCCCTCGAAAACCATACCCGATTCCAGACCAAAACGGGCAAAATCTATAACCGTTTTCAGACCAAAAAAGGCGCAAAAACCATACCTTTTGTGGCGGCACATACCCTGCTGATGATGACTCATATAAGGGATTAACCCCCAGGACCTAAAAACAGCAATATCCTGGTAACATAGCCCCTTTAGGCTGCAGGCAATTGTTCCTCTCTGCTGTCGAGTGTCGTGCTCCTGTCTATCGATGTCTAGCTCCCCCCTTGTTTCATTCATTATTTATTTATTTTTGTTCCCAGGTGAGAAACTATACTGTTTTTCAGTTTCACGACCTTTATACCTATTTTGGCAAGTTATTTTGCCGGCGGGCACCCTTATCTTTAGCCGAGGGACAAAGGTAGAAGTCTTTGTTTAGTCCGTGCAATTGAGCAATGCCGGTTCCTTTATTTGGGATAGTGAACTGCGAAATTCAGTTTTAACTCGCTTTAAGTGCTTCATTTCATTTAAGGCGATGCTTCTACTCACCAGCTCCTCCGGCAGAAAAAACTCTGCCAAATGTTATCAGCATGAAAAGTGCGGGGTCAACTGGTCTTCTTGACCTGTTCCTTATCTTTAAAGTCAAGCAGCTGATGGTGTTAGATAGATCTCTTCCCGGAGGAGGTGTACTCAACAAATATTTATACGGGGAGGCTTCGCCCCTCTGCCCCGAGCTCCAACCCCGTAGGCTTTCATATACCATTTGGCTAAAAAGGTAATCCTTTCGTATTTCTTCTTCTGACGCCCCGGGAAAACGGAGCGTATAAGACAAACCAACCACGTGACTGACAAGCGACTCGAACGACTCAACAAAGAAACCTCTTCTCGCGGGGTAGTTACTGATTCGACCCACAGAGCTAAGTTAAGACCCTTGAGCAATAGATATCTATAAACGTGATCAACTGTCAGTACTGTGTAACTATATATCACTAGCATAAAAATCTATATTTCATTTTCTTTTCCCACCATATCACGTCATATGCAACGTCTGATCAGAATCACTTATGTTTCGGAAAATCAATGATTTGTGTTAACCTGAAGAACACTGACAGAACTGACTCACGGAAGGATCAAGTAATGCTCAAGCCAAAATTAGAGAGAGAATACGTTGCATGATACCTGTCTAAAAATTGCCTCTTTATTTAAAATAAAATCGCTCTAATCTGTAAGTGGTATAAGATCAGGAGACATGATAGGCGTCTAAAATTACCTTTAGAAAATGTTGCCGGTCCACATGCCGCAGACGTTTTTTCTTTTCTTTTCTTTTCTTTTTGTGACAAAGTTTTCGCGCGCAAAAGCGAACGCGGAGCATGCACGAGCCAATGGTAATTTGCTTTTCCTGGAGAAAGGAAGTTCACTCCCAGTGATGTCTAAAGACCGTCTATTTTCTCATTTGTCCACCCCCACCCCGCTCGCTAGTGTTCAATAACCTCACCCCCTCTGTTTTTGTTTTCACACACGCGAGCGAGAAAACAGGCTATAGGAAAAGAAGTCGTTCCAATCCGTAAGAAGTACCTGCTAGCTCATTTCCTCAAAGGGGTTAGTAGGATTGGTCGCTTTTGAGCTTAAAGAATTTCCTGGGTTAATTGTCGTGACCTCTTTTCGCCGTCTAAGCCGCGTTAGGTTCTAAACTGGAATTGTTCATTCTTTTCCACATACAGGGGCGTACTTAGAGCTACGTTTTGTCAGTAGAAGAACTGTCATTGATAAACAAAAAACAAAAACATGAAATGAAAGTAAAGGTTAAAGGGGGTGTAATTGATATCGTCAATTGGAAAATGAAATGCGCTTTTTTCGACACAGTATCAATATCAAACAGAATCGAAAAGTCACAAAAAATAGGTATAAAAAGATAAGAAATCAAAAGATGAACGATTGATTTCAGAACTTTTGCTTCTATCTCAGAATGACTCAAGTATGATCAGCGAAATTAAATGAAGTTATGAAGGAAGAACGGCTTTACAAGCTTCTTGTTAGTACTTGTTACCAAACTCCAAATTAAGAGATCGGCCTTCGGATCACGTAACAAACCATGATTTGATGGAAACTCACGTGCGCTTGTCATCTTAATTGCTCAGCACAAACAAAAACATGATTTTTGGCTCTTACTTCGAAGCCTGAGTACACACCTGATATGTCCTTAAAATATAATATTGGCCAATTTCAACCTCACCCATAGAGAAAAAAGTTTTAACTAAGATTCTATAAGCGACTTGCAGTCGTAATTTTGATGGTACGTGTTTTTCAGCGGGAGTTGACATTTCCTCCTGAGACCTCGTTATCAGTTTCCTGACCTATCTTCTAGAACCTTTGATCGAAGGGCGTTGTTGTTTTGATGGTATCGAGGTTCGTGACCATAGAATCCTCAACCTACTTGTGGCTATTGTTTGCTAAAAATACCCGCTTAGCATTGATTAACTGTGCATGTGATAATGTTAATGCCCGTGTCCACGATGTCTAATCTCTATACTGTACCGCTAAAGAAAGTTTTTCACCTGCACTAAAACTTTAAAGTTCAATTATGGAAAACTCCAACTGGCAGCGCCTACGAAAGTTGCCCATTTTCCAGCAAAATGTCAGGAAATCAGCTCCACATCAAGGACAATTCAGCGATATCGACCCCGAACTGTGTATAAATCTGCTCCGTATACCCTCTCTAAAGAATTTTTCGGCGCTTCACCCAAAACTCGCCAAATGTTCGTCCGAATGGATGTGGGAATTTCTTTCCCTTGGAGGGCTAGAGATACTTATGAACGCTCTAGAGATTCTTTCAATGCGTCTTTCCGCCGAATCTGGGCATTTCGTTTTCATGGATGCATTTGTGGCAGTAGAATGCGTTCAGTGCATCAAAGAAGTTCTCAACTCTCACGCCGGCGTGCAATATTTTGTCTCCTCTCCCGATCTTGTTAGCCAGTTGGCGTACGGTAAGAGAATATATAATTCTAGCAGAAGATGTATTTTACTATATCGATCTGACCAAATAACCCTAAATCTTGTTTGCAATAGTAATTAAGAAGAAATTGCCTTAGGGCACTCAACCTTTGGGTGTCGTTGAATTAGCGCTGTTTTACAGTTTCAAGGATCTCTGGTTTTTCGTTTCTGAGTACAGCTTGTGTGATTTTTCCTGTCTAAACTGCCCGTTAATCCTTTTGTTTTCGACAAGAGAGAAAGACTAATTTAAACTACAATGTGTTACTACGTGGTCACGAATATCACCTTCGATGCCGGCGAGCGGTTGCATGAGACCCGTGAATGTAATTTTTACGCCACCAAACTTAGCAATGACCACAAAAATCTACCGATTCTAAATTGAGGGCAAAATCGCATTGAAGTTCTCTATTTACACTTGATAATTGTTCTATTTATTTTAGTTTCCGGTGTTAATGCTGATGTCGTATTGCGACGTATACGTCTGATTAGGAGTTTTTGTGTGGTCTGTTACAGTGAGTACAACACACTGTCTACTGCATATGACGACAGTAAAAATTTCTAATTCTAGAAGTCTAGATATGTGTGAGAGGAAAAATAAGTATTGGAAAGAATGTCTTACTTGTTTGATAGCGTGATCTGTTCAAAACATTGCGTGCGTGATTACGTGACCTGGCTTTAGTGGACAAGTGGAAACACTTCATTAAAACATCACGAATTATTACAAGGTTTCAAGTTGCTGCGGTTCGATTGCTGCTGTAATTAATCGCATGTTTGATTAGTAGTCTAACAGTGGCAAAGAGCTATGTTTTAGACCAAAAGCGTGTGTTAAAGCGTTTGATAGCGTGATCTGTTCAAAACATTGCATACGTCAAGGTTTCAAGTTGCTGCGGTTCGATTGTTGCTTTAATTAATCGCATGTTTTATAAGTAGTCTAACAGTGGCAAAGAGCTATGTTTTAGACCACAAGCGTGTTTTAATGAAGAGTTAAGTTGTTGTTGTGAGTTGTTAGTGACGCAAGCTGGGTGCCTATCAAATTATTGTTCTTTGGCAACAGTTCAGTTATAACATAAGAAAGGTCTATAAACACAAAAACACGAAAACAAAACAAACAAGAGAACAAAACAAAAGAAAAGGAAAAAAGGACTAAAGAAAATAAATACAAAGAAAAAAAAGTAACATATAATAAAAGCCAAGCCTCAGGTTGTGCGCATGCCTAGTTATCTTAATTCTCTTTTTTGACTAAAATAAATTCCACTTCCCTGAATCCTTTATCGGTTTTAGCTCAAAATACTTTTGCGCTTTCCTGTCTTTATACACTATTCATCACCATTCATTGCAATTAGTGGCTGGCAATGCAGAATGCTGCCTTTGTTTCCTGGGTGAATTCTAATGATTGGCATTTAATGGTCCGTGCGCCACGGGACCACCAAAACTACCTGTGAAATGTATTCCGTAGAAATTTAACGAAGATGTCGAGCACCGTGGCGAAAAACAAATGGTCGTCTTTACAAAGACATTTCAATAGCGGAGAACACATTTTGTTTCTTTCGAGCGAATCTTCTCCAGAATATTGCGTTCGATTGTTGAAATACCCGTCTGTTCAAAACTACTATGGTATGAGAGGCAAGCTGATGTGTTCTTCGAACGACTGGATGGCAGAATTTCTTGAAAATGATGGGATGGAAGTTTTATTGGGCGCTTTGGAACGATTAAGTTCTCGAAAGTTGTTTGTTGACGCTGTTATGCTATTGGAATGTACATGTTGCATTAAAACGGTTTTGAACTCCAAAGCTGGACTGGAATTCATGATTGGAAATCGCGACTTCACACGAAGACTTGGTCGAGGTTAGTAATCTTCTTGTAGCGTTTGGTATCACGCAGTTTTGTCCAGCGGGTTCTTTTTAAAGCATGTCTTTGTATGTCCACCGTATTTTATTGTCTATGTTGCGCCCGTTACTCTCACACCGATCGACCAAAGTGAAGAAAATTTCACTAACACGGAAATTATTTTAAGCATTGCTTCTTGCGCTTCATTATGTGGTCAATACTGGGTTTAACTCGGTGTTCAAACCTGTGAAATTTTTCTTTGTTTTCTAGCTATTATTTTTCTTGGCTCTATTGTGTGGTCTTCTCAGGTTCACAGTTTGTGTTTTAGACACTTCGTTTTACCTCCGGTCAGCGCTAACGACAGAAGAAAAATTAAAGTAAAGTTAATTTTTTAAATGGTATGTCTTGAACTGCATTGTTTGGCCGTAACGATTTCCACGCGAATGAAAAACAGAGATTTGCATTTGAACACAAAAAATTGTGATATATCATTCTCTTACTTTTAAAAATTTACAAATGTTGGGTCGCAATTGTCAACGTTACCCTATGTTATTTGCGGGGCTCTTGTTAATTATGAGAATTATATTTGATAACAACAGGTGTAACAATTAGATGTCCCCAGGTTATGTAGCTGATTATAGCTGTAAAAGACAACATGTTTTGCTCAAGGTGATATACTGCGTATGTAACAATAGGTTTTGAGATCTATGGAATCTCCTTCGACGCAGTTTTGGTTTTATAATCGCCCGCTTTCATGAAGAGAGAGAAATTAAACAGCGTAGATTAAAAAAATGATGATTAAGCGGTATTTGCAGTCAGGCAAAATACATCAAACATTTATAGTTAGCAAAATTTGCGGTTATAAAGGTTATTTCTAAATATTGATTTAGTACCTTTACGGAGTGAAGTAATAAGGTGAAAATTAGATTTAACAATAAAGTTCTAGGTTACAAGATTCTCTCTTTTTCAATTGTTACTTCAACTTGTTTTTCTCTTTTTGATTCGCAATTGTCTGTCTGTTTGTTTTTCCATTGTTGTAGGGATTAATTATAATTTAGAAGTAACGACTTTAGTGAACAACTTCGGGAATCTCATAATTCATTGTTTTGTGTTGTCCTCTTACACATTCAGAATTTAGAAGTGAGATTTGTTCTTAACCTGTTCCAGGCGTTCAGAGAGTAGATCGCTATGGCAATCACGATTTCACTCGCTCCCCACCATCTGAACGCCGCAGTCGACTATCTGAACTCCCAGAACAGGCTAATTTGTTCTTGATGCTTACTACTTTTTTGTCGTAGTTTATAGACGTACTCTGTTTTCTCAAACTCTATTTTTCCATTCTGTTTTTGACCAAGACAAAAGTCACGTTGACACGTTGCTGGACAAATTTTCGACCGGTAGCCTGCGAAACCAGCCGTTTCTCCTCGCCGCTGAGGACGTTTCGCGAGAGCGAGGAGAGTAACGGCTGTTTTCGCAGGTTATTCGACCGGCTGAAAAAAATTAACCCCTCACACCTTGTTCACGCGGAATAGTCAGTTCAATATGTTCATGCTGTTCACAAGGACTGACCGGCAAACCAGGTGGAATTATAACTTCTGTCAGCGTTTTTATCATCTACCATGCGCAGTGGGCTACTTTAGCAAGTATCCTTCAGCTGAGTGATCAAATTTCATGAAACCACGCCTTCTGCCGTACAGTAAACTCGGGTGTTCACACTCAGTCACTCAACTTTTCGACCGTACCGGCTAAAAATGACCTCAAGTGGGCGCTAAATTTTTGATCGACTAAGCGCCTTAATTATCATACAGTTGGCGGAGTGAGCGAAGCATCTGAACACATTAATTTTCAACCGGTCGAAAGTTCGTCCAGTTATAAGTTTTGATTGTAATCAGATTACGGTCCCCTGTACGTACGTCACTTCCGGTTGGCAGAAAACCAGCTCATTGTCTTTCAAATATAATGTAGCAGGTAAAATTGAATATTTTAGAGCAAAAAGACTCCTCGCATTCATCGTGTTTTCACTAAACTCAGCACGAACAACAAATTATTTTCCAGTGAATATTAACTTGCTCATGAGAGCCGATGAACGAAAACCCCTCCTGGGATTTCTCCAGTAATCCCAGTGTTTGCACAAATTTTCAGTCTTCGCTTTTGTTTGTGCATTTCCTGCACTGCTCTCGAAGCTGGTTTCTGGAAAGAGCGCACGATTTTCGCTAGCCTTCTCCTACATATCGAGGATCAACCGAAAACCGGTAGCGCTTTCTAGCCCTTGTTGAAACGTCAGTGGAAACTGTAAAATGGCCTTCAACGCAAAGTCCATATGGCGAAAGATTTCTAGAGAAAATAAGGACGTCTCCTTCGCAAACACCGAAGTTATCGCGGACGCAGATCCCGAGTTGTGCGTCAAATTATTGAAAACTCCGTCGCTGAAGAATTTCTCCGGGATAAGGCCGCGCTTAGAGAAGGCGAGCAAAGAATGGCTGAGCGAATTTCTTGTCCTCGGTGGAATGAACTGCTTGCTCGACAGTCTATCGTGTTTATCTGGGACTAGACACTTCTCTGAAGCTCTTGAACAAATCGAATGTGTAAGATGTATTAAAGCAAAATCGGTTTGGAATGATCCAAAGTAAGATGTATTAAAGCAGTCATGAATTCAAGTCGCCATTGTAATGCCCTTTGGGAACCGGTTTTATTTATGACCAAAGAATAACGAGCTAACTAGGTCGCTAATAAAAGGTAAGAGAAAATTCTACGTGTAATTCAAGTCGCCATCAATAGAAAATGAATGTGGGGGATTTCATCACTCATTTTGTCTTTATTTTCCGTGGTATTCCAAATTCATAATACATTCATTTTCCTTTCTACTCGATTGTTTGTTGAAGAGTTAAACAGAGAATTGTGAAATTTGCATATAAAACAAAAGGATTACTGCATGACGTATACCTTATTCTTGCCCTTTGAGTACCAGCAACCATGTGCAGTGCCTGATCCACACCATGAGATAAGGGGAGGGGAGGGGAGGGGAGGGGGGGCCTCCCCTGGATCCGCCACTGATGTGCTTATTCAGTTCCTTTTCTTTTCTTTTTCTTCTTTCGATCGATTTTCTTATTTCCGAACCTTAATAATAATAATGATAATAATAATAAACATCACGTCATTTCATACTGTCAGTTTCCTCAGGGACCGCGCAGACCATTTTAAGGTAGAAGGGCTAAAAAGTCTGGCGGTGTTTCGCCATTTATCGTGCATTTGCTCGCCATCTTATTTACCACCTCAACAAATATAACGTAAACGTCCACACGTGTTATGCTATCCAATATAGGCAGTATGTTAAATAAACCTCCTAAGTGCCGAAGCTCCTCTTGCGATTGTTATTGCGGGAAACAAACTCCTGTGTAGCTATAGAGACACTGTCTGTTCTCCGCTTGTGACCACTCAACACTGCTAGGTCACCCATCCTGGATGGAAGCCACGTTTCAGGCGCCGTGCAGATGGGAATGAACGCTCGTCGGCAGCGCTGGTTGCAGGATTTACAGCAGGCAGCTTACAGATAGTTTGGGCTTTCTCTCTTTCTTCCTTTCAGTGAATTGAAGTACTGACGGATAAGTCTGCTCAGTTAGCCTTAGTCCCAAAGTGTTATTGTACACAAACATAGCAATTTCTGGCCTTTTTTACCAAAACCTCTAAGAGACTATACAAACAAAGTTAATTTTCTTATATGAACATGTCACCACAGAATTATTATCAATTATTGAACGAGGCTGTGTTCTTCATCTAGCATGCAGTTTTCATCCATTGAGTGGTATTTTAGGGAATAGTTGGGCTATTTCGTCTTTGCAGAACGCGCATGAAATTTTCCGCCATTTCATCCAGTTCTGCACTTCTGAAACCGCTGAGCCACCGCTCCTCTTGCTTGTGGTTCCTATTTTCGGACGATATCAATACGATTGACGTGAATCGTACTGATTCGGCAAACTTCTTCCAAGTTTGCTATTTCAACGCTAGCTGGTTATGAAGAATTACCCTTAATCTTAACGGCTTATAAGTAAAGGAGAAATATTTCATGAATAATAAATCCCTTAAATGATCGGAAGGGCTTCAATTGGTGCAACAGCGAGTTGCGCGAGAGTTTACGAGATGCGTATATCTAGTAATTCCCGTAACTCTTTTTTTACTCCTTAACATTTGAATCGAAGCTGAAATCATAGTGCTGTACTGCCTTATTTATGGACGTGCGTTGTAGCTAAAACGTGAACGTGAAGTGTATTTTAATGAATTTTCGCTTCTTATTTCAATACACGTGTAATTAGAATATACTCTGTTGATATTGCTCTTACTTTTGACCAGTCATAAAAACAAGAATTGACGCTGTCACCTGATAGCTAAGTTTTTTATTCAAAAAAGCTTCGACTGTGTAGACAAAGGCGACTTCTAAGCAAATTTTTCGAAGGTGTAATACACCTGCACTGGAATTGAGAGCCATTTTTGGTGGAGATAAATTTTAATAGATCCTCTAATGGCTAACGGTCGCAGTCCCAAAATTACCTTTGAGCATGGATGTTAATTAAAATTACTTGCGTGTACATGTTTTGCTGTTTTTAAGCAAATTACAAACTAATTGATTTACCTCATTGAACAGAATCCTTTTAAGTTTGAAAACTGTCAGTTCATTCCATACAAATGTATTATCAGATTTAAGTACCTTTTAAACAGAGCAAACAGAAAATGAGCCTCATTTGCTAGTCTTGTCTATAATTACAAAGTCTTACTAAAAAAACTCTCACTAAGTGAATAACAAAATATTCAATATTCTGACGTTTACAAATGAATATTTGCGTTTATGTTCTGATAACCTGTCTCACCTTCTCTGTTTATTGTGATAAATTCGCTCTCGAAAATTATAACAATACATGCCCGGTTTAATTAGCCCCCTCCGTGATGTCCTTTGTAGACCAATTTCCAAGTCTAATACGTTATTGGTGGGAACTTTCAATCATTACTGCCGTTCCATTTACTAAAGGAAGACTTCCTAAACGCTGTTAACGATCTGCATGCCCTGGGGTGGGCAAATAAGATAAGACTGAATATTGAAGAGACTCTGCCGGGCGATTCTAATGACTTTGAGAGGATTTTTTTCTCGTAAACCGCAAAGCCGCATACATTTTCAGCTTAATGCCACAAAACCGGACAGTTACTTAGACTTATCAGAGTCCATTGTGTATAATGGCTAACGCTATAGTCGCCAGAAGATGGGATGTTATCCGTCAACAGTTTCAGAACAGCGAAGGCGATTGTGAGCAAAATGAAACGGGTAGTGTTTCCTTCTCCAAAGATGTTTCTGCAGAATTGTGTGTTCGTTTACTCAGCGCCTCGTCTCTTCAAAACTTCTCTGGCCTTAAATCAAAACTTCAAGCAAGTTCTGGTCAGTGGATTGAAGACTTTATCATCCATGGTGGAATGGAAGTTCTCTTCCAAGCATTAGACAGGTTAAGCCAAACCGGTAGAATGGCTTTCTTAGAGGCATTTATGCAACTGGAGTGTGTTAATTGCATCAAAGCGGTTATGAACTCAAAACAAGGGCTCGATTCGATGACGAAAAACAAGACTTTGGTGCGAAATCTAGCTCAAGGTTGGCTTGAACTGATATTTCAGTATAATTCAGTTTATATTAGATCGTAACTTAATTGTGTTTCTGTGCTTTTTTAAATTCACAACATATAATAGGGAAGTGTTTTGTCCTCCGAGTTTTAATCCAGTGATTTGCACTCGATGCTTTTCCGTAAAGGTGTTCGCTTATCGTATGTTTGTGTTCATTCCAAGGAATTATTTTAGATTATTTCATGTTTGCATTTGTGGCTTGATACTTAAGGTTGATATAGATGATACAGAGAAACAAATCATGGTACTTATCCATATATTTAGCGACTCTAATTTATCTTCCATTTGACATGCGTAGGCCGGGTGTTAATAACTCCCGCCATTTTTCCACTGCCCGAAATTTATCAGGCTAAAAATCTCTTAGGTGGGTGATATCGCAATTCTTATATATAACGGAAAGTTTATTTGTGACCGTTCGTAAATTGAAATTTCTCACTGTAGATCTTGGCGCCTTTTGTAATTTGCTTGAAAATCAACCAATGTTTACTTTTTGTTGCAAACAGAAACTTGCTCTCTTGCAGAGAAGAAAATGAGAAAAGCACGGGAGCATTAATAATTGAAACTTTGTCGAAATGGACATTATTTATATACAGCTGTTTCGAGACAGGTTGTCGGAAGAAATGCGCACGCGACAATCCCGAAAGGTAATATGGGATATGATCAATACACTGTTCGTAACTACTGAAGCTGCCGAACCTACTTTTGTTGCTTTCCTTTCGCACTCGCAAACGTATGTCCGTGGCCTCCCGTACCATTCTTTCCAATTTTTTTGAAGAAAAGTGCCCTCAAAGCCACCCACAATACCTTTCAGGATTGTCGCGTGCACTTTTTCCGACAACCTTTCTCGAAATAGTTGTATATCATTTTTGCACTAGAAGTAATCTATCATCACTGATAGAGGCTTTTAACTGAAAATGCCTTGTGCGACCAAACAGCCTTAAAAATAACGTTTTTTTATCCTCTTTCTTTTCTCTTGTGTGTAGAGCTTTGTTTTAATATTTTCTTTTACATCTACGTGAATAGCCTGCTCTCTTTTTTATACGAATACAATAGACCTTGTCACGGTTTTCGACGCCATCTTGACGAGTAGGCAAACGCAAGAGAAATTACAGTGATTGTATGAGAATCTAATGTCGAAATGAAATAAAATGATAAAAAATGAAAAAAATGTGATTTGTAAACTAAAGCTTCACTCCTAAGGATTCTCCTGAAAAAATCTGAGGGCGTTCCATGATAGAGGCTTTTAACTTTAAAATTTTCCACATTTGTCTGTGACCAAACAGCCAATTATAAAAAACAACGTTTTTTATCCCCTTTTTTTTTTAGGACAATTTTTTGTGTATTTTGTTCAGAACAGCCGTTCTACGGAAATTTTAGAAAATTTTCTTTTTTCTCATCTACGTCAATATGGCCTGCTCTCTTTTTAATGTAGTAGCGGCAATGTTATCCGCTTTAACCACGGCAATAAGTTTGGAGACTTCTCGAGAACTCTGATTAAGATGTCTGTCTATGTAACAATTACTTTAAAACCCCTAGTTACAATCAAATTCTCCGTTGTGAAATAAGTGATGCAAGAGCATGTTTCTTGGCAACAAATTTACATAAAATTGAATTTTTCCCGCGGCCTTGTCCCGCGGGATAAAAGACCTGGCAGTGTATTTGCAACTAATGACTCGTACTGTTTGTACTAACCTGTATTTGAAGTCAATGAATAATTAACGTAAATTTATCCTTTGCGGGTTTGCAAAACTGACTGCAGTCACAAACCATGTTTTTTCTCCTGTCAGGTTACAATTAAAACACCCACGGACGCCGAACTTTTCATGAGCCGAACCCAATTCGAATTAAGGCCGACCCGAATTATTTAGACCGGCTGAATTGATTCACTGTACTTAAATCAATGTACATGTATTAGGTTTGGCTCATGAAATGTACGGCGTCTGAACCGGGCCTTAGGTAATAAATATTATTAACCTTCTCTTCCGTTTTATTTCAGCCCTGGACACAAATAATACTATGATCAAGAAACAGGTCTTCGAGCTTCTTTCCGCACTGTGTCTTTATTCTAATCAAGGACATAAACTGGCAATCGATGCACTCGAGAATTACAAGGTATTTTGTGATACATATTAATTAGTTTCCCCTTTCGAAGTACGGTACATCGGGAGCATTTGGCCTAAGCTGAGATGCTATCCCAAAAAGTACATTTGTTCGAAAACGAAGCTTGGAATAGTTTTAAGTCTAATAAGGTTATGTTCACACTGTGCTGGATAGCTCTTGCGTCAGCGCGAAAACCATACCGCTGGGACCTCTGTTCATGCTTAAGAACGGTGCTTTCGGCGCGATTTCTGTAACGGAACTGCGCCGCATCGCGCCGATCTCGAAAGTGGACCTAGCCTCGCATAGAACGTAAAGATAGTGGTTAATTTTTCTTCCTTTTCCCAAACTGAAAACTTTTCTTATGACTGGAATTAACTAGCGGAACATGTCAGATGCCTAGGTAAACAACAAAACGATACATTTTCGAAGTGATTCAAATTAGTGCAAGTTGCTTTCTCATGTGACGTTTTCCCTGGCGATACAGCATCGTTCCTTCCAATAGAAACTTTACGATCCGACAACGATGACGCCAACTAAAACGTTCCTGACAAACTGGTTTTCCGTCGTTTCCAAATTGTCCTCGATTATTCTAACTTATTCCTTTAAAGGTAGGAAAATTAAGGTTGAGCTGAAGGGTCAGATATAGTGATATTTCACTTTATAAATTTAGTCATTTCACGTCGTACTCGCGCGGGAATGAATTGTATCTCCCTGCTTCATGTTAGGCTGAATAACAGGTTTTAGGTGTACCAGTTAAAGAGAGATATACAGCTGATACTTTTTTCCTATCTTATTCCAATAACAGCTGACTAAAGGACAAAGATACAGATTTAGCCTGGTCATTAATGAACTAAAGAATGCTGAAGTCATACCTTATATGACTACTTGCCTGGCTTTTATTAATACCATACTTATTGCTACTGAAGACTTTGAAGAACGTGTGAGACTGAGGAACGAATTTGCAGGTAAATAATGCAGAAGTACATTTCCTAAAATGTAAATAATAATAATAATAATAAGGAGATAATGTATATTGTTTTAAATCGTAAAGTGTCTTAAAGCCGTAAACATATACCTTTACAATGGTCATTTCATGATGTCGCTTCCGCTGACTCCTGGATCTTCCTCTTTGAGGCAATGGTTACGCTCACTGAGTTGTGTTTTCAGTATGAGACTGACAGACTGACTGAGAAAGTTACTCGTAAATAACTATCAAGACGAGACTAATTCTGCATGTTGAGACTTGAATGTCTAGATGCGAACATAACTGTAATGATTGTAAACTATGTTTTCCAACAGTAATCCAAAACAGAGATGGCTACTTGAATTTGAATGTTGCAGTCCTCTTGAAACATAATCTCACACAGTTGTGTAAACCTTGTCAAAGTTGAATATCCACTGACATTGCTATTTTGGAGGGAAGACTTTAGCAGCGAACGTCTGCCCCCTTAAACTTTCCTAACTTCGTATTTGATTCTTGAATTATTTATATCTTAGTGTTATCACTAAGTTTTCACCACAAGCTCCGTTAATGGTTTAAGTCCTGCAAATAAAAAAGGAAAAGAAGGGGGAGTGAGATAAATCTTAGGTGTGAAACAAGATGAAAATCGCCAAGACTGAATGTGAAAAGCGTGCCAAAGAAGGAGCGGGCAGCTTACATTTTGTACAGTTAAAGGAATTTGTCTTTGTATTGCTGCTTATCCAATAAGCTTGAGCTAATTTTTTATTGTTTTATTTTAAAATAAGTGGTCACAAGTTAGTTTCTCGTGTCGTTTAGTGGTCGAACACTGCTACCTGCAGCGAAAAAATTGTCGCGAAAATGCTTGAGGTTTGAACTGTATTCGTAATTGGTCAAAAACAGAAAGTTTACTTTCAATGTACAACTCGGCTACTATTCGCGCCAAATAGTCGGCAGGTGAATTTGTCTAACAACACGTACTAGTTAATTTTTACTAAAAAGAGAAGAAGCATCGACGATTACTTTGCTATTTTTTAATATTTTTTCGACGATTGCAACAATCGCGTATATGTCGATGAGTATTTGTGGGGATATCTCCAGGACTTTTTAAATATTGTGGCCTGCCTCAGCGGAGAAATAAATACATGTAGGGTCAGCATGAAGCTCCACGTTGCTGGAAATTAATGGCTCCAATTTATTCCTCTTCAGGTCTTGGATTACTGGACATTCTGAGCAATTTAAGGTAAGAGGTAACTCAGAGACAATCACGAAGGCCGGAACAGTTTGCAGTTGAAAGCGGCGAGAACCTACGAAAACGAGCTTTCTTAGTGCTTTCAAACGCTCTATTTTTATAGGGGATGAAGTTGACAAAGGAAATTTTTGTTCTTATTACGTTTTATGTGAGACCGAAAATTGTTTTGAAGTACCGTTAAGTGTATCTCTGTTTTCTAAAAATTTCGGTATAGATATTTACGACTGGAGCAGGACTAAGTACTTCAGTCAAAACAGGTCCCGTATGTGGAAAAGATACACTGGAAAATTCCTCGTAGCATGCAGCGGATCAAATTCACATCAGCGAAAAGTTGAATTTGACAACGTTCAACAATTATAACAATTTACTTGTGTCATGCTTTTTGAGAAGTAATGAGCTCATTTAAGTGAACACGTACAGCAAGTAAACAGTTGAGTAGCCACTCGAAATCAGGCAAAAAGAAAGCAACGAATGTTCATTATATATCAGTCCAACCAATTAAATCTAGTTGGTTAGGATAATTATTTTTACTATGACATTAAAACCAAGGGAATACTGATATACATCTATGAAATATGAATGTAAAAAGTGCAAACAAGCTATTCTAACTACGTTCCACAATTTCTTAGTTTAGGAAAAAATAAGATCACAATTTAAAAATTGATTATCTCTAAAGAAATGAGCGGGAAGTTGAAAGGATGAAAAAATTAAATGCTTTTAAGAAAACATTAAAAAATTCTCTGTTTGTGTATATTATTTCTGAGCTAAAGTTCCCTTCTTGTGAAATGAAACACTAGCATCTGAGTTCAGGGTGTGAGCGATTAAAGCAATTAAAACAATTACGCAACCGCGAAATTAAATATTACCGACACTGTTTACATTATTCCTGGAATAGCAAAATTCAATACTCGACTCTGGAAGTACGACTACCGATTCAAATTTGGCGAAAAGAGTTAGTAAGTCTTTATGTTTGAGCATTTATTATAGTTCTTAATTACCTCTTAGGCATAACGACGATGAAGATTTACTGGTTCAACTTGACGTATTTGAAGAACAGAGACTAGAAGATGACGAAGAATTGAGTTCTCCAGAAGGGGTTAATCTCACTTCCCACTTGGATGTCTTTCACGCCTTGTTTAGAAAGGTTACATCATCTTTCTTTCTTAGCATATTGCTTCAAGTGTTTCTGTTTACGTATTGTTCTTATACCCTTGTTAGACCGAAGAAGATCTTAGACTAGAATAAATTCATCAAAGTGTTGAAATAATCGACAAATTCCCCATTCCCAAGAAGGCCATGCTGAACTTGACAAAGGCCCGCGGAGGATGGGCAAACTTGTAATTGACAAAAATCTGACTGAGCCATTATACCGTAGCAGGATTAGCTCAGTCGGTAGAGCGCTTGACTGTCGAGCAGGAGTTCGTGGGTTCGATTCCCGGCTCATTTGCCCTGCTCCTGATTTGGATGACCACGCGCGTAAAATGGCGGTCCCATCTCCATCAGAAGGCTTACTTAAAAAAGAATTGTCCTTAATTGGTATTTAACTGCTAATTACATTGACGATTCAAAAGAAGTGCACTTTTTTATTTTTATCATTGAAAGGTGGTTAACTACCACCTTAAGTAACTTTCAGTTTATTTCTCGTTCATAGGTGAGCAACAAACCCCAAGGAGTGAACCTTTTGAGCATTTTGCAAAACCTGCTTCTGATAGAAGACGATTCTCCTGTGTCAGACTCTGTTTGGGAGGTGATAGAGAAGCTAGTAAGGCGAGCTGTACACATAGAATCCATCCCTCGGGCCGAGTCGCTGTTAGAGGTAGGCGAGAAAGAACTTATGGGCTTGGAAGATAGATCAGCTACAAGACAACATAACAAAACTGAGCGAAGTGACTCTTCCGATGACAATCTTATTGAACAGCGAATGTCTGTGGCGGAGCATTCTATGGAAGATGTTCGCTCAGCCTGTCTGATGTCTGTTCCCGATCGACAGGATACTTTAACTGCAGATCATAATGCGGTTGTAGAACAGATTCAAGCATCGTTGTGTGAAACTGCATTAGAAGAAGCGGCCCCTGTAACATTCTTCGACGAAGCGCCTTCGTCCTCATCGGTTCAAATACTTGAAGGAATCATACAAAATAACAAGAATGTGGCTGTTAGATCTAAACCAATTAGCAAAGAAACAGACTCGAGATCATCAGAAGGCGAAATGGAAGGAGAGGTTGCATCACCAAGCTCCTGTGAACTTCTCGATCTTGAAAGTGTGGCTATCGAACCTGGTTTATCCAAACGTTCCTCATCTCCATCCTCTCCAGCAGTAACTGAACAATCGAGTGTTGAAAGTTCGGTAGAGTTAAAGCAAGCTTCCATTGTCCAAGCAGGACTACCTCCCCCTCCACCTCCCCCACCGCCTATTGCTAGTCAATCCGGTGATAGATTTGAGGAGCAACCTTATCAAGCAGCCCCAATTCAAGGAGGTCCCCCACCTCCACCTCCACCTCCACCACCCCCTCCTCCGTTACCTGGGCAAGATGCCAGTACAGAGTCTGGTGTCTACCCGGTCTCCGAGGGAGCTACTTCGCCTCCACCTCCTCCACCGCCCCCACCGTTACCAGGAAACAGCAGCGTACCACCACCTCCACCTCTCCCAGGATTTGGCGCAGTACCCCCACCGCCTCCTCTCCCAGGAATGGGTAATGTTCCGCCGCCTCCTCCCCTACCCGGCATGGGAGGTGTACCGCCTCCCCCTCCTTTGCCTGGCATGGGAGGTGTTCCTCCACCTCCTCCTCTTCCTGGGATGGGTGGTGTTCCTCCACCACCGCCTCCACCTGGTGGCGTTCCACCTCCGCCCCCTCCCGGTGGGTTTGTCACGCGAGCTTTCCAGCAGAATCTGCAAGGCAGGGCAAGTTCTCCCCTAACCCCTGCTGTGAAACCCAAGACCAAGATGAAAACTCTGGCTTGGCAGAAGCTACCGCCTCACGTTATACAAAGGAGCAAAACATGTGTCTGGGCGCGGGTGCAGGCTTTGGAAGTCGTTCAGCCTGATTTCCGACTTGAGGAGGAATTGTTTTGCCAAAAGAAAACAGCACCCAAGAAAGCAGATTCCAAAAAGAAGGAGTCCTCAGAGGTAAGAGTGGCTGGCTTGTCCAGTAGCCTGAGCTTTAGATTATCCTGGTTTATCCCAAAACCTTGTCTCTTCTTTGATTACCGTCACTCTCTCTTAACTCTTTCACTCCCAGAAGTGTTTAAAGTAAAAATTTAACAAGAATTCCAAAGTTCATTTTGTAAAATAATGCAAAATAATAGTAGCATGTAAAAGTACCGTCAAAGAGGTTGCATTTCGATGATCACACCATAGGATTGTCCACAGACTATAGCTGACTTGCAGAACTCTATCTTCCTTTCACTCTGGTAGTGAAGGTACCTTTCACCTTGAGCTGGTCACTGCCATTGTTTAATCTGTACCAGCGGTGGACTTCATCAAAAGAGTTAAATGTATCAATCAAAAAGCTTGCTAGAGAAGAGTTTTTGTATCCAACGAAAATATTTGGATCAGCAGAAGTACATGAAATAATGAAAAGGATACTGCACCGATAAAATACAGGTTTTACAATGCTTTGCCGTTTGGCCCTTCCTTACAGTATAACTCATTGTCTTTTTTTCCACCATAAGGATCAGTTCGACTGTTTATTTCAGTTGAATGGTATTTTGTAAAATAGGTCACTGTATATTTTTAACAAGGATTTTGATGCTTTTATTGATATCTGTTGTTTTGGTTGTTGTTTAGATCAGCCTTCTGGACCCGAAAAGAAGTCTTAACGTAAACATTTTCATGAAGCAGTTTAAAAAGTAGGTAGTCTACTTCTTATGTTCTTTGTAGTGGCCTCGAAAGTTTAAGTATTAAAGAATTGCGTAGAATTCGTTTCCTTTGCAAACTGTGTAAGGCGAAAAAAAGCTTGGTTTGCGAATCAAAGAAAATGAAAACCTTGAGAGGAGGCTCATCACACATTGAGTAATATATAGATCGAGATGGAGAAACACCGCCTCTCGTTCGATTTGTTTTCTCTTTTTTTACGCGCTTTGTAAAGGAAAGGACTGCTACACAGGATAACATGAAAAGCCGACACCTCTAGAAGGCGGTTATTAACACATCACTGACCCGAGGTAACCTTTTCCTCAGCACTGGTATGAACTGAATTAATTCGTCAGTAGCCAGATTGTTTCCGCTACTGATGGTTTCTGAATTGGAGAGAGTTTATCGTTATTCTGTTCTTCCAAACATTGATTCTTGCTGAGGATGAGGGGGTGAAATTGATTCTCGATTTTGTTTCCTTTATAGAAAAAACGAAGAGATAGTTGAGTTAATCACCAAAGGAGACAGCAAGGCCTTCGACGTAGACGTCCTCAAAGCATTCATCAAGCTTCTTCCTGATAACACTGAGGTTAGCAGGAAAAGTTTATTTTTTTGGCTTTTAATACCATCCGAATAAAACTGTCAGGAAGAATCTCACACCACAGTAGTTTGGCTGAAACTGTGCTAAAAAACTCCGCTTTTAAAGACCGACACTTCGTCGGTTTCGCCAGACAACGGGTGGCTTCTTTACACACTTGGAAAGCAATAAGATTCATTTCATCAGTTTTTATCATCTAATTCTCTTTTAAGTTAGACTCGCTGCTAATCGAACCAAATATTTTTTTCTGATTTATGTTCTTTATCTTTCTCTTCCCAGAGAGAAATGCTGAAAGGATTCTCGGGAGACAAGAAACAGCTTGGATCTGCGGAGAAGTTTCTTCTCGCTTTGGTTACCATTCCTGGGTATGTGGGGTGATTTCAGTCGTAGATCAATCCCTTCCATCCCTTAAATCTTTGAAATGTTAACATTGTCAAACAGTTTGTAAGAGCTGCACTTATAGTACTAGGAAAGAATCAGATGACAGCTTTTTAAGCTGTAGTAACAGGAGGACGTTACTACAATCTTGAACAACCTACCTTTCTCCTAAGATCAACTTGAACCGCAAGAATACCAAAACCCGACGTTTTCCCTTCCTTGATTTGGAGAGGGCCGGGAAGGGTCGTCTAATTTTCCATTTATTTTATCCATGAATGTAGGCTAAGACCAGTTCCAGTTTTGTTAGGTTCAAGTTTATCTCCTCTTTAAAACTTCCAGGGTCCATTGTCGGATTTTTCATATTATATTATATTAGGTCTTACACATTCATTATTATTTTATTGCCAACAGATATAGCCTTCGTCTTGAAGCCATGTTACAGAAGGAAGAGTTTCAGATCACATTAGACACCATCGAACCAAGTATCGAAGCATTAAAAGGAGCAATGGAAGGTGAGGAGATGTTTTTGTCCCATAAGTCGTAGTGCCATCCTGTGGAAAACTTACTGACTTGCTAACAAGGGAACTTAAGTGGGCTGCATGTAGGAAATTTATTCACAAACTTGAAGCAGACAGCTCCCTTTTCTCTAAACTCAGAACGGTAGCATGGCTGAGCAGTTAGAGCGTTGGAGATGTTATCTTGAGGACCTCAGTACAATTCCGGTCTTGACCGCGAGCAGGATATTTGTTTATAGTTGTAGTCCCTAGTTCAAAGGAGTCTGGACAACTCTCCTGGTTCAGTTGCCTTCGGCAAGTTGGGATTCTTACCATTAAAGTTATGTTTCATTTGATTTATTTATATCAATCATTTGTTCGGCGTCAGTAGTCTTTTTCCTTAAATATCGTCGTGGGTGGAAAAGGTATATTTATTTCTTTATTTAATTTCATTTATCCTGTCTAAAAACTCGGACCAGAACAGGAACCCATCCATCACGTAAGTATAGTCAATCACGTGAGATCTTGAGCGATTGATCTCACACACATACCTCTTGTTGACAAAAAATTTACAACAGAAGAAAACAAGGAAGAAATGACAAATATGCTCTCGATGGCAAATCACTGCTAAGCATAATAAGCGTTGTCGTTAGGGTTGTTGGAGATTGATGCGGCATTTAGCTGGAGAATATAAGAATTTAACTATGCGTTATACAATGCTATTCTCAACTCCTTTTCCATATTCTTCAGACGTTCTTCAAAGTGAAATTCTTCCTGAAGTTCTTCAGTTGATCCTCATCATCGGAAATTTCTTGAATTGTGTAAGTATCCAGCTGCTTTTTCTTGTCATTCTGTACACCATTCTGCACACCATAAGCTACAGGAATACCAACGCTTTCTTATCTTTGACACAGGGTGGGTATGCAGGAAACGCTGTCGCTTTCAAAATCAACTCACTTTTAAAGATTGTCGACACCAGAGCCAACAAACCTCGAATGAACCTGATGCACTTCTTAGTTCACGTAAGTAACAATTAACTATTACGGGCATTCAAACAAGGGCCTTCAAAATCGTTTGATCAAAGAAAACAAAGCCTGTATGGATTTGGATTCCAGGTAGCCTGCGTAGCAAGCTTTTCTGTGCGGTTTAGGAGCAAAGAATGAGGAACAAGAGTCAAAGACCGCGCGAAAAATGACGCAAGTAAAAGAGCGGGGAGGGGGTCATTTTTTGGTTCTCGTTTCATTTCTCGCGCGGTCAAAACCGAAAGTCCTCTTTTGCTCCGAAACCAAACGGAAACGCTTGCTACGCAGGCTAGATGCCAGTGAAAGAGAGAAACGTTATTAAAATGTCTTTGCACCTAAAACTTAGGAGTAATAAGACAAAGTGTGGGCATTTGAGTTTTAACAGTTGTTATTTTTTTTGGCCTATGGTAATGGAAAGGTTTTTGGCTTTGTAGGTGGCTGAAGAGAAACGTGAAAAGGTGTTGAAGTTTCCAGATGATATGAAACACCTCGACAAAGCCGTCAAGTAAGTATCAGTGCAAGAAGGTCTGATTGTCATATTATGGTAAAGGGGTAATAAGGTAATAAAATTTTGAAGAGAAAAGTTGATTGCAGGAAAATAGCGAACCGCCACTAAGCTTGGTTACAGCCTTATGTGTCTTCTAGCGCTGTGAGTATCATGGTGATGGGCAATGCTTGGGCAAGCTCGCAATCGTGCCATGTCTGAATCATATGTTGAACTACGCAACTGAACCAGGAAGTCGTAAGACTGATTTGTATGTTAGTCAGAACTAACTGAAGAACTGCTTCATTACTTAACAAATTAAGTGGCAATATGATATAACACGATTCGTTGGTGACAAGAGTAAATACTGAGTCCTTGCCTTACCAATATCCTTCCTGAGTCTGCAATCCTTTTTGACAGCGCCTTCTGGTCACAAATGCGGATTCTGAACTTAATACCAGCCTTTTTAACATGTCATGTTGATGTTGCTTTCTTATTGTTATTTGCAAGGCTATCAGTGGACAATATCACCGAAGAAGTCAAGACCCTCAAGGGGAAACTTAAAGAACTCGAAAAGGGTTTAAAAAAAGGGCCAAAGGACATCTCTTCGCAGTTTTCTGAATTTGTTCAGGTATCGTGATTATTTTTTATCTTTTGGGTCGCAACAACTGTTTCTCTGTAGGTAGAGGCATTCTAACTTGTACCTTTATTATTGTTAAGGCAGAGGGAAGTGAAAAAAAACTAAATGTAATCTGTTGCTGTTTCCTCTAGACCGCTGTAAAAAAGACCAAAGAACTTGACGACGGAATCAAGGAAATTCATGAGCTAACCAAGCAATTGGCGCAGTATTTCTGCGAGGATGAGGGCAAGTTAAAACTACAGGAATTGTTATCTTTGTTCAAGACCTTTTCTGATCAACTTGTCACAGCTAAAAAGGTAAGTCGAAATATAATTATTTGTTCCTTGAGTTACAGTGTTTGACTACAAAACTTGAACTCGGTATGGACATTATTCGAATTTTTTGGGAGAATGAACTGATTATAATAAATATTTGCTCTTATTGTTTTTAAAAACAAAATGACCGGACTGAACAGTGGACTGGGGCGGGGACGGTTTGGGAGGAGTTGCCTCCCTTTCCCACCGCTATTCGACCACCCCCCTCCCCCTCCCCCTCCTCGGTGTATTTGAAACCAATTACAAAATGGCCGCCAGTGACGGTGAGTGCTGACGATCTCTACGATTTTACGGGAAAAGAGGGGACTATGAACAGTCTAACTGAACAGGGTACGGTTTGTATATCAGTTCCTGATGGCTTCTTATAAAAAAACAGGGTAAGCTCTCCTAACGGACACTCTCGAAGCGGACAGCTCTACTTACGGCCACCTTCACAAAACCCCGTTTTGCTCAACTCCCATACAAACTCTGTATTCTCACATTCTCGTAAGCGGCCAGCTCCAGTTACAGACACCTTTTTCGCGACCCAAGGGTGTCCCCTCACGAGAGCTTTCACTGCGAAATTATGTTTGAAAGAGTGTTCAATTCGAAATGATTGAGATTATTAATTTTCCCTTTTAAAATGTATTTACCATTGTTGATAGTATTAATTACGCACGAATCGATTTATTTCTTTTCTTGATGTAAATATTTCTAAACTGTGTCTTCGGTCAAATTAATGATTCCTTTTTTTATTTGTTTGGTAGGAAAACGAACAATTTCGCATCCAAGAAGAAAGACGGAAAGCACGGGAGAAAAAACGGCAAGAGGAGGCCGAGCGAAACGCGAAGGCTGGCGGAAGCGTAAAGAAAGGAAAACCACGCCCCTTGGACGAAGAACAGGAAGGATGCATTGTTGATCGGCTTCTGAGTGATATTCGGAAGGGCTTCCCCCTGCGGAAGAGCTCAAGGAACACCCCTAGCGGGATCAAATCTGCATCTCCTAGACCGAAGCGTAGTACCGAGGAAGTACGAGGTAATGCTAAGAAAGACGACCAGTTCCGAAGAATCTCGAGTCCAGCAAAGCTTCGCGCTAATTTAAACTCGGCCGGAGATGGGAACGAGATTGTGTTGAAGAGAAATCTTGACGGACCTTCTCTTCCGATTGTGTAGATTATTAGTACATTAAACTGGTCTGTTCCTTTCCAATGATTTAAAAAAGTACAACTTTTGCAATACTGTCAGCTGAAGGCAGGCGCATGTTCACATTGTGATCGCCTCTTTTACGCAAAACCTATGCGTGGCTATAATCATTAATGTTACATGAAGAGGAAAACTTCAAAGCGCGTTCTAATTTGCAATGACAGAGTGAACGATCAAAATTGACCGAAGAATGACGTAGAACCTAACAGTCACTGCAAAAGTTGTTCTCTTGTATACTGACCGGGTAGATGTGTGTCTTAAGGAAAGGTGAACGTCTAATATTTGTATTACAGAAAAATGTGGTGCAAAATTTGAGGCGGGATTTTTTAAGGCGCTTTAGTATATATGAGCCCACCTGCAAAAGAAAAATGAAAAAGAAATTAAGTCCTAATCGATCAGAAATTACTGATCATATACTTTCAGGCTTGGTAGAATTTCCTTTCAGTTTTCACTCCAAAAGATATTGGCCACATCATGTTGCTTTAAATTCACACAAATAACGGGAAATAATTATTATAATAGTTTTATATCTGATTCAGTTCTAAGCGTGTTTGTATACCTCCGGCAATATTTGTCCGAGCCGCTAAGTCTGTCTGGGAGTGCGGCATTTGTCATCTTTTCAACATTGGAGATGTTAAGTGTTTTTCCGTAAAGTAAAATGGCTTTTGAACAGCTGAATGATTCAATATTATGTCGAATGTATCTTTACTTCTCAACCATGCCTCTTTACCAACACTTGAAGAGAGAACACACCATACAAGCTTCCGTCGGCAAAACGCATTCCAGAGTGTACGCAAGTAGCTCTTTTGAGTAGTCTGTTTTGAAAGGAAGACCTTGGAAAGGTTAACAATTGAATTGGAAGGGTTATAAATTGCGTAGATTTTCAGTTTGGAAATGAAGTGCTGCTGTTCATAAGGGGACGCTGGCCACACCCCGTTTGTACTGGGTGCCAGAGACTTTTCATGCGCGTTTTCCGGATACAACCCGTCTAGTAGTGGGTCAAAAAGCTAGTCAAAACAAACTTTCAGACATTCTCGCCTTGCACGGCTTAACGACTTTTTTTATAACTTTGGTTTGTCCCGGGGAAGAATCGTTTCCCCTTTTTAAAAACCTTTCGTGGTGTCTTTTTCTTTTCCTGTCTTATACAAATCTTCTGACTGGAGGTAATGGGCAAGCTTAGAATTGACTGAATCGTAAATATTTTGAAAAGAAATTGACAAGGTAATATTTGCCTGAAATAAAACATTTCGTGGCGTTTTTATTACAAAATGAATTTCAAGTCACAATCGACTTTAAAAGAATCAAATATTTTCAGCTTATATTACACCCTTCCATTTAACGAAGCTTACAGGGTGGATGATATAATTGTCTCGTGTATTTTTAACGTAAGTTAAAACTAATGAAAGCAAATTCCTTACTTGGCTGCAGTAGGCTACCTTTGTCTCGGCTCTTTGAGGGAAATTATGTATTGTATGCTTCTTTTCTTATATTAATATATTTTTGTAAGTCTGTATGTTACTAACATATGGAGGTAAATATTTTGTCCTTACCTCATATTTTTCAAAAAATAAAATTTAAGGCAGCGTTTAGTTTGAGAATACCTGCTTTATAGCGTTTTATATCGTTGTTGGGACGAAGATCTTTGGCGAACGTGTCCAATGTTCAGACTGTTCCGGAGTTCACATAGGAAAATTCTGGACTTATATCTGACTATTCTTCTTATTCTTTCTTGTAAATAATATTTTGTTGTGGGTTCGTTATAACTTATTATTACGCAAGGAATTAATGAACTATTTATAGAAACCTTATTTAAGGTATAAATTTCTCAATTTTGTGCCAAAAACCTCCCATTGACCTTTTGGCCGGTAAAGGAAAAAATCCTTGCGGTTAAATAGACAAATTTGGCCAAAAAACGTGATGTATGGAATGGTTGATGGTCATTTAATGTATTGTTCTGCAGGAAGAGTTATGGTGACTGTTCACATTTTGCTAATCCTTAACACTTTTTAATCGTTTTTTGTTAAAATCATTTACCTCTTTCAATTCATTCCAATAAGTAAATGCAATTCTAGGTTCTACAATTTCATTCACTATATTAACATCACGTTTTAACTTGCTTGAGTTAATGTTGTCAGTTTCTTTATTTCCTTGTAAGTACTAAAACAAGAGCTTATTATGCTAAGATATTTTGTTGAAAGGTTTGAATTGATAACGTTTCAAATTCATCCTTTTAATTGACGTTGTATGTACTTGCGGCTTATATGTTTGTTTTTATTGTAAAGGCATTACCCAAATAACACATTCAATTATATTCACATTTCATGATTCGCCAAGCGTGAGCTATTAGCGTCCAGATTTGATTGTGAGGGGACATGTCTGAAATAACACATTTGCCTTCTCCGCAATAAACTACATGCATCTTTTAATTAAAGAAGTTGAATAATTTCGTAAAAATGTCACATGATGATACTAGGACTTTATGTCATGGTTCAAATGTGGAGGGTTTATGTTTTGCATTGAAATGCATGATCGATTAAGCGTGGTGTTTGTTTACGAAGATCAACCATCTCTGTGTCTCCCTGCCGGTTTTAAAGCTCAATATCCATACTTTTAATAACGCCAGACGACTTAGAGAATGTTGAAAACGAGAAACACTAGGGATAAACCCTTGGTCGTTTTTCAACATGGAAACGAGGCTTTATACACGTGATCAGTTTCAAAGGTGCACGTGAGAGTTTCGTGATGAGCATCTTAAGGGGTGGTTCTGCTTATGTTTGCTGAAGCATTTCCTGACATTTAAAAACTTGTGGGCTCTTTCATCGAAGTGAACGCGAGGTTTAAAATCCGGTAAAGGTTTTGTAAATTCGCAAGATGGCTGACAGAGTTTATGTTTTGTCTTTCAGATCAAAGTGTGTTTATCCTTCCAGAGGTCGGTGAGAACGCGGTATCAGGTCCCACAAATTTACCCGATGTGTTCATAGATGAAAACGAGAAGAACGAAAGACAACTTGTTGATAAGGCAGACAATAGTGAAATATCTCTTAATGCTGCGAAATATCACGTTGACAACCTTCCCGAGAAACGCATTGGACGTATAACGCGTGATCCAAGCCAATCGACGACGGATCGTAAGAAAGCAGTTGTACTTTCTATCATACCGGAAGCTAATTCTGAGAAAGATAATTTAGCGAATCATGTAAGGGATGATAAGTATGATAACGAGGCAGGAAACGCGCGGAAATCTTCAAAAGACTTTCAAATTTGGGAAAAACGGACTCCTTCCGATTTTGATGAGGGAAACGTGGTGAATAAAAATGGTGAACTAGTGTTTTTGAATGGAGTAGATGATCACGAAGACCTTCGTTTTACGGGAAGAAATCTAACAGAAGATGTTAAGGAAAAACCTGAGCTTGTAACAGTTAAAGAGGGTTACAATATTTCATCGCCGAAACAACAAGTTACGCTTGTTAATGAAAGTCGCGATAATGTAAGATTAAACGACGTATCACACAATGAAAATTCTGTGGGGTCTCATGAAAATGACATTACAGAACAACAAGAAACAGCTCGTGACAAAACGAACGAGGAGAGAGGTTCAGATAAATTTGCATCAGAAACAACAGTGAAAGAAAACGTATGCGCAAGAACTGTTGATTGCCCTTCTTCTTCTAACAAATCACAAACTCCGTTAGAAATGGGAGATGTTTCTTTGGCTTTTGATCGATCTGAGACCAGAAAAGAAGACTTAAATTCTTTACGAGTCAGTTCAAGTGAAACTGGACCTGACGAGAGCGCTAAAATTGCGCCAAAAAGACCGCAAAAATTCGAAGGATACCCAGAAAACTCAAATAATGTGAATGATCTTGGAAACGTCGGCAAAACTGACAGTTTGAACCAATCAGAAAAGAATAAAGCATCACGTGATATCGGACCAACCAAAAATGTCAGGGAAAGCGATAAAAATTCGCATGTCGCGCAAGACAGCCCCTGGATCACTCGCCAACTTCAACCGGATGCAGAGAAACAAATTGAAGAAAAAGGAAATTATGAGCGCAAGAATAAACGCAAAAGAAGCGCGCCGGAAAATGAAAAACCAGAGCGAATTGTACCACGACTAATAATTGACCAAAGTAACGTTTCCGAGCGAAATGAAAATGAAAAACTTGAAAGAGACGAGGACGAGGAGGATAAACCACGGAAACGCAGAGCCAGCGAGCCTGGACTTCAGTTTGAACCGCTGAGTCCGTTGATGGAAGCAGAAAATTCAAACAACGATTTCTTGAATACAACTGGCGCACAATCTGGTAAGGTTAAACGGAACAAATCATTTGTCTCGCGTGGTTTGTCTAAAATGTTCGGTGGAAAACGCAAGTATAAGGCGGAGAAAGACAGTCTGGCGGGTCCTGTTGACTTTGATAAAATCAGTACACATGAAGAATCTGATTTCAAAGTTAATCGTCGAGAAAAAAAGAAGAAGAAGAAAGATAAAGGTGACCAAAAGGACGTCCACGAAGGATTATCTCCTGAGAATATAGACAAAAGCCCATCTCGAAAATTTGGCGGACTGTTTTCACGCGGAAAAAAGAAAGAAAAAAGTTTCACCGGGCCTTAGAGGAAATAACCGCCCAAAGTGATGACAATCCTCTGCGTGAGTGCAGTGAAAGTACAACTATCATTTAGACTCTCGTTCTTGTAGTTATTTTGAACTAAAGGTAATAGCTTCTTTAAGGACCCCTTAGTTTTCCTCATAAACATTCTCGCGTCACTTAAGGAACGATTCAGAATTTTGATCAGAACTTATGTTTTCACATCCTTTGTGACGTCTGCGAATAAAATCGCTATTTATTCAATACACGTGCCAAAGAATGAAGCTTTGAGTAATTTTCAGCCCTTATAGAACTCCTTTAACCAAAGATCAGACGTATTTTCTAACTGCAATCGCCGTGCAGGTCTAGCCTTGCTGCATGAAATGAAATGTGTAGCCGACATAATGAGTCAACATTTTTAACTTAGCCTGGGTTGTTTGTTTTCCTGATTCGGAGCATATTATCGTTACCCTAAACAACTGTTGCCTTGTATTTTCCCCTTTACACGTCTTTACGAATGCATATATTTCAAAGCGAAGGAAAGGCTACTTAGAGAGAACATCATGTCGAGGGAGTCAGGTACACAAAAACTGCCCAAGCTACTGTAGCAATGTTATGAAACATTTTTTTTTTACGTGGCTATTTTTTTTGTAAGTCATTCAACTGATCACACTTAGCAAAATGTCCATACCTATTACTTGGTTGTTCGTTCTCGACCCACTACCTTGCATCATTCGTCGATATCATTACTCAGTAACTCGATGGCGTATCATTTTAGAGACATTTTGTTAAAGTAATGGCGGTAGAATAAAGAGAATTTTATTGGAGATGAACTATAATTTCTCGCGCTCTCATGTGACCAGGTATGAGTCGGAAATATAACTTAAGGGGGGAGGGGGTGGGATGCCGGGCTTACGAGTCCGGTGCTCTTTGCTCCGTTCTTCAGATATTTTTAGCAGTTCCATGTGGAATGAATCATTAGATTGCCCCGGTGGGGGGGGGGGGGGGGACCTCAAGGGACGTTTGGGTAGGGGTGTGACGCCGAGGCTATCAAACCCTGACTCTGTTTACGACGAAAATTGCTCATTTCGGTCATTTCGCTGCCCCTCTTTAAGACAGGAAACTCTGTTTTATGAAACTTTTTATATAAAATGACAACCCTGATTCGTTTTTTTCCAGAATTAAGTAATTTAGCTCATTACAAAAGTATAGGGAAAAAAGAGAGTAAAATAAGGTTGTTGGAGGAGAGTGTGGCACTTATTCCGTAACAGTGCCTTTTAAAATCAATGCTATAAAACACTGCGCTTCCTCGAAGGCGGCGTTCTTTCGAGTTATAGTATTCAGTCTCGTAACGGGCATGGTATGTACCTTTTGACTGGACAACAAGTACTATTTTTTCAATCAAGTTCGAGGGACAGAAGTAGCTCAAAATCTAAATTAGAATGGTACTTTAATTACCTCGCGAGCAGAGGTTTCTTTTTGGCGTTGCTTTTAGCATTAACAAACTCGTTCGCGTCGCTTGTTTGTCGCGTAGTTGGTTTTTTAACGCCCTGGAGGTGTAGGAATGCACCACGTTTTTTAGGCGCAGAATAGGAAAGAAAGAATTTACGGTCGAGTAAAACTATACCGTAATTATTCAATTTACCAGCTCACAAGGGGTTTTAGAGGAATACACCACGCGCTTAGCACCCGCGCCTCAGGATTCGAAGAGAACGCTCGGTTATCAAGACTTAACGAATGCCGATCGACTTTTTAATAAAAACAGCGTGTTTTCAGGCTTTTCAACAAGAAATATACGGGCAGAATTACCCAGAAAGAACCAATGCCTACTTTATTGTGAGTTTCCCAGCCCATGGGGAGGAAAAGGGCGCTTATATATTTTTTTAGAAACAGCCGATGCGAAACAACTCTTTGATATTTATTTAAATCACTGAAAAAGAAGGGCTCTTTTTGCTATAGGAGGGTTTAATTGAATCTTAGGATGCTTAGGCAATAGGGACGCTCGGCTTATCAGGACAAAAACACATTCGATGTTGGCGCTTATCAGAGAGGGGATGGCCATTAGAACGAGAGCGCTTAATCGAATCATTTACGGCAAGTGAAGTTCTGGTTACGAAAACCCTAGCCAATGACGAAATAATAAATGCGTTGGCTCCTAGTCCACTTCTGAGCGGATTTTTCATGCCCTGCTAAGAGGCCCAAAAGAAGGCGAAACGGTGATATGGCTATCGTGCATAGTGTGAACACCCATCCGATATGTGACTCTCCACTTAAAGGGGCTGTGTCACGGCAATCCAGTTCATTTTGTTTAATTTGGCCAATTACTCGCCCTCAATTACTATGTAAATTAAATTAAGCGAAGAAATTACAGGAATATGACAAAATCAGAGATCTGAGACAAACAAATGTGCCTCCTGAACATTATTTTTGAAGTTGCAAGCAGCAGGGATCAACTTTGAAAAACTGTTAGGCTGAACAGTTTTCAAAAACCCTAATTTCAATCCGTTTCAATCTTAACTGTCCTTTAAAGTTTTACGCTGTTATTTTTATGTTTCTCTTAATTTAACGGGCATTTTGTAATTTCCTAATTTGCGGAATTTCGTGACACAGCTCCTTTAAGAGATCGGTGCGACGCAGCCTCGCTCCGTTACAGAAATAGCACAGAAATCACCGTTCTTACGTGTGCACAGAACCCCTATCCTGTCTGGTTTTCGTACCGACTCATAAGCTTTCTGGTATAGTTTTAACATAACCTAAGGATAAGCCTCTTCGATATGCAAAATTCTTCATATCATACTAAGTCTGATTCAATAATTTCTAATTATTGCCAATATACTGGGTTATGGCTCTCGACTGGGTAGAGGGACCATTGCTTTTTACGTATCGGCAATAATTAACAATTATTGCATGAGACTGAGTATCCGATATCTGGAGGATTCTTTACGTCATAAGAAATACGAATTCAGTAATAGCTTTACTATTCATTCAAAATATTTCTGGGCATGGCCGGTTTTAGAAGTTTATTTTTTCTTGCGGATACTCCTCACAAAGTAGATAACATCCACGAGTTTTAGTCGACAGAAATTCGACTGTTTTGTGTTCAAATAGACGTTAACACTTTTCGACATTTTCGTATAACACAGTTCTTTATTTGAAATCATGCTCGGTAAGTTACCGATTATGCGTTCCTTTTCAAACCACTCAGGCTGTCAAAGTGATCAGCACTGCGCGCGCTGCCGTCATATTTAGCTCTGTACAAAAAAATCAGGGAATTAAAGACAACCACTCACAGAATGCTAGTGATCTTGACATTGATACTAACATTTATTTTTTTAGCCAAGAAGTTTTAATACTGATACTGGCTATAAGCCGTTACTTATGGCAGAAAGAGAAGACATAGATTCTCTTGCCAATAAATAAATAAAATGTATTTTTTCTCGAACGCCTAGCACCACTTAGTGATGAGTTACTGTACATAACGCTTTCATATTATTTTGAGTTAGTTAGCTAACTTTCTTACTCGGCTTTTCCGAACCAAAGAAATACGAATCTGATTCTCAAATTTAAACTTTCTGGGTGGAAATGTAAACTCATTTCTAATAAATTTCTAATTACAAAAATATTATTTTTGAACGAACGTTCCTTAGATTTTTAACATTTTATGAGTCCTTTATCTGTTAATCTGTTTACAATAAATAATTGTATCAATGGTGCGTACAGTGGAACCTCGATCTATACGAAACTCTAATAACGAAGTCCTCTGTATAACTAACTTTTTTTTCCCCAGTAATAAAATTTACATGGAAAAGAACCTCGATATAACGACACGTCGTTATAGAAAACATATTTTGCCGCGCCTGTCCCTTAGCCCTTCGATATATCGAGGTTCCACTGTAGTTCCTTTTCCAGGCTACAAACACAAACGAGGTTTTCAATTTCCAGTCTAAAACATCTTTTTCTTTTGTTTTGCGAAATATTTATTGTCACCCTCAACACTGCTTTTCCCTAATTCATTGAACCAAATCTTGAAGAGTCAGATAGAGATACGATAAGCATCGGGAGCTAGCAATTTTCATTTAAGTCTATGTCTACAACAAGCTGTCCTTTAATCTCGGTTGGCGTAGTGGATTCCAGTGGCAATATCGAAGGTGTTTCTTGACACAGATTCAAATCTTTTTGCCATAGATCGTTTTCTGTGATATTTATGGAACCTGCCAAGCCATCCCTAGCTAGTAGCAGCCTCTTAAGGCCTTCGTTGTTTATAGCAATGCTCGGTGTCGACTCAGATTTGCGTGGGACTGGGACCACAATCATGGGCAGACGTGGAAACCTAGCAAATTGACGGGAAAATTCGGCGAGTGCGTCTCTGAAGAACCATATATCAACAGCGGCGAAGAAAACAACGCTTAGAAAAAAGAAGGCCAATGGAACGTAGGACATTTTCAGCAGTTCGCTGGATGATGTTAGGAATGCAATCACAATGAGGGAGATTGGAATGACGCCTTTCACAATTAGAGCCAGGAGGATTAAAACAGTCGAACCAATCTTCCGTAGTTTCGATGCTTCTGTGAGGCTAATTACGCGCCTAAAATGTTCTTGTTCGTGCTCAGCAAATACCAGGCTTCCCTCGACAAACAGAATAACCAATCCCATGATTCCGTTTTGTTCATATATGAGAATGCTGATGTAAGTTGCCATAGCAACAGTGTGGTGAACAAGGAGAGGTTTGTAGTGAAAAATTTCGCTTCTGAAGGTAAGGACTTCCGCAGTCTTGAAGACGTAATGACCCAATGCCATGGAAAACACTAAGCAAAAACAGCCGTTGTATACGAAGAAAGGATTCTGCAGCGCGTCAGAGTTTGTCAGCAGAATGATTCCGCAGACAGGCATAATCAACGTAAATATAAGGTTTGTGGAGCTGAAAAAGGAATAATAAAAGTCCAGTTAGTATACCGACTTACTTTAATCGGTGAATAACTTGTATGACATTTCGCCCAGGTGAAGATGTGAAATAAAGGAAGAAGACAAAAAGGAACTTGAAATGAAAGAAAAAATTCCTCAGTTTCAACCTGGCCAAAAGCAAAGACCAGCTGGAAAATGAAAACGGACGTCTGAAATATAGGTCTTCCTTCTGGAGGTAAAGCCATTATTAAGCTGTTCCTCCTTCAAAGATCGGCCCTTTCACAACTAAAGAATTCCTGGCTCAGTAATGCCTAGTAATTCCCGGTTCCCCCCGCCGTAAAAAGCTAAAATTACCGGCAAAACCGTTCTTGCCACCGCTTTTGAAGCGTTGGCAGTTTTTCCACACAATCGTAAAGTTTAAGCACAATTTTGAGCAACACAGAATTTTGTAAGCGAGAGAAAAACAATGAAAACACCTCGATTTAGTTAGACGAAGGTGAAATATGTAACTCCGAGGATTTCTGACTCGCCCGGCCGGGACACCACTGGGAATTGTTGATTCGTCGCTAAACCGGCAAGGCTTGTTTTTTGATGAAGGCCTCGGCATCCATCAGCTGTTGTTTTCATCATCAATGAAAAATTAAAATAGCAAAGCTTTAAGTTACAAATTATCTGTGCTTTTAAATTTATTTAAATCCCCATGTAAGGTGCTGCCCCAATCATGCCCAGTATTGACTGACAATATGCAAGGGCAGGAAGTCGGGCCGAGAAAATGGATGTTTTAGATTAAAGGAAAGAAGTATAATTTTGTTTACTTTCCAAAAATACGCCTACGTCAGGTAAAAATAAAACCAGTTTTAATTGAGGAAAAGTTATATAAAAGCTCTCTTACGTCGATCTATCAACGTTCTATTCTAGGGTGCCAGATGGGTCTTCACATCAATTAAATATTGACTGGCGTCGTCTTATTGTTACTTTGAACCGGCGTTTTCTTGTCTTAAAACTACCTGTTCATCAACTTTTGAGCAAATGATACAGAAAAAAATTCGCACTGACAATATATTCAATAATTACTAATCTCCAATTCCTAGATGCCAAACGTTTTAGATGAGTCAGGGAAATAATTACTCGCAAAGCCGTTCAGTCTGTTTCGATATTCATTTCAGCTACGAGGAAACCAAAAAATTGTTGAAACTGGACTCAATACAGGCTAAATTTAGTCAGTTTTTTTCAAGTTACTGTGATCCGTAGGCAAATATACTAAAACGTGTGGCTTTGCATAGGACAAGATGAAATTGAAGCATGACGCATTGCGTGGGCCAGACAAGGAATTATGAAAAATAAATTGTTTTGTGTTTTTATTTCCATGTTGCATTCAACTACCTCTCATCGCTGAGGTAAAGAATTGTCATAAATTAAGACTGTCAAAAACGTTTCCCACGTTGTGTTTACTTTCCACGACACTCTCACGTTTTCCGTTGACAGTTTTTAAGGCAGGGGGCAGTTAGAACTGAATAAAAATTGCTACTTCTGTACAACCTCTGCATTTTATATCGGGCTCAATAAATTTATCAAGCCACTGAATAACAACTAACCGATGATACTCGCTGAACACTGTCATACTCCTATAATATAAGTTAAAACTTTGACTTTCACTAAGTGTTCCGTTTAATCTATCTGGCACGTGTTCTTCTGCTCAAGTAGATGTTTCCTTTAGCTTAGTGGTAAGTGATCTCGCTTTGCCTTAAATGTTCTGTTTCAGAAAAGACGCAGTTGTTCATTCCAAACAAAAGAAACCGTTACAACTCATTAGAAAGAGAAAGAAGAAAGAAATTAAGTCACTTTGAATGAAACGGACCCCTAGCCAATTTCCTTACGATGGCAGGGAAACAAAAGAACATTTTTGTGAACTTTGTCGGCGATCATATTTTTCATTGCTTGTCATGGAGGTTTCAGCGTTTCAGAGTCTTAAGATACCAGATAGTGGCAAATACAATGCTGACATTCTGGCGAGAGCGTAGTTTCCCAATATTAATTTTTCAAGAGTAGCCGAGCACCTTTTTGAATACTGCAACATTGCAATATATTCGAACTATATTTGCTTGCTTAAGAAAAGCCTTATAGTGGCAAAAGACAGTTGATGCTTTGTTCGTTTACCGCAAAGAAATGTCAATAAATATTGGACCAGATGGTTGCTAAGTATTTTGATCGAGGTAAACTTCCCTTCAGAAGGTTCAAAAAAACATCCTTAAACCTAACTGGGCCGCGAATTTTTATTCCACGGTTTATTTAGCTACTCTCACAAAACTAAAACGTTCCTGAAATGGCCTTGAAATATTTTCTTGAAGGTTGTTTATTAGCAGTTTTCTGATTCCGCCACACAAGAATTAGTTCATTGAAGCGGAGAAGGTATTTTCCCCTCGTCTGAGACGAAACCATCTATTCTAGGTATGAAATCCTCTCTGAAACCAAAAGCGATTCCGCAAAATAACAAACAAAATATTTCCCTAATTATAACTTTCGAAACTCGCATTGAAACGTTGCTTAGAGGCACAATATTACATTGTAAGCATACTTTACATTATTTTCTTCGCAGTGTTCAGTTTTACCAACAGGTAATTCCTTGGTTTCACTACAGAGTGCCTAACCAAGGCCGGAACTCTACAAGAGTTTGTATTAAAATGCTAATGCTAATAATTACAGCTGCCAGTAAATTTCTACTGCTCTTGTTACCATCTAATCTCTTTTAAAATAGTTTATTTTTTCAGCCAAAATGTGCGTAAAACAGAACATATAAAAACGGTGGCCTTAACGTAAGAAAGATTACCCGCATGACTCAGCCGTGCAGAAATTTAAATAAAGAAAGTAACTTTTATAAAGTCGATTTATTATGATTATTTTTTATTTTTAACTGTTCTTTATTTCATGAGCTACTGAGATCGAGTTGTCATTTTTGCAAATAGCTTTTTAGTTCCCAGTGCCTACAGACGCCGAGATTTCGGAATTCGCTACAAAGTGTGACTTTCTGAATTTCTGAGAACTTTCCCAAAACTTCAAAAAATTAAAACCGACCATTGCAATAAACGAGATTCCCCCCCCCCCACTTCTTTTTGCTTCATCTATAGCTACTTGTTCAACTCTGTTAATTTCTTTCTTTTCTCAACACCTTTAGAATCTCGCCTGACCAAGAATTACTGACATTGCACGAAACCGGAAGTGAGAATCTGAGAGGAACACGTTGTAATAAAGGTTAAAACCAAGAATATATCGTTCCGAATGTAACAGATCGAGCTTATAGTAGACAATTTACCAAAACAACTGTGTTAAAGTCAAAATATACTTACAATCGCCGACAAAAGAATGGAATTTCGCTCTCGCACTCCTGGACCAGTTCGTCTTTCCGCCGTCTTTGACATGCACCTCTCAGAATCGCTCGACACAATTTTGGTAAAATAACGCTCCATGTCACACAGAAGTTAATAGTGGCTGAAACGATAAATAGGATTTCCAAGGTTTTGTAACTCATAAAGAGAGCCGGAGCATTCTCCTCCCTCGCCATCTCAACTGTGTGATACTGAAATTTTAGAAACACAAGTTTATAAGCACTGCTTAATAACGACGAAGTTTCAAATTGTTCCGCGTTTGCTACAGCTGTCAGAGGCTGTTTCGATCTATTATGATACTCCTACGTAAGTCATGCGACCTTTTATTTGCCTTAAAGGGGAACTTGTGCTAATGATCTAAATATATCCATATGATCAAATCATTGTTTTTCCTCGAAGGAGGAAACGGAAGTCAAAAATAAGCCTTTATACGGGACTTAGAAAGTTCCTCTAAAAAGAAAGGAACCACCAATATTTAAACCGGTATTCACGTGAAAAGGTTGTGAAAAATTCGATAGTCATAAGCAAATAAACAGTTTTTACGTGGATGGGAAAGTTATACTGACAAGTCGTTCTTCAGTCATTAAAATCGTATAAGCAGTATTTTATGGTGAACCACTGAAGCGTCAGTTCCTCTACCCCATGTTCTTGTAACATCCCTTAAATCTGGGAAGTTCCAGTTTACTGAACCATGACTGACTTCCTATAACTATCAAGTAAGCTTCAAAAGCATACGATCTTTCGATCAGGAATCATAGATTTATTCTTAATTGGTGGCCAAAAATTATAGTTAACCTCAAGTGTAGAAAAATGTACTTCTAGCGTGCCATTTCAGGAGTAAAGTCTCATAACTGAGATAGTTTAAACCAGGGGCTTCAACGTACTCGTAGCAATCCGTTTCAGAGAAGTTGGATAGTTGTTGCAAACCTGATACGTGATTATTTTTAACTTTTTTTATTTATAAAACTGTTTTCACGATTTGAACTGATATTTCCTTTAAGCAGCCTTTGCAATTGCTTGACTTAGTCTAATCGTTATGCTTCCGAGTACATAATAACAAAATAAACAAAAAAGTGTAAAACCGAGTCAGCAGCAGTGATGACTCTCCGATGAGCGCTGCGCAGGTGGTACAGCGCAATCTCACGATCCCGATCCACAAGGATTCGCGTCTTCCAAATGAGAAATTTTTCATTCGAATTGAGTTTACTCGAATTTGCTAACTGAAAAAGGAATTAAACGTATTTGGATTTATTCGATGTGAATCTCGGTTCCAATAAAAGAATTTCTCTGCGGTAAAATCCGTTTTACTGAGAAGCTTCACAATCAGTTACATTAGATCGCGCGTGCGTCCATATATCCGCATTAACCTGCGATCGATCATGTGGTCCTTCTTCCCTTTTTTTGGTATGATGTCATCTTTCCACACGCCCTAGTTAAACTAATAAGCGTTTGGGAAGACGAAGGACCAACTCGCAACTTAGCTAAAGGAAATACCATGGTCTTCCAATAGATCTATATCCCAGTCCTAGTTGCAGAGCTGGGTCCGTTCTCAAAATAACCATGATGCCGAAATAAACCGCAGCCACGTTTCATGTGCTTTAGAAAAAATTCACAAACGATAACAACAATAGTAAAAAACCCTTTGCCACTCATGTTAACTCACTTAACTGTTTTAACAGTTACGTTACTCATGCCCTGGGGACCTTGAAATTCAATGCGTCAGTAAAACACTAGCTCTTTTCATGCCTTTTCGGTAGCTTGAGATCATACCGTTCATATATAACATACAAAAGAAAACACGCCTGATCGAAGGTTACCCTAATTTAGTTGTTGCTACTTTTCTGTGAAATAAGCATTCAGTCACGCTTTTGTCAGAAGTGCCACGTCCCTAAAGTTATTTAATACAATAGCATACAATGGTAAGGTGTATCCAAATGACGTCATGCCAAACCCTTGACATAAATTAAAAAAGCGGACGGGTCGTGGCCGTGGCTTGTAAATTTCTGTAATGCAATTTGATATTAATGGAAATTGTGGTAACCAATTTCTTTTCTGTCTAAAATACTTGCTCGATAGAGGAAGGGATGAATATTATTTACTGTACTGTCTTGAATTTACCCATCAGGAAATGGCGTGCCCCATAGTTTAAGTTAGGCGGCCTGCTTTTTTCATGCATTGGCAACTTTACACCGACGAAAGCAAATCTAGATCATAAATCTTATTGTATTGCAGTTTATAAAGACGCTAAAAAACATTTGCTACTTGTAAAGACTAAGTAGTAAAGTATACTTAAAAAAAAAAAGAATAAAATACTTGTACGGCTTAGAAATCTGGGACGCTCAGTTTATCTGATGAAGATTATTTCGATACCTCAGGAGCAAGAAGATACACACTGGCGATATCGAAACTCCCATGTATATTTAGAAAATAAACAATGCCCAAATATTGTCATCACAGGCAGACTAAGTTTATCTGTAGGTATCGTGATTTTTACACGTAATGACATTAAGTTTTGGATTCAACTTTGGAGCTTACCAGAAAACTATATTAGTGAGACAATGCCTACAACTCTATCAGGAATTAGCTCGGCGGTAAAAACCTGCAAGGTCTTATGCTATAAACCTTAGATAAGCCACATTTTAAAGAGATTCCCTGAATCGACTGTGCCTCATTCCGAATAAAAGGCCAACCCTTTGAACTAGAGGAAATATCAGCGCGTGTGCGTCTGACCCTTTTTGAAAGAATTTAAGATTATTTGGTCAGTTATTGCATGATCTCCTCAGCTTCTTTGGATTCGTTACAGCGAAAGAAACGAAAACGCTAACAGGCAATACCATGGGGGTCTGATATTTTCACAGTGGACTCCTTCACAGATCAAAACACGAATCAGATAGGGGAAGGGGGAATTTGGACTAATTCCTTCCCCTTCCCTTTCGAACATCTGCCACGGAGGCTAATCAGATACTAAGAATCCGGTTTCAGATTTTATCTAAAATGAATCTTTTCGGAATGAGGAATCCATTGTTTTTAAGTTGGATTTCATTTGAGCAAAAGAACGCAAAGTGCGTTTTTGATTTATGACGAGAAACACACCCGAATTCCTTTATTGACGTCATCAAGTTAGACAGCATGCCGGACTGCAAGGTTCATTTACTCCAAGCACTACTGAATTTTTCCTAAGAGTAAAAAATGTCCATGTTTGCTTTTTACCATTTATTATATTATTTTTTCAGTTTACACTAACATGGACTGATTTTGTCAAGGAAAAAATGCGGAATTTCTAATTTAAAGATGTGTCCTAGTTGTTTTGTTCGATGAACAACAATAAAAAATAGGGCATTTTACAACTTCCCGTATGATCTGTTTTTTTTTTTTTCGTTTTAAAGGGAAAGTCCGTTTTAATATACATTGAAGTGGATCAGACGAAAGAGGTAAAACAAGCAGAGTCTCAATATAATCCAAATATTTGTCGTATGCAAAAATGCACTAAAATGATACGTTACTTTTTTTGCAAATGCTTGGAGTTATTAAGTATGACCATTCACATAAAACTAATCAAGTGGCCTTATTTATCATTGTTGCTTAATTTATCACTACGCTGCACCGTCGTTAGCAGTTCTTAATCTTTGGGTATAGCTGATTAGAGCGCCGAAAATTTGTTTAGTGTCGTCAATGTGATCGCTTGAACCTAGTAGATGATTTCTTATAGCTCTAGCCACGCTCTTTGATAGATGAGCGGGCAAATAAACATTATGAGTTACAACTGGTGTGGCAATGTTTATCTTTTCCCAGAAGTTTAGACTTGACGCAATGAATGTCCACGAACGCCCAATTGAACGCCTTAGTTAGCCGCAGACGTCCGTGCAATGCAGGCTGAATAAACTTAAAAGTAAGACAAAACAAGCCTGTTTTACAGTGTTTCAATCTTTTAGGAGCGCCGGTGCATGTTACAAAACTCAGTGCAAGCCCGGTCGGCTTTTTACGTATGTACTTAAAACCACCAACACCGGAACACCCAAGAACAGAAAGAACTTTCAACATTTTACAATTCAGGGTTAGGGTTTCTATTTGTCTTTTTTACTTCACCTATTGCCAGGTTATCTGGGTGTTCCAGGGGTCAGAATCCGGTTTTCCGGGTTTTAGAACATGCCAGTTGTTCACATGACTATCTTTTCTTCAGAGCCAAATAACGCACAAAAATGTTTCAGTCTTCTCAGGCTCACACCTACGGGATATGCTGTTGACTCTCATTTTTCAAAAGAGTAAAATCCTATTTGCCTACGAAAAAATCGACCTGTCAGGAGCCTAGGCCCCTGGACCTGTTTAGTTAGCCTGGGACGGACCAGGCTCCGAGGCTCCGCATTGGGGGAAAAAGGAAAAAAGTCGGCGAGCGAATCGAGCCGAGAGGTAGTCTGGGGAGGGGAAGGGGGCGGCGGCTTCGCTCGCCGATATTTTTCCTACTTGACCCTGTTTTTTGCCTTTTTTCCCCTCTGCGCAGCCTGGTGCCAGGCTACTGTTTAGTGATCTTCAGTGACCACGGAACCATAAAAGCGACAAATCGTGGATCAAGAGGAAACTATTTAGTGTGTAAAGGAACACGGGAAAGTAAAGAATCTTTAAACTTTCGCGGTGTAATTTTCTTAGTTAAAATCTTTTGCGGGGGATTCCTTTAGTTCGGCTTAAAACCGGAAGCTTTATCTTGTAGCCTCGTTCTCATGATTACTTTTACTTCCGGTTGATTTGTTGTCATTTTAGCGGGAAACGATTGTGACAATCGCGCGCAGTGTTCGAAAAATCCTAATTTTACATTTTGCCTTGCGATTTTGTAACTCTTTTTCAGGTTATTTGTCGTTGTTTAAGAACTTGATGAGGGTGTTTTGTATGCATAAGGATTTTCATGAGAAAAATCAACAAAATCTTTTGAAACTAATCAACGTGTTTTGTTTGAAACGAGGCAATTTCATTCATTCATTTGCATGTAAGTTTAGCTCTTTTGTTGAGTTCAAGTTTGGAAATCTCGGGTCTCTGAACGTGGAAATAGGATTTTAGCTTGATGTTCTTAAATCGGGCAGCTAAATGTGAAAATTTGAAGTCCCTTTTTGTTTTTGCTCGATTTTAAAGGAATTTCCATCGCAGTCACGAGCGAGCTGTCCTCGAAAGTGCAGCCTTCAAACATGGCCATGATCTTCTCATTCATTCACACCACGTGTTGAAAACTGCGAGCACAAACGCTCTCAGATCAACAGATTTCACTAGCCTTTGGGTCATCGTAGAAGGATGGAAGCTACAGTGTTGGACCAGGGTCGGAAAACCTCTAAGAAATGCCAGATCGAAGGATGCCACGAGATTACAGTCGGATCACGAACTGCATTATGTCGCAAGCACCGAAACAATAAATACAAGCAAAATTACAACAAAAAAAGGAAACGCAAAGCTCTGGGTCCAGAGGTAAGTATTGCTTACCGATCTCTTAGCGTATCAATGGTGAAGTGTGCTATTCTTTTGGGGAATTTTAATTTCGATAATAAAGCTTATTTCTTCGTTAAGTTAGAAGGCGTCACTCTGTACAGAAGTCACATGTCTTTGTCAAGCACATTTCAATTTTGCCATAGCTATTGTTTTATATCCTGTAAGCATTTTGTCCCTTTATTTCAAAGGCAGAATTCAACAGGTTTCACTTCTTAACCTTACTGTGGATTGATTATTCCCTCCCCTTCGTTTTTTTTGACCTGGGACTGTGGACTAAAAATTTAGAAATGAAGAAATAATATCCGCATTGCTAATGTTGGCGAGTTTGCATTAGGTATTTAAATTCCAATTGCATTTCAATCACTTTTATTAATATTTGTCTGGCATGTGTACCGTTTGATTTTCACCAGTTAAGTTAAGAAAGAACTTGAACATTAAAACAGACTGATGCATTTGATTCTTTATACGGTGATCATCGCTAACGATAGCATATGTTTTTCTTTCGCTTTGTAAATGCCATTAAAATAATTACCATAAATGAGATTACTTCGTTGTCAATTGAGAATTATGAAAATGTCTTTTTTCCGCATCTGTCATGATCAATTTGATGCGTTGAAAAAAAGGGGAAAATAATTAATCCTCTTGTGGTAGTACAAATGTATTGCTTTCAATCCTGGCTATTAAAAAAGAAAGTTTTTTAGTGGTGAATTTTGTTTACCTGCATGTAACTATTGCATGCTACAAAAACATGCTCTTTTTATTGGGTGAAAGTACTAATTAAAATTGCAAGGCTATTGGTACATGTACCCTAAAGCAAGTAGTTACCCACTTGGCAAAGTACACGCTCACTGTCCCAGCGGCCAGTTTGTATTTCCACTCTTGTTTTCAAACTCTTCAGTGGTGACCTCTCCAAAACTGCAAAAGCCACTGAATTGCATCCCTCCCAACTACCTGAAAAACCTTTCCACATTGGCCAGTTAAACATGAACAATGGACAAACTGATGTGCTCATCATACAGACTGTGTACCTTACTCATTTTGTTTTGTCAACATTTTTGTTCTGGACCTTTGGTTTTTTAACCATTAACCAAAAGTTTCTGGAAAATCTAGTTTGAAAGTATATAGAAAGTATCTTTTTGGGTATAGAAACAGAACAGCTGAAAAGATAGTCTGTGTTCTTGGTTGGAACGTTCCAATGGAAATTTGTCACTTGTTCCTTTCAAACCGATCATTGGTACCAGTTTTAGCCTTACTTGTAGGTCAGTTTTTCTGTAAATGGCAAGTAATTTTGTTACCATTTGCCCAATCTGTGGACCAAAAGCTTTGCCAGTATATGGTTAATGGTAAACAACCTTGATGTCTCTTGTATTAAAATGTTTTGGTTGTAGTATGCCGTTGACCCTTTAAGTCCCAAAAATGATCAACATCAATTTTCTCCTGACTTAATCAATACTTCTCAAGAGAAAAGGCTATGATACATGTAATGAATTTCATGAGCATCATAATGTTGAATTGCCGCCAGCCACTTACCTGGGTCCTCATAGAGGTTAGTTTAAGAATCAATAAACTGTGCATCTTGAATCTTTCTTTTTGGTTAAATCATTGTTTAGGAAATCCCAGGTGAATCAGTTGAAAGTCAGTTAGCAGAGGAAAAGTGCTTGATGGAACAGAAGTATGCCAGTATGCTGCAACAAGTGTTGGCCCAGAAACAACTGGTAAGAAATTGTAGGAAATCCTTATGGGATCCCCAACCCTTTTACTTCCAGATGTTGCTTATTAAGTCAAAACTGGCCAAAAATTCCAAATTCCATTTTGTAAAATGCTGAAAAAAAAATAGTGCTATATGAAAGTGCAGCCAATTACCTAAGAGGTTTCAGTTAAACGGACACACCTCAGTTTCTGGCACACAGGCTAAAGAGCCAACGTACCCTACAGCCACCTTGATTGAACTTATTCCATTACTGAATATCACAATGATTTTTTAATTAATGGTCAATCAATAATGATGGACAAAACACTAAATCTACCGTATCAATTTTCTTATATCACAGCCTCAAAATATTTATAAGAATAAGTCCACTGAGAAAATTTTAACCCTGTTTATTATAAATAACAGTGTCAGAAACAGATAATATGTCTGGCAATACTCCATGCATTTGAGTGTTGTGTTTTTAACTGGTCTGTTAGAATACCGGTAGTTGACTGTTTTTGTGTTGAAAGGAATTGTTGCAATCCGAAAAAGTGATCCAGGTGCTACGAGACCACCAGCAGAAAGTGAAACAGGACAAAATCAAAGAAATTCAGGAAAGAAAAATTAAGAAAGAACAGGAACCAAAAGAGACTGCAGGCACTCAAGGTAATCATGCTGGCAGTGCATAACCTTTCATGGTTGCTCACAGTGTTTGAACCTCTGGGGAGGAGTAAGAGGTTTAAGGTCTTGAGTTCTTAATCTTTTCTTGAGTGGGAGTGGGGAGTGGAAAATGGCACAAAAAGGGTGTGGCAAGTGTCTAAGGAGTAGGAACCAAGAAAAACTGACAAAAGTGAAGTTCGCATACAATGGAACATGTACACAGCGCCGGGCGGATAACTTTAGGAATGGAATTAAGTGGGAGTGACCCAAATTTTTTTGTAACCCCACTTGAGTAACCAAAATAATACCTTAAAATATTTCAACCAATCATTTTTATGGTCAGTTTTAACCTGAGAGAGAGCACAAAAAGGTGCAGTAACCCGGTTGATACGCGGACACCAGGGACATGCCATAGTGAGAAATTGTCCTTGATGCATGAGGTCAATGTCTTAATTCCACAGGTTGTGAGACTTACAGATAATGTTTGAGATTTGGCAGGAATATTAGTCCCCCCAAATAAAAATTATGATCTAACTTGAAAAAGCAAATAAATTGCAGCAGGCCTAGGGGAGAGTGGAAGATTCTACTTACTGTAAACTTTTATATTTACACTCTTACTGTCTTCAACAATGAGTTGTTCCTCTCTGTCCCCATACATGTTATACATATAAGTCACATAAGAATTAGCCAAACATATCATTTGTTTTACATCGTCTAGTAATTGCGTCATTGAGCTTTCTCATTTAACACTTAATAGATCTTCTAATAGTGTGTATGTTTTGTTATTCCATTTCAGACCTTGTGATGTTACCTTAAAAACCTCACATTTCTTACAAATGTCGTTTGCTTATGTGTGCATATATTTATGGAAAACAAAGGCAAATTCCCTTGGAACAGAACGTGGTCTGAATTGGGAAAATAAAGCATAGAAGCCTTTAGTCTACTATCATTATTTTGATGTACTTGATCACTTTTAAACTTCAGAAAAGAAAAGTTGGCAGTGTTCTTTAATCTTAATATTACTGGATCCTTCTTTTCAGATTCTGCTGTACCAAAGACAGCATCAGAAGCTTCTGTTGCAACAAAAGACAGACCAACAGAAAAACCGAATCCCAAACCAGCAAAAAGTTCCAAAAAGTCAAACCAGAGTAAAAAGAGTCCTGGAAAAGCTGTTATGCCGAAAGAAATCATCCAGAAAGGAAACAGTCTGAACTTTCCTGGAAGCATACTAAGCATCTCCAAAGCACCAAGTTGTTCTACTTTTGATACAAAAGCACTGCACACGGGTGCTACTCTTTCACCTTTGGATACAAATGCTGCTTCTTATGTTGGACAAAATCTACAAGTCTGTCACAGTGGGTCACAACAGCTTACATCTCTACAGCCTAATACTATGGCAATCCAGCAAATACCAAAGATTGATTCCATTTTCAGTTATCGCCCAAATGCTTTAGGGAATGCTAACACCTCAAGCAGTGCCACTAAAATTTGCATTGATTCTGTGAAGGATCTTTCGCTAGGCCCTTCTGGGAGTGTCGTAACATCGATCATGACTACACCTAATCAGTGTCAACCTGCTCTGGGTGTTAATAGCACACAGATAGCAAGCTCCAAGACATTGCAAAGTATTCACACTATTTTGCTGCAAAATCCACCACCTTACGAAGTGGCTCAGAAGGGAAGAATTCCTGGTGTGAGCATTACCCCACAAGGCAATCCTGGACAATTAAGGTTGGCAACACCTCATACACTAGCACAAGTAACAAATGGAGGTAATCTTGTGACTGCCATAGGGATGGCACAACAGCATCAAATGACATTTCCACCTGTGAACTTAAACCAGTCAGTGTCATTGTCTAGTGACCATAATACCACTTCATGGACATACACCCGAGTTCCACAAACAAGCCAGGTAATTGTGAATAGCAGCAGGGGTATTTTGCAGAATGCCAGATCAAGGCCACCGAATGCTGAATAACTCAGCCCTGAAGTTCAGTAATTAAGGTTATAAGGAAACTGATATGTACTGGGCAGGCTGACCTGGAACTACCTATAAACCCTAACCACTAAACTTCAGAGTCATTTTGCTTTCAGCGGCCTTTCAGTGAACCTTAAAATACCCCTGCTGCTGTGGATAGTGCAGGATTTAGTCTAAGTCTTACTAACAGTAGGATGCTGGTGTGAAGGCCAGGGAGGGGGCAGGTACTCCCTAAATTGTAATCAATACCAATTTGTCTATACTAGGAGGCTCCACCCAAAAGGGGTACATTTTTGAGTCTTCAGGAAAGTGTAGTGATTTCACTAGTTGAAGTACATGAAAAGGGTGAGAAATCTGTCATGTCAGCCTGAAAATGGCCCAACAGGGCTAAGAGATGCATTTTATGGCTCTGAAAAAGTCGAGAAAACATTCTGGTTTCGTGATTTCTTTATATCTTTAAGACAGTGCTTTTACAGCAGTTAAAAGGGATGAATAGCTCTAAACTAGGTATGCAAAGGGGTTCCATTTGTCAATAAAAAGTACTTGAAACGGCTGCCTTTTCTGGCAAAAATGGTATATGAAAGGGCAAGGGGTTAGACCTAAAAAATAAAACTTTGTTGAGTACCCCTCCTCCCCAGTATGGAGGATGCTGCCTAGCAAACTTAATGACAGGGGTGCTAATTTAAAAATTTAAAAGACAGCCCAGAGCTGCTAGAATGATGTTTGGTACATGTGACTTATATTCTCACTACTAAGAAGTACCAGAAGACAAAGGAAATGGTATGAATGAACGATAAAAATGGCATGAATAAATGGTACTGTTTTTGATTAATTATGATTAGGAGGTTTAGCATAAAAACAGTTGGAATCATTGATTCTTTACCCTGTGCAATACGCAATAATTTGCAGATCTTTTTACTACTAAGACCAGTAGTCATTTTAATTTTGCTTTCATATTTAGATTTGGTAATCCCAGTGAGCTTTAACTATCAAAAGCCCTATATGCACAAGAAAGCAAAACCCTCAGGGTGAAGGATTCTTGTAGTAGTTGTGAAATGACGTGCAAATACAAATGCAAGTGCAAATGGCTTGTTATAGTAAAATCTGCTTTATTTGTCTTAACAGAATATAACACAAAACTGGTCAAACCAAATCATGTCAGCAGGACGAATGCAGACTGCAGCAACAATACAGGATGACTTTTTATTTCAGATTCTTCAGGTAATTTTTCTTTCTTAAAAATGAAAGGAAAATGTAAACATTTTGAAGACCGCACATTGACCCTTTAGACGCCTGACAATTCCGCTTAAACACAAAAATGTCGTTGTTTTGTAGTGACAATAATTTATACCTGTATTATATGTGTTAGAGAATGTAGACTGCGAACAGTCTCTCTTTTTCTTTAACTCGTAGTCTATAGAGAATGCAATCTTTTCTTCTTTTTCTTTTTCTAGGGCAGAGTTGAAAAGGCTCTATTCTGTGTTGCATTATCTCTTCTCTTTATTTGGCATTTTGAATTCCAAATTCAGAGAAAAAAAATAGGATAAAAACTCTGTTTCGTAGATTTCAGATTACTAAGTATTCCATTTCTTGGCACAGGAGAACAAAGATCCGCAAGGTGTTCAGTCCCAAACAAACAGCACTCTGACAAGCGTGGATCACGTGGTATCTGACCAGCCATGGACAATAAGCATCGGGATGTGACATCAGCAGGCTTGGCTACACAGTGTTTTGGACGTGTTTCCCTGTTTTGTACACCCGGCCCCGCTTTTTGAAACGTTTGGTAGCGCTATCCACCGGATAAATATTTATACAGTGGCTAAATATTAGGGAAACCAATTGCGTTATCTACTGGACAGAGGTTTATCCAATGGATAGCGTTATCCAGGTTTCGAAAAACTGGGCCCAGAACCTTTGGCGAGAAGAGCAATTTTCACTGTTTTAAAGAAAGACCCGCCTATTTGACTTGGTGCGCTAAATGTTCATAACAACGCACGTTAAACGATGTTCTTGCAAAAGCAAGAAAAACAGTACCAGCATTATTTTAAATATCCGTTGAAGCTCCGCTTTTACAATTGCCTTTTTCATTAAGTGGTTGAAATCAGTTTTAAAATAGGAGATCTATCTGCTAAAAGCGCACGAAAAAGGTTTTATAATTTGTCTTGAATATTGGTGAGTATTATCCTGGACTCTCCTTCAGGAAATGTTCACCAATTTTCACCTTACTTGCGGCATGCTAACATTTCTTTTTCAAAAATAATCTTATGAGCTTCGCCAATATACATGTAGTTTATCGACACAAGACAATTATTCCCGTGCGTTGGACACCACGCGTCGACCACGTGCAATCCAAATGATTTTTACTCACAGGATTAAAAATTTGAAGAAAAAGTAAGCCAACATTTTTTATATTTATTATTTTTCTTAGTACGAAAACATTTTTTTAAACACTCGGGTTCTGGAAATGAAACGTCGAACGCCAGTTTAAAAACCGAAATGAAACTGAGAGTGAGTTCTTTTTCCTTCAGGAAACATAGTTTTCTACTTCTATATAAATTAGTGTATTTCATTTTATAATACAGCATAATGCTCGGGCATTATTTTATCATGTGTTTGTACTCTAGGATTTTTTTATTTTGTACTCCAAACAATTTTTTACAAATATTTTATGGTAAAATCAGAGTTACTTTTACGTTCTAATTTAAATTTTTCTTCTTCCGAAACTCCAATTTATATTGCGTCCGAAAATCCTCTAATTAAAGTAACTTGAAGTTTCCAAAATACGTCACAACAGAAAATATTAATGGGTAAAATAAACCAGAGAAATTATGATTGCAATGGGTATTTTGTTTTTGGTTGGCTAATCAAAGCTGAAATTTCACTTGTTGGAAGGTAATTGGAGGGCGACCTTTCGGGCCGTTCCATCCAAAATCTCCAGGAGAAACGGACCAAAAGCTTGAAAAGGTCGTACTGTCCCTTTGGAAATATTCCAAACGAAAGCACTTGTTCATGTTTTTATGCTTCATCTTTATCGTCATCTAGATTAAATAGGTTAAGGCCAGTTAAAGGCGGGGGAGGGGGCGGAGGAAACCGGCACCCGTCGCTCTCCCCTTGACCGCGCACATTATTAATGAGAGAGTGGTAGGTCAGGTCCCGCACGGAATTTCCCTTTTCTTAAATTTCCTTGCCATTTTCCCATTCTGTGTGAATAAGCCACATGTTTCCCCACTTAAAGCTATGCTTTATTTTCAACGACCGTATCGATTGTACGGAAACCATTCTTCTTAGTACTGAACTCCTCCGGAGCGATCGTTCTCACTTAACAATCATCGCGATCGTTGAAAAGCTGTTGCCATATAATTGCTGCTTTTGCTGAACTTTCTTTAACGATCCTGGCGTTCAACCTGAACCATTAAACAAATGGTAAACAACCAGTACATCAATCGAGTGTGAAAAAAGTAAAACACAGCATACGTAGACAAGCGAATGAACCAATCAAAACTCGATGCACAAACAAATAGGTTTTCGTTTCTCTTCTGATTGGTTGAAAAAGTGGCGCGAGATTTTTTGCCGGTCACCAAGCATTCTGTGACATTAAGGGCATACATGGTTAAAGTGCCGAGTCTGATTCGTCACCAGTCGTCTTCGGGCTTATCGCACGGCGGGAGCAAGGAGCAGGGGGTGACTAGGGAGAGAGACGACTGGGGACGAGTCAGATGCCGAATCGATATCTGCGGGGCCGGGGGAGTTGGGGGGGGGGATTGTCTGCAGGGTCTCTTCTTCAAATCCTTTTCTCAGTGACTGATGGCAAGATCATTCTACCATGCCTATTGTGATTCATGTTCATTTTAAAGTTGTCCGTTTTTTCTTTTGAAATGCTAATCCTAAAAGTACTCCAGGACTGTTTTCATGACTCTGTGAATGTCGCAGAGTAAGCTCTATAGAGTGTTTTCATTCACGTGGCCAGCATCTATGCAAATTTATTGAAACAAAAGAAAGCGTTTGCATAAGAAAAGTGTCCAACTCCCAGAGGATTGGTTTGGGACACCAACATGGCCGCCGTTTCATTGTTTTGGGACACCAATATGGCCGCCGTGACGTCATGTGAAAACACTCTATTAGGTTGTGATTTCAATTCAGTACGAGAATATGTACACACGTTGCCAAGCTGCAATGCATTGAATAGGTCTGTAGGAGAACAATCTGGCCTGGAATAAAGAAACAACGTTCCCAGTTTTTTTTTTGCTGGGATTCAAATTATGCAAGTCTGGCAGGAGATCGTTGACGCACTTGTTTTGATATAGCTGCATTAATATTTTGTACCACGTGACTGACCAACTGTAATGGGCCCATTCTTTTCTACTGAACATTTGGCTTTATTTATCTAGCAGTGGACAAAAAATAACAATACATCCTTGTTACAACATCTGTAAGGAAGTCGGATTGTTTGATAACCCGCCTCACAGTCTTGAGATTCTATACTGACGGCTTGAGAAGAGTTTTAAGAACTGTTTCGCAGCATGACAGATATAATTTTTTAAAGCCCAATTGCTTTTGATCGTCTGACACGATCTCTCGTGCCCAATTTTGTCGTAACCCGGGTGTATGTACTGTTTCTAGGCTTTTGTCCTGGGTATGTTGAAATTGTATTCATACAAGTTTGATATCATGAGGGGGTTTGATCCGGCGGTAAGGTTTCAGCCTTTCCCTTTATAACGCAGAGACGTGTTTCAATGAAATTGTCCAAACAGCCGCTAAATATATCTTCCGAAAGCCGGTCTTGTATCGAATCTCATCTAAACGACCGGCAGCAACGCGAAATTCGCACCTAGTGGGCACTTTCTAACAGGGGGTGAAAAATTACCGTGCTCGATATCATTCTGTCAAAAGAGTAATAACTGTTTCAATTAGGTCGCAAACAAACATGACAAGCAAGAAGGAGGATGCAGAAAGACTCTTCAGTTTTCCTTCCCTGCTAGCAGAAGCTTCTTTTCGTGTCGGAAACCATTTTACTCACGGTAACCGCTGGGTAAATACTCTTACTTTCTCGCCCTAGATTTACGTTTTTATCGGTTGCCAACAAAATAGCCCTTTGTTCAATTTAATCAGTTGAAAGAACTGGATCTTGAGATGTTTATAACAGCCGTGCGGCTAAAGGATTTTTCCGAAAAATCTAGGCTAGCACCATTTAGCTGAAAACATCGCCATGCTATGATGGTATTCAGTTAATTGTCGAATATCACAGTGCCAGCTTTTTTGGTGCATGGTTATCTCTCAGTGAAAATCGTTATCTTTTTTATGGGAGAGATTGTAGGTAATATATGTGTCGTGGTTCAATTTTATAATTGATCAAAATTTATTCTCCTTTGTTTTTGGGTATGGCAAGGTATGATTGTGAGATTGAAACAAAAGAAAAAATGTTTAAAGCAAAGGATAAAATTGAACCACATACTAATATAACGGAAATGTTGGCAGTAATCTTGTACGTATCTACCGGCCCTAAACAGTGAGAGTCGTTCCCCCTCAAGTTATGTTTGAATAGAAAGTTTGCTAAATGTCCCAAATTGCACTGAAAAGAGATGAAAGCCAAGATAACGTTAATATTTTGTCACCAAAATTCGCGACATATAACTGAATTATGGTGAAATCGAGTTTTTAAGGTTGACTAATCTAGTGTGCGTTTTCTGGCCGGTTTTATCACTTTTGGTGATTTTATTCGTTTTCCTGACTTGAAAACAGAGCAATGATTTAGCATCTCAGCAGGTCCCTTGCATAAATAAACGCGATGAAAACCAAAGTCGCTCAAATTGACTGGCGTTATGTTCCACGAAATTACTGTAGTACTCTCTACGATAGGAAACGCATGTTTATCTTTTTGATTCTGAATATCTTTTGACACTGGGGAACCAAATGAAAGGTGTTTGAGACCTCGAAGATTGTAACTCTTGTTATCGCTTTACGTATCTTTTTATTGTAAATACATTATTCTGTTTTAAAAGCTAAGTTTAACAGTAGTGTGCCTGCCTGCTGATTCATTTTGTAATTTCGCCGTTACCATGTGTTGATGATCGACAGATTTTCTGTTCCTTTGTTCTTTTTATGATGTATATCATTCTGCTTTGTTCTTCAGCGCCAATATGAACTATTTCGTAAGGTTAGTGAAAGAACTGTTAATTATCTGCACCTGCACTCAACTGTTCAAATATTATACTAACAAACGAAAAATGTCGCTCAACTCAGTACTTGAGAGACGTGCTTTGCGATTTTCCAAGATAAAATTAATGGCTGACCGAAAATTGTGTTATGAAATATGATGTCTTGAAAACAAACTGACCCTCGAGTTACGAAGGCAAAAGTAGAAGTCATCATTTAAAGTTTGTTTTTGTTGTTTACTTAGATCTACTGTTGAAAAAATTTACTCATTTTTTTCGCCTGTTGTAACGTGTCCATTTTCTAATTATTTCAAACTTGAATAAACTTCCTGTAGTTTTGTCCTCCATGCGCTTGTTTGCAATATCAAAAACTACTTTTTAACTTATTAATTAATTACAATGCTGAGCAGAAATTTTGGTCTTCGAAAGAATATCAAGCCCGAGAAAATTACGGTCATTTAGTATGACTTTTATCCAAAAATCAAAGCATCGAAAAGGAAGTTTTAACCAAAAATAAATAAAACGACGGTTTTTTAATTCACTTCTTATTAAAAAGGAGAACACAAAGCCTCTGGAAGTTTTCTTTTCTTCTTTTTTTTTTTCAAGAAAAAAAAAGTCTTATTTAAGTTTATTCTGCCAATAAACTTGACAACTCTGAGATATATATACAAGCCTATTTAAAATCCTATTTTAAATAAGATCTTTAGAATTAGTTATCACTTTGCCTTATTTTGGGGAAAACATTTTAGGATGCAGCAAAAGACAATTCGCATTCAAAAACAGCAAAGGTCTTTGTGTTATATGTTTTACACTTCAAACTTTGTAAAAACCGACTTTTAAGTGTCTCATAGTTGTTGGAAATGAATTCCACAGTCGATTACCAAGTCATAAAGAAGATAAAATGAAGATCAAAAGAAATTCTGTGCACCTCTGTTATCTGCATGTTCAACTGATTTGAATAACATTACCCTTGACTGTAAGCTACTTTAACTTAGCAAACCGACACGAAACCCGTTTTTTTTTTCAAGAACTAATTGTGAAGCCTACAAATACCATGATCTTTAAAACATTTTGCTACTGTTTTTGTCTCTGATTTTTTTACAACAGAAAAGGTTAATTTTGGCCTTTATTTTACAGATTAATCAACAGTACTCGCTTCTGTTTGTTTGAGACAGATTAAAGAAAAGCAATTAAAAAAAGAACATTGCATACAGCTGCTAAGCGCAATTTACACTTCCCTGCTTACTCGAATTTTGTTGCTAAAAACCTTGAGCAAGCAATCCCGTTAACTTTTCCTGTGACGGTTTATTTATTTACTAGTTTTCTGCTCTTTTCTGCTAAGGAAATGAGTCATTTTTCGGTAGTGCGCCGTTGAATTAATCCTTTTAACAATTCAAAGAGACAGTTGGACTCACTGTACTACGTAAATCGACAAAGGCCTGCCGGTCAGTTTGTTAGAATATTTTCCTTCATAGTATTTGCTTATAACATCTTATTAGAACATGCTCTCCGTTAATTCACAGTGTTTGAAAAATAACTCATTACTCAAAAAGTAAGAAAAAAGGGAAAGGGCGAACGGAAATGTTTATAATTGGCACAAATGTAGTATGAGTGCTCTCCACTGATTTTTCTCGAAAAGGACGCGCCAGTTGAAACTTATTGGCAACATCCATGCAGTTCTGTTGCCATCTGCACCTGACAAACTTTTCTTCGTTGAGAGCAGAAACACTCGATAAAACAATAAAAACATGCTCTGATTAAAAGAATAACAATTACAAAATGACACGCGTGCCGATGAATAAATCAATCTGGATGTAAGACTCACTGTGGTCATGTATTTTAAAATATCATCATGCCAGCCTTACCACTGCATAAGTTGCTGGTCGAAAGTACTCTTTTTCACCCAAAGTGGAAGTTTGGTATATATGGACGTTATTTGATTTATATAGGAGATTCGAATCGACTGGTTTTAAAGGCATTCTCTTGCTTGAAAAGCTTTGTGATAAAAGAGCTTCAGCCGCGTATAAGGTTTTTTTACATACATTTGTGTTCGAACTCCAAGGACTTTGGTAATTTTATTTAAGTTCAATTATTTCATTAAGTGACACTCTAGGGCCAAAAGATATAGCCAAGGAATATTAGTTGCAGTTCGGACTCCCCGTCATTTATTCAAGGAAATAGCCAGGAAAATTCACGATTTTAAGATAAGATCCCGTCCCTGAAACTATCAAACTCAAATGATTTGATGTCAATTTTTATCGCCACGACGCTGCAAACTGACCCGCCATTAACATTCCATCTTGTAGGTGAGAAATCTTGACCGGATTCATCTTTTTCAGAGAATTTTTAACATAGTGACTAGAAAAATAGAAAAGATACTGAAGGTAGTATATGCGTGATTGTTGATGAAAGGTCTCTAATGAAAAATTGATGAGTGCTTTTATTCTTACCGCGTGCTGTTGTATATTTAGGTATCTGTTTTGCTTTCTTTTGTTCGAAGAAAATAGCTGTTAACTGCTCTTTCGACCCCGGAATATTTTGAAGACAGCAGATTGAATCATTCTCATACTAGGCGAAAGTAACTTCACCGTTAAAGCATCTTTCGGCCGAGGTCTTGCATGTCCGAACGAGAAAGGAAAGAGGATCTCGAAGTGATCACAGAGAAAAATATATATAGGGCTGAAAACAAAGTCCCAACCATTTGATAAGCCTTGTCTCTTTTCACTGGCAGCTGTACACATGACAGATAAAATGCGCTTACGAAATTTTTCACGAACTGAATTCTTTTTTTATTACTATTTTTTACTACACTAAGACGTTTTTCTTCACTACACTGCCGCCGCCGAAAAATAAATGATTCAGTCGACAAATAAAGCTACATGTTACATTAAGTTATTCGTTTTGTAGTTCAACACATTCTCCAAATATTAAAATACAGTTAACGCTATAAACCTAGTGTACAGTCAAAGAAAGAATTTTAAAAAATAAAATTCTAATCGACATTCTGATTATTTTTGATAATTTTCTCCGTCGACATGTGGTTATGAAGCGTACGTGTTATAGGGTGAATTCGGTTATGGAGGATTATATATGAAAGGCAAACTTAATCTGCCTTCCAAGTTAATTTTCGTTTTTCGTGCTGAACATGAGCAAGAGATCAGTCGACAAATTATTTAAGGTATCACCTTTGCCGTATGTTAAAATTATTTTACATCTAATGCGTAAATACAGAGGTTTTAATACGTCAGTTTCTTGACATCTGAAGGGCTTTCCATGAAGTTAGAAGTTCAATTTGACAACAAAGCTCACGTTTAAATCTTTCAGCAATGTCTATGATTTTTTAAGTCACTTTTGTGACGTTTTCTAAGACACTTGTGATCCGAACGAAATTAAATCCTTTGCAACAGTTTGCCAAATTCAAAAATTGGCGTGTTGAATTTATTATAAAAATTCACTACTGTTTCTAGTTGATCATTCGTTCGCTTAATTTACACTTAGGATAATACAGTATATCCACTGCCAAAATAATTTCCTTGAGCTTGGACGGTGTTCCACGTGGGCTCCGAAAAATTGTAATATCCATTAAAGTAAGTTGATGCGTTGGTCGTATGTTTAAGGCCATAATCTTGCCATAAGTTACCGCTCATGGTACTGTCTGTATTGTGAAAGATGCAGTTTCTCGGTGGTTGTACGTTTAAAATAGAAGTATTACCTCTAGTAGAAGCATCGAACGAAAATGGAACACGCTGCTCAAAAAATTCGTCCATAACGACATTATCGGATGTTTCGGAAGACGGTGAATACGGATCGGCGGTTGATGTGTTGTCAGATAGGCTAGCTGGACGGCTAGAATTATTTGAAGCACACTCGCTTTCCTCCGACCAGCGCTCTATAAAATCATCAAGTTCAGGGCGAAGCCAGTGCAAAATTTCAAAGTCAGTGCGTTGAAGATCGCTTCCAGGAAAATTTGCTGAGGAGTGACGAGTGTTTTGATGCGGCTGTCGCGGTGTTTTTGATGGTTCGCTCCAAAACGAGTCGGGAAGCTTTCGTTTTCGAAGTGGTGGCTGGGGTGAAGTAAAAAGCGATGACTGGGTACTCTTTCGCTCGTTGATTTCTTGATTCCTCGAAATTTCTAAAGTCTTTTCTTTTTTTTGCTCGGGCTTGTTCTGAATAACCCCAAGTGCGTTATTTTTTTGGCCCTCAACGTTTTCGGCACGGTTTTTACTCGGTGCAGTCTTCGTCGCCGTGAGCGCGACATCGTTTTCCTGTTCAGCTGCGATGAAGACGTGATCAAGTAACTGTTCTTGGCTACGCCAAGAACTTTCGGATGACATTTTATAAGATACTCCACGTCCTTTCAGTTGGCGTTGTAGATATTTTCTGTGGTTTACTTTTCTTTTTGGTTTAACGGGCTTCTCCAGGGCGAATTTAAGGTTGCTAGTGGCCATGCTGACAAAGTTAAGTAAGGAACTCGGCGTCGAGGTTTCTCCCAGTACAGTGCTCATCTTGCTGTATATTGGTCGTGCCTTCACTTGTCAATGCGGAAGCGAAAACCAAGGGCTCCACAAAAAATTGAACTTTTAAATTATTTGTGTTTGGTGACCAAGTAAACATTAGCCTTTTGCTCATTTGCTTGTGGCTCGCCGAGGTCAGTTTAACCGCGGGGCGTGTGGCACTGTTTAAGTAGCACCTCTGACCAAGAAATAACACCAGTCGCTTGTTAAATCGAGAACTAAGGCTTTGTGCGCTGACTGGAAACCAAAGCTTATATTAGACTTAATAGACCCGACAGCTGTTTCGGACGTGCGAAAGTAGCTTTTTAACGAACTGCGCGTTTTTTCAGTACCGTGGGTGGAGAGAGAAAAACGTGTCTTTCAGTCGCTCTCTTGTTCTTTACTGCAAGATACGGGAAATTAGTCGAACGCTATTGGACGGTTGCTCGTCAATTGTTCTTAAACACGAATAAAGCTTTAAACATCTCATTTATCTGTCAAAACAACAGCGACTGGGATTGAAATTGCCTCAATAGCTAATAAGAGTTAACGCGAAAGACATTACCATAAATTTCCATTTTTAAATCAATTCATTTGTTTTCTACGACAAAAATGTTTACAATAGCAGGTTTCGGGAAGGCCTCACTATTATACTTATGCCACTGTCTACCTAGACAAAGAGCCTAAAAAATTATCGGAAATATAAAATTGACGAAAAAACATAAGGAAATGAAAATCTTTTCGCTGACGAAATTTTTAAAGACATCGCTAACCATTCCGACCGATATAAATAATTAAGATGCATTTAAGATATATTTAAAATACGGCGGAAATTGTTTGACAATAATTTTTGTCTCCAATTATTTCTACCTTTGAAATATCATTAAAGTTTCTATTTTCCTGCGTATTTGGTAAATGCGTGCATCCTACATGAAGAAAAGGCATGTAAAACTGAACGAGAGTGAGTTCCCTTTGTATAATGACTACTTCTTACCATTGAATGGCGTGTTTACTGTAAGTCTCCCCTCTCGGCGCTAGTCGCGACTATTAAAAGGCTATCAATTGTAAAAATCTTATATTGGCTTCATGAACAAGCACTTTTGACCAGTTAAAGGCGCTCCCCGAAATATCATTTCCTAGCGTTGCGCGTCGCTCGGATTGGACCGGTCATCATAAAGCGACAGATATTTTAGAGATTTTTTAATAACAGCAATTCTCTCGCAAATAGGCGGCTATCTTTAGGTAAATTACGCTACAATTCCCGTAAATTATACCTTTTAATTTGGCTTTTTTGAAATTCAAAATTTCGTTACATCTTGGTGACGAAAGAAAGAAAAAGCGCCAAAAATGTCTTTAACTGCATAACAAGGGTAACTTTTAATAATTTACATTAAAAAAATAGGTCCCTTTACTTGTCAATAGGTAAATAAAATGTTACCAAGGCCTTGTATCCTACGTTTTCTGAAACGATAATTTACAAAACACTGATAACTGTCAATGGGCTTTCACTAGCTTTTTCAAGTTCAAAAAAAAGTTGTGAATAAATTCCTAAACGAAATGAATAAAGTACTAGCCCTGTTGTTTAATCCGGTTTAAGTACCCACATAGTAACATTTTGCCTGGAAATGGCAGATGTTGTAAAAAAATAACCGTCATTAAAATGGAAGACAAAGCCCGTGGCTAGTTTTTCTTCATGCTAGGTATTCCTTTGTTTAACTCCTGCCATTTTGAACCAATCCATGCTGAGCAAAATCTTCATTATTGAGATCCGTCAAAATTAGCGCAATATAACACTAAATTACGAGGGTTTCATTTTGCCACACTCCAAATCTAGAGTATATTGGGTTAAAAAATTCAGAGGAAGATTCTGTTAAAGTGACGACGCGATACTGGATGTGAAAAACAGCATTTAACATTTTCAACACACATTGATCTTACTCAAACATCTGTCATGTATTGAGAGCTGGTGAAAAGAGGAATAATTGTGAGCAGCTTTAAATTACCTCTCGGTTATAAATTATTGCATTCACGTCGTCCTTAAAGATCCAAAACAAGTGGCAAGAATATTTCCCAAACAGAAACAAATAAAAAAAATAGAAAGTGTGGGAACGAAGAAATTGAGTTATTGGTGAAATTTATTGCGTAATGATGGACTTTTAAAATAAATTCAATTGTCAATCCTTTCACAAAAAGTTTTCGAATCCAGTTTTAAAAGCTCAGTTTGCGAAGTTCAAATCGTGAGTAACTTGCAACGTGTTCTAGTAACTGGTTGGTTTTGATTTGAAATTCTCTTCAATACGCGCGTTATACCCGAGCAAAGATTAATTTGTAATTTGTATACGAGGCTGCATAGGTAATTTGTCCTTTATAGCTGTCTGTAGGTGTCGAGATGTCTGTTTAAATTAGGATCTCTCCTTTGTTGTTGTTCACAAACAATTATCTTTTTAATTCGTTGGTCTGCGCTTTCATATGAAGTCCTTCCAGCAAAATCCACTCAACCCATTAGACAAATATTAATATATCACAAAAAAGACCAATTTTAACTAAAAAATTTTCGCTCTTAGTCGAATTTAAAAATGCGTACAACGGGGTCTTTTTAGGAAGCCCTGAAAGCTCATTTGACTTAATAAGGAAAATGCATGGCTTGTCGATTTAGTCGGAAGGTGGCTTGATTTGACCTAATTACAATGATAAAAGGTTTGTTTTCCTTCCAACAGAATAAGAAGTCTCACTATACGCTTTTAAAAAACTCTTTTCACCGTAAAAAACACTCTGTTTTGATCAAAACTGCGTTACCCTTGGTTACATGTGTCAACTGTCTCGTAAACTAGAGGACACCTAGCGTTAGTCATGAGAAAAGAAAACATCCTTCCACGTTTTTATTTTTCGTAAATATTGCAAGTTGTTGCCCTAGCTAAATGCTCGCAACTGAATTTCTGGCATTTTGTTTCAGTCGGAAAGCCAAAACTGGACGAACGAAAGGACGAACCATAGTTAGTAGTTGAACGAACCTCTTTCCATGTACCATTTGGTGGACTAAAACTGTACGTGATGTGTTTTATCCAATTTGATCGCGTTAAAGTTAATCTAAGCCAAGTAACCATTCACATCTACAGAACCATCCTGCACAAAACTGCCTACGTGCGGCCGAACACATTTCCACGTAAAATAGATTTATTCAACTTTACCTATTGGCCTCTGTCACTCAAGGTAACTAGCATTGTTCCAACTTTCTTGCTCATTTTTTCATTAATTCTCCTTAGAGTGACGAGACACAGCCTTTGCAAATTAGGTTACAACTAAAAAATAATTATACATGTACAAGTTAGAAAATTTTCCTTTCTCCGCACCCAGGTGATAAACATGACATCAATTTCTACGTAACACTTTTTCTTCTTAGTATCCTTTTCTTCCCCTGAAACGTGTGCGAAAATCCAGCTGCCAAAAATGAACAAAAAGGTCTTAATATTAAATGGATTATTCCACTAGATAGTTAAGCCTGCGAGAGGCTCACCATTAGGGCTTCTCGCCAGAAGTCACGCGCGAGCGATACACGGAAGGAGTCACCGTAGTCGGTGCAAGAAAGAACGGGCGCGCCTCTCGCGCGCCTCTCGCGCACCCGTTCTTTCTTGCTCCCACAGGCTACGCCAGCTAGGAGCAAAAAGAGGATGGGACACAGAAAAACGCGAAAAGGAATAGGAGAGGGAGTGCCTGCTGTAAGAACCGGTGAATTTGCATAAAGCCCTACCATTCGCTCTTTTCATCTCTCCCCAATGCACCTTCTTTTTCCCTTTCTACCCTAACTCTTTTCGGTTGGCATCAGGTTTGTGATGCTGTTCTAAATATCAAACATGGGGGTAATGGGACTAAGACAGCCTTAGTACAAGTTTTACATAGATTATTGAGTACTATTCCGTCTGGCATAGCACGTTATTTTACTCACGAAATATCCAGTGTTTTTACGATCAGTTTTTATACTCAATGACTGTAAAAGTACAAGTAAAAGTACAATTGTATAAATTCAGGGCTCAGCATCTTATAGACTCACTTGCCGGCTAGCAACAGTCGTAAGTAACATCGTTTACTAGTTTTCCCACCCTACCCTCCCTGGGTAGTTTTGGTTGTATGCTCATTTCCTTTATGGAGCTTTTATGTCGGATAGTCTTCTGTTTGTGCAAATTATGTAGACCTTTGTTTGTTCCATACGAGTGTAACTAGTTTTATTACCTGTTTCATTTTAATATTGTACCTATATTGAGTGATTACCTATTTACATGTTGTAATAAAGGCTGTCATAGTCCCAATCCTGTATGTGTCTTGGTTGGTATTTGGACACCTTTTCCACGGATTTGTCGCTCGCTCACTCGCTCGCGTGCAGTACTCAACTCACTCCTTTTAGAAGAGAATAAGGCCAGGTCCACACGAATCCGGACATTTTTTAAATCATTTTTTTTAACCTGCACACCTATGAACGGAGTCTTTAACGACTCTGGAGAGCAGTTTCAAAGAGACAGAAAAGATGCAGTTTTGATGAGCAGATTCACAGGTTTCATGCAGATGGACGCCGATTCTGGAAAATAAATATGCGGTTTCAAAAAGTTCCGGATTCACAAGGATAATGCCTTACATGACAAGAGATTTCATCTTCTTGGACTAATAAAGAAGATCAATTCTAAAGTTCAATAAATTAAGATAAGTTAAATAAAGTAAGATCGAGTCCTCCAAATTTTAGTTCACATGTAGCTCCTTTGAGAAACTTACACTCTTTCTTTATTTTGAGGGTCTTGGGAGTGAATCAACATCAATTTTCTCCGAACAATTTCAGTACATAGTCAATAGAGCAGGTTATGAGAAGAAACAGAATGATCACCTAGAGGAAAATGCTTTGATTTTTAAGCAAATTCTCTCAACTAATTTTTTAAGGAAGTGTATGGAGATTAGCCTTGATTGTATTTGGATATCATTAAAAGCAAGGGTTAAAACAAAAATTGAGTGTCCCCTTCTTATCTTGTCAGAAAAAATTTCTATAAAACACTGATAAACTAAACTATGATATTGTATGAGAGGTGTAACTTACCAGTGATCTTTTGCATTCAAAAAAGGCATACTGGACTTTTCTACATTCTTCATCAACACCTGCCGCATTTGCATCTAAACAACTACTTGGTTTCAGCCCATGCTGTATTAACAGTGCATTTAAGAAACATCAAAGAATGAAATGTCAAATGCTATTGTGCATTTAATTACTGAAACATCAAAGAATGAAATGTACAAAAACTTAAGTCTTTGACCATCTTAGATTAATACCTGGAAAAATGACACAAAAAATGCCGGCGGGGGAGGCAGGGCATGGGGTGGGGATTTGATTGTCTTTGTTGTCCCTGGAGTAGGGCATTTGACATTTGTTCTTTTTTTCCTCTCTACTGTGGTAAAAAACAATAAAGAGAAACCAAGTCGATTTTTTTGATTAGTGTGTTCTCACTGTAAACTTATAAAACTGACTTTCTTTTACCCTTTACTAAGAACCACGTAGACTTACAAAATGTGGACTTCCTCTGAAAGGTTTATGTATTCTACTATTAGAAAAATTGCAGCTGTAACAGGGACATGTATCTTTGGTGATGCAGCATCTCAAAAGATTGCAGAGTTTTATTTGGAGATTTTTTGTTGTGCCTTTCTTAGGTTCTGCCTTGGGATTGACAGCAGTGTGCATTCTGGGGTGGGGAAATTTGGTTGCATTTGACTGGAATGATTTGCCCGTGGGCAGGGATTTGATTGCAAATTTTTGAAAAAAGTCAAATCCCCCCTATGCCCTGCCTCCCCCCCACCGGCATTACATTGATCACCAACTTTGTCACCACTTTTTTTTTGGATAATGGGCAACCTGCATTGTCAAAAACATTTTAAGATTTTGGGTTTTTCTGCGACGTCAATCAAAGATCCATTACCATAGCATCCACTGTTTTCATCAAATACAGGCGGCAATATAAATGAGCAGAAGCTGCAAAAGTAAATGTTGGCAGGGACGTACCAATTTGTTTTCACCCTCCCATATCTGTGTTTCTTCTGGATTTGAAATATTTAAACTTGCCATGTTTCAGTATAAAGAGGATAAAAAAAATTAGAGCTGAGGTAAAACATACTGTGCTTTTCAAAAACACACCACCAAACGCAACAAACCTAGAAACACACAAAACGAATCGAAATCAAACCATCACAAATCAAAAACCATCACCTTTTGTTTCCTAAATTAGAGGACTGCTAAGATGTGAAGGCGAGAAGATTCTTCAGATTTTGATTGATGTCACAGAAAAACCCAAAATCCAAAGACATTTTTGTCATCACAGGTCGTGTGCTATCTGAAACAGCTGTAAATAATAACCGACTGGAAAACTAGTAACTGTTAAATTGAGAAATCCCTTGATCTACTAATGCTGCTGAAAAGCACTCCTGTGATACAGATAATTTGCATATGTATCAGTAATCACTAAAAATGTGGAAAATATAAATTTGGTCAAACTGCAGTAAAAAAATATCTGTTTCCGAGAATTTAAAATTCTTTCTCAGCTGAAATTCATGGCAGGATCATGCACGGCTAATTCTACCAGTAACCCTGTCCCCAAGTATACCTCTGGTTTATTTTCCCCCTCCACCCCGAGGGCTCCTCATCAACCCTATCATTCTATGTAATAAGTAGAGACAAAAATAGTGATTTCTGTATAACAGTAAGAAAGGCATTTTTGACATAATCTCTTTTGACAAAAAGTAAACACTACTGAGTGGTCGAAAAAAAAATAAGAATCTTAATTAGCAAAACTGCGATGATCAGGTGTTGTAAACTTTCACTGTATGCAAATGGTCTTGTGATGAGCATGCTGTTTATTTTTGGCAATGATTGAAATGACGTGCCATGTAAATCACTTCTTTGATCTCTGGCAATGATGTAATTTCTTTGGAATCGAGGCCCTTGAATTTTCGTGTATTTATACACACGTATAGCTTACAACCACAGACGTATTTATGGTTGTCACTAAATCAATTCAGAAACAAATAATTGACGACGATAAAGTTGGAAGTAAAACATTCAATCCTGTTTTGTGTAGAATTAATCACCTCCTCATTTCTCGATCTAATCTCCAAGCAAGCGAGACTGAACGCCGCTCTAAAGGGCGTCCTGTTTACAAACATTTCTCACAAAAATTTTAGCGATAGTATTAGTTCGTTTATTGTTTAGCATGAGTAGTTATAGTTTCATAATTATGTATCACTTTATGTTGGCTGTGCACATCAATAAACAGCTGCATCTTCAATATGTAACAAGCTTATTAGTTATTAAGTAATGATCCAGGTATTGAAGGGAAGCAATTTCTTTTGTTGTGGCGCAATACGCTTTCCTCACACAGAAATGTTTTCATTTTTAGGCAGAGAATGCATAAATATACAAAAAGGCTGTTTACGAGAGAAAATGTATTTAAACTCCACTTTTAAAGGGTATATTTTTGTGTTAAAACATTTCGAACAATCACAAGAGTTGCAAACAATGACCAAGAAATGTCCACAATTTTACATGATCCGCACATACGATTTCTGTGTTACTTAGACTCAGCCGAGATTTGTTAAAAGGAAGTTGGATAGAAAAAAAGAGATTAATATACATGCTGCTTTGCGAAGATTTCGTAAAATTTGATGTTTAAACCAATCAGAACCTTAGTAGAGACAATAGTAAAGTTAGCACCTTTTTGCATTCCGACGTGTTCACTGCGTTTTGGTCGTTTCCTTCTTATCTGAACCATCACTTAAAGATTAAAGTTCTAAGTTTGCAAGCCCTCTTACTTTTCTCAACCTACCAATTTCACACAGTCACTTGCTAAGAGACATTCCTTCAGCTCTTTTCTCAGTCCACCACAGGGCTCACTCCTCGCTTGATTTTCAATGTTTTCCTCATCAACTGATGCCATTTCTCTTCTGATCTGCAACCACTGCCAACACACTCACTAACATTAACATTCGCTGCCATATTAATCCGCCATCTTGGTTTTGGTTGGTACTTCATGTATGAATTTTCATTTTTAGAACGCTGGCCATATGCTGTAAATGCGCAGGCGCTTGAAAAACAAAGATTCAGCGGAGTCTGGCGGAGGGAATCTTTCCGAGAAAATGTAAATGTAAACGGTATTTACATCGCTCTCTTCTCACGCAAAATTTAGAATTTTACATCACAAATGTGGCAGCAACAACATTCATTCAAAATTAACAGTTTTTGCGTCGCTTGACATCGTATCATTCCTACCTTGGTCAATTTTTTTGATGGCCGATCTTCGAGGATTAAGTTGTTCTGTCTGCTACAACAACTTCAAGTCCGACGAGGTTCAGTTTATTCCGAGAAATCTCATTTGTGGCCACACATACTGCACAGGTAAATACTCTTCATAGTTCATCCTGTCTTTTATAAGTTCCTGTTTCATTTCTGCTCACAATATCAAGAAGGGAATTTCCAGTTTTGCATAAAAATACTATCAATTTTGTGAAATCAAGGGGGAGTCGTGCTGTATAACATTGTGACTGTCGTGTGTTGAAATTTGATACCGTTATGAAATGTCTATCCTCGCGCCTTCGAAAGGCGATCAACCTCCAATTTCCTTTTGTGCTGCAAAATGGATAATCATTTGCCACTGTTCAAATGGTGTAGGCATTGTTTTAGAAAACCGGGAAGTAGAAATAGCCCTCGGTTAATTTACCTGGAGGATTATGCACTAGTCAATTGCAACCACGATCCCCAGACCCCCGGGGAATAGTGGGGAAATTTACACCAGTATCCTCGTAACTCAAAGGATTTACCCCAGGCCCTAGTGACAGATTCACATGGTAATTACCATTCCCTAATAAGCTGTCTGTCAACGAACTGCTATTCAGTTTAAACATAGGCATGTTTAACGTGCATGAGCTATTTTGAATTCTTCAGTGTAACCGTACCAAGAATAATGAATTTACTTTTTTCATCCTAAATGTTATTATAGGCAAGCTAATTGTGCAAAATTGGGTATTGCTGAACATGAATGAATACGTGAAACGCTCAGCTGAGTCAATCCTCATGCTGTATATTTACCGTCCTCTCTTTCCATGATACATCTGGTGCAAGTTGAATTTGGTTCATGCATCATATCCCTCCTCCATACAAAAACAACAAAAAAATATATGAACTGACACATTTTAAAAACTTTGAGATACTGATCAAATTGAGTTCATCAACTCATGACAGCGATTCACATAATGGTCTACAAAGCATAGGTTCAAAAAGTTATTTTTATGCTTATGTATCAAATGTTCAAAGCCAAATTTGTTAATTTTGCCAGCTTCATATACCTTTTTGGACAAACACGTAACAACAATAGAGACACATTGTGTTCATGGATCTATGCGTTTCCGTTTCGTTTAAATTTGTTGCATCAGTTAGTAATGCTTGGACCGAAACAGCTATATCATAAAAAGCATAGCCAAGAGAAGGTTGGGAAGCAGTCAGCAACAGAGCGTCAGGTGAACTACTGAGGAGCGCAGTACGGGTCAGTCACAGCAGGACGGATCTCCATGATCCATGTCTTTTCGCCAATTTTAGCCATAATTATGCTAAAACTCAGAATAGTTTCAATAAAACAAATTTATCCTATCCAAATTGTTAATTTTTCAGGAGGTGAGTGGCTGAATTGCCTTTCAAACTCTGCTAGGTTGCATCAACAGTTAGCCAGGTCAAAGCCTTCATGAAAGCTTGACGTCATCGATAATGGTCCACTTACTCCCCACCACTCCCCATCCCGGGGATAGACGTGTGTAGCTGTAAATTTTGGTAATTTCCCAGGGGCTAGTGCAAGAAATGAATGTAAAATCAACGTATTTGCCCCACTATTGCCCCGTAAAACCCCCACTATCCCCAAAGGTTTGGGGGTCGGGGATGCAATTGACTAGTGCATTATGCCCTGGGGCCGGTTTCTCAAAAGTCCCGATAATTAACGGGCCCCTTAAAGCTGTTGTTGTTTACATTCAAGATAGAAGTTTCAATAGTTTTGCATCTAACTTGATAAAACCATCAGTTAATGAAACAAAATGAAGTATTTTGCTAGCCAGGACCCGTGCTCTTATTCTTTTTATTTCAATTTGAATATTTGAAATTGGGCCTGAAAAGTTATCGGGACTTTGGAGAAACGGGCCCCTGGGCCAGGTTGTTCAAAGCTGGGTTAAGATAACCCATGGTTAGTGCGAACTTTGATTTCATATATGAAAGCTTAAAAAGCAAATTCAGTGTAATTCCTCTTATCTTCATTTTGACATTTGGATGCTCTAAAAAGAATAAAGAAAATGATATGAGAAAGTGCTTTTGAATATCTGCATTGAAAAAATCGATGTGAAATGCTGGTTGGTGGAGATGACATTAGTAATGACGTCATTTCCATCTTTCACATGGTTTCAATGTTTGTTTACATTCACACTTGTTTCCGCTTTGCGCTGATTGGTGGAAATCTGACAGCTCAGTCGACGTGGTGCCACAGGGGAATTTTGAGGCAAAATTCAAGTTCCAGAGACATGGTTGCAAGCTCTCTTTCCTTTTCCTGCCCTGCCCCCAGAGTGCCCCAGAGAGCTTGCTCACAGGCTAAGAACCCCTCTGCAAGCAGAGGCTGCTAGTGGCGTGACAACAGCCCAATATTCTATGTTGACAACAGCCCAATATTCTGTTGTATTTGCAAAAGTTTAATCACTTGATTTTTGAGGTCCAGTAGGCATCAACGTCTTTTGACAATTTTTAATCTTTGTACATATTTTTGTTATATTTCCCTGGATTTTGGACTGTAATGCATAGTTCCTTTTCCTCACTGTGCATGTACATTTTGTGAAAGATTAGCCTCTGCAGGTTGGGTTGCGACTACATGTAGTCCCTATGCTATTCTGTATCTAAAATAATAAACTTTTGAATAGATCCCAAATATGCTAACCTCTGGAGATCTAAAATCTGGAGATTCTATCTTTTGCTTTTTCCACCCTGAAAAATATCAATTTATCCTATACTGCTTAACCAAATCATTGGAATAATATTTCTTTTTGTAAGTATAGGTATCTTACATGTATCTAATCCCCAGAGATGTCTGAAAAGTGCTTTGCTTAGGGTTTACAAATGTCTGTCATGAAACCCTTTAAAAATTTTCATTTTACTTTCTTATTTAGCATGTCTGAACAAGCTAGCATTTCAAGCACGTAACCCTGGTACAATCTGCTGTCCCACGTGCAAAACAGAAACACCTCTATTTCCACGGACATTTGAGAGTGTCAGAAATCTGCCAAAAAACTTTGGAGTTCTTGAGATTCTTGAGAGTAAAGAAGAAGGTCAAACAGAATCCATTCAGCAAGAGAAAGAGAAGAACAAATACCTTTGTCCAGAACATGATGAAGCACTAAAAGTCTATTGTTACACATGCAACTGTTTAATCTGCATTTACTGCCAGGTTCTTATATTTGTGTGTTTGGTAAATTAAGTGTTAATTGCTTTAAGTTGTCATTGCACAATATGTGACAATAACCCACATATATTTTCTTCGCAAGGCCTTTTAGACTAGGTCACTGTTATAGTTAGACGAACAAGAAATGTTGTTGGACACACATTATAGTGACTCTTAATTTCTTTAATCACTATACAAATGTTTGTTCTTCCTGGTTATCACGTTCAATAGCAAGGGGGATTTCACCAGACATTTGCAAAATTTTAGCTGCACATTTTCTTCAGATGAATGTTATTTGCAGCTCTACATGCACTTGCTTGAATCTAAACATGAAAATTAATTTAATCATGTGAGATTACTGACAGACACTTATATAATTACTATAATTACATAAATGATTATATAAATAATATGATAATTAATGCATAGTTAATACAAAGTTAGTAAATTTAATAATATACTGTATGATACACTCTTTTTAGGTATATGGAAAACATGCAGGCCATCGGTGTGAGCTGGCTACTGATATTGTCACAACAACTCGAGAAGAGCTTCGCAGCTGGTCTAAGAAATTAGCTGACAACTATGACTTAATTAAAAAGTCAAGGAAAAAAGTCATTGATACCAAAGACTCCATTGTAACCACACAGCAGTACTTACGGAACAGGATCATGAAACACATGGGAGTGTTAAATGCCTGTATGAGGCGTCGTGAAGTGATTTTAAAGTGCGATGTTGATGACAGAACCAAGAGCAAGTTGGAGCTACTTGATGCTCAAGAGAGGTATGAGTTTGTAACAGAAAGATGTTTTAGTAACTTGGTTTCTTTAATTATCAAGTTTAACCTTTGTGAGGAGGCAGATTAAACCCTTGTGAGGAGGGTATTTGGTGTCTGGAGTCCATGAAGGTGCCAGCTGTTGGGAGGGCAACTGCATCAGAGTGAAGCCAATGACTTCAGGCCAATATAAACAGTCCCTTCTCCCCATTCCAGGACAGACCACACCCTGCTAGGGGGTGTTCTGTTTCAACAGCAGTGTGGGTTCTTTTACAATGTACACTCCCTTGGAATTGATAAGAAGGTTTATGGAGCTATAGGCTGTTCACAGTGCCCTATTTTTCTTTAAGATTATCAAGATTAAGCACTTTGCATTAGGGCGGCCTTTGTGGTTTCAAACGTTTTGAGTTTAGCCTCGAGGTGAGTATCAAATCTACATAGGGGCAAAAAACCTGATGCCCCCTTGTATGAAACCAAGATGGTCCCCCCTACCGTTAAGGGCTCGATCCTGACAATCTTAAGAAAAAATAGGGGACTATGACCAGTCTAAAGGAGACAAAAACAACAGCTTAATGTCACTGTGCATGCAATGGCATGATCATCTAAGCTGAGACAAAGTTGCAAATCACAGCTTGCATGATTTCACCAGTTTTTTAAAGAACCACAGTTGGTTGTCCTGCTGAGTTTTGAGCTCCCAATCAGCAGACCAGTTCTCTTTAGCCGAGGTAACTGGGTGGCAGTTTAAAGACAAGTATTTAACAAGCCTACATGTAGCTGCACCCTCCCCATGAAGATAGCCTGCATAGCCAGATTGTTACTTAGCACAAGCAAAGTTTTGGTTTTGGTTTGGGGAGGAGAGGCTTTGAAATCCCACCAGCCCAAAGACTATGTTTTTTTAAATGGTTTGGTCACTGCACAGACAAAAATGTTTGATTGGCTGAGAATAAAACACATGAATCAAATGCTTTTTAAGAGCCAACATGTCTCCCATGGGAAACAAAACCAATCATAACATTTCTTAATTGCTATGTTTTACCCAAGATGTTACTGTATTTAAAACGTATTCACAGTAAAATGTCAGCCACTGTTGATCGAGGACAGCTTATGGAAAGCTCAAAGAGAAGGCAAAAGTTTGCTAAAAAAAAGAGTAGTAAGCGGTTACTAACGAAGTGCCATCTGGCAATCATCTATTTGCTGCCGGCTGCCAACTGGTTTTTGTAAAATTACCATAATCAAGATCTTCACTTTGGTGAGGAAAGAAATTGTGTCTGAGAATACTTGTACTATCACTGTTTGACCTTTGAAAATTAATCTCATTATATATGGATGACCAAATAGCCAAAGTGAGTCATTAAATTAGAAAGCTATGGAACTATCAAGTGTCAAATCTGATGCAGTTTCTTTATTGTCAATAACATCAGAAACAAGTTCTTTGTCAAAACATATGGTGAATGGCGATAATGGCAGCTTTGCTGCCAAAACTCTTACACAGGCAAAAAAAAAAAACAATTCCGCCAGCTACCCATGCTAACCTGAAGAAGGAAAATGGCACCATTTTTTCTTCTTGTGGAGGAGGTCGTGGCTACATGTAGGCTGTTATTCGACATTGTGGGGGGAACGTTTGCAAAGCTATACTAAACTGTTATTGCCAAAAGGTTTGTTAGGCCATGTGTGTTTTTGGTAATTTTTGTCTCTTTTTTGTTCTTTTAGTCTAATGTCAGACATTGTTAACAAGTGTGAGGAAGCTTACAACTTGATCCAAAGGTGTCAAAACAATGAAAGTGCTTTGGTTGAAGAAAAGATTAACGTTCGTCGACTCACCGATGACGTGTCAGCTTTGTTAACCAAATGTGAGCTGGAGCCTGTTGAAACAAACAACCTCACTTACTATTTTGAATACGATATTCAATACACCCTGGAAAATACCATTGGGGAAATAAGATTACTAAAGCCAGGCCAGAAAGGTTGGTTTATATAGTGTTTTTGCATGTTATACATTTTCAAGGTTAGTGAATTAATTTTGTAAAAAGATAGGGAAATTTTTTTATCTGAAAGGACTCCTAGGAATTTTATTCTCAGGCTGCCACAGGGTTTGTGAAGATTATTTTTAGAAAAATATTTCGTAGTTGTCTGATTTTGATAGTCCAGAATCTGTCCATGAAAAAATGCAAAGAGATCAAAACGGTAGCTTAGAATCTCAGTATGTTATTAGTAAAGAAGCAGAAATGCAATACAAGGTCAGTCAAGATCATTAATACATGTATGTCACTCAGGTGCGAATAGACAGTGATTGTTTTGTTGTTCCTGTGAGTAGCAAGGCTGTACATGTAATTTGTACTGGTTACTATAAAAACCCTGAACCAGGCTCTGCACTGGGGGAAAAAGGTGAAAGAAACTGACAAGCAAAGTGAACCAAAGAAGGAGTCTGAAGGATATGAACTCTTTCCTCTCTTCCCTTGTCCATTGCTCACCTCGCTTCTTTTTTTGTTGTTTTTTGCTGTTTTACCCTGTTTTTGCCTTTTTCCCCACTACAGAGCCTCGTCCCAGACTGGTTACTGTCTTATTATACAGCTACTACAAACATAGACTTTGATATACTTATAGGAAGTATTAATTTTGTCACTTTTTATGTCTTTTTGTAATTGTAGAGGAGCCTTTAGCAGGACTTAACAAACATGAACTATCTTTAAAGAAAGAAACTAAAGAAGCAAGTTCACAAACAGATTATTTTCATGGAGGTGACTCGGATGGGGAGCATCCTTTGTTTGAAAGCTTATTACACGGACTACAAGAAATAGTTCAAACTGGACTAACGCCGCCCACCCAGTCCTGGGAGAACAGCCCAGCACTAGAGTTACATGTGCATGAAACAGACAGTTCTGAAAGCAGTAGCTCAGAGTCTCATGACGAGGAAATAGGTCATTGTTGAAATCAATAGTATTGTTACTGGGCCTCTTTTTTAATTATTGCTTGCAACCATAAGCAAGGCAGCTTACTCACTCCTGAATATCTATTTTTCACTCCACTTATTTACTTCCACAATGGTCCGAATACTTGTTGACGCTGCACCAAAGTATGGCACTGAACCTATGCAATAATTTTTTGGTGAGGCTCCACTTTCAAGCTAGGGGAGGCACATCTTCACTCCATCACAGAAATCATACCAAAATCACTGTTCTGTGGGTAAACAGAAGCCCTATCCGGTATGATTTTCATGGCAGTGCAAAAGCTATCGGGTATGGTGTGAAAATAGCCTCACTCGAATATGTATGAGGTCGATTTTGCATACTTTCTGTTGACTTTTACTGGTGTATCTCCAATTAATATGTCAAAGTGTGACTAACAGGAGCGGATCCAGGATTTTTTTTCAGGAGGGGGTGCACTCGTCTCTTGCTCTACTTCAACACCAATAAACCACATAGTTTCTTTTTTGCAGAATACCAGTTGTATTATAAAACCGCAGGTCATCTCGGGGGGGGGGGGATGCGCACCCCCTGCACCCTCCCCCTAGATCCGCCCTTGACTAATGACATTGTCTTGAATTTTATAAGAATGAGAGATACCAATTGCTTTGCATCTGATGTTATTGTTTTATTTTCTGGCATAGCTTAAGCGTATTTAAATAAGAATGTGTGGCAAATCATCTTATTTTCATTATGTTTTCGGTAGATGATGTGTCAGAACATTCAGACATTGTTGATAATGAGGAAGTAGATGGTGTCAGTGTAGGTGATGAAGATATTGATGAAGAACTTGAGGGAGCCGTGGGAGGAGCCATGTTATTTTCTACTCCAGAAAGACAGGAATCGCAAGAATCACCCAACCCGGAAAGGAACCAAACAAGCTTATTGGATGAGCTACAGAAAGAAATAGACAGGCTACACTTACTTAACCCCGGAGGTATGTTTCTTCACTCGAGGCAGTACACCACTTTATCAGAATTACCTTGACCCTTTTTGCTTTTATTGAAATTCAAATTCCTTCAAGTCCCAGAGGGTGGAGAGGGGTATGGGACTTGGATACCCCCATAGGAGAGTGAGTTCAGTGGAACCCCACTCTACGCTGATCCATCCATAACGGACATTTCATTTTCCCCGACAAAAAGTTACCTGTGCATTGTCTATTTATTTTGTGACAATCGTGCTAATTGCAGACATTGTACTCAGTCAAAATGATGACAGATTTCCATCAGTTCATTCGATATTGTTACTTAAAAACAGTAGCAAAATAGCGTAACATGTTTGAAGTCCGTCTTTTTTCCCGTGGTTGACCCTTGTAATGAAGTCCTTAAACAACGGTTTTTGCCTTCTACTTTACAAGTTTGACTTCCTTGGCATTATGTAGCAGTCTTTGGTCCTACCTGTCTTCCTCTTTGCCTGTTTTAGTCTTAATATCAACAAATCATGTGTCCAAGAGGTTTTTTTCTGAGAGCCCGCTAAAATATTGACACCCAGATAATATGGACATTATGGCGTGCCCCCTCGAAGCCCGTATTAACTGGGTTCCTCTGTATTTCATAATAAATGGCACCTACTTTGAAAGAATTTGGCACATACATAGTTATAACTTTTTACAAGAAAACGCTAAGATGTGGTTTAACTTTTCGTCCTCCTGTACATCGTAAAGATGAGGTTGAAGGTGCAAACCTTAAGTTGTATTTAGGATTATATGCTGGCACTCATAGATTATGCAGACAGTGCACTTATTCTCCCAAGGCTCCATTTCTAAGCTTTTAAAGACACTAGAAAAGAACACTTAAAAATGTATTGTCCAGTTTGCACCCAAGTTACATTGATCTTCTAGTGAGAACCTTGACACACTTCTATTTTAAATGAGAAATGCCACAATAATCATGGTACCTTTTGCGAGGTAAGGTCCTTCTAGTAGGAACCGTTTTAGGCGCCAGATCTTAATTGATTACCGTAAGAATTGTTGAACTGCTTTTAAGATATTGAGCCAGAATGACCTGTACCATGTTGAACAGAATTTGCATTTCCAAGCGAAATCATTTTATTACAAAAATAATTCTATAACAAATGTTATTCTAGCAGGTGATTTGTTTGGTGAAGATGTTCTTTTGTTCACACTTCAGGTGAGGTTGTTTCCTTGGTTGACGAATCACCTGAAGGAAATACTGCATCTCCTGGTTCAGAAGGTATGAACTTAGGCACGATGATGATTACTTTTGTCCCTTTAAGCTTTGATCTACACCGTGTTACATGCCAGGGGTTACTGCACAGGGATTCAACCCCTTCCTTTTCACATTGTTGCCACTGTCACTTCTTAAAATTAATTTTATAACACAAAGACGGATGAATAAAAAGTAAAATGTCATATCCTGTGTATTGTTGGTACAACTAGGCAGATGGGAAACGCTATCTGTGTATTGTAACTTCTACTTGTACTGATGCATAATATTTGTTCATCGCCAAAGAGGAACGGTCTTTCTGATACCAATTATGCCCTCTTTGAAACTGTGCTGGTACAACTTTTGTATTCATTCTTTGCAACAATGTGAAAATTAAATCATGGGCTTTCACGTTGTATTTTTCAGTTGAGGTTGCTGATGGACCGAGCCTACCAAGAGAACCTGAAGAGCCCGATTCTCTGCCACTAATCCGAACCTACCCCCCGTCAGGACACCAACCCCTTAGTTTACCTTGCTTTGCATCCCTCCCTGGACAGTCCGCTGTGACCACTGACAGCTTCAGCCGCGAGTTGACACGTAGGGGCAGAAATAAGTGCTCTGTAGTAAACTGTCGGAACCCAGCCTCGTTATCCCACCTGAAGTGCAAGCACTGTTGCCGTACCTTCTGTCTATCGTGTTCTGTTCAATTATCTCCTTGCCCAAAAAATCGGCTTGGTTCGCATAGTTTTGTGCCAAACTTTTCCAAAACGCATCTGCCAAGGTCACCGAAGAAGAGAGTGGAGGTAAAGAAGGCGCCCAAAGAAGAGGTGTTCCCCTGGGAGTGCAAGCGTTGTACTATGTTGAACGGGCCCCAAGTCTTAGTGTGCCTTGGATGTGAGGCACTGCGAGAGACTGAGGCCCAGGAAGGGCGCAACGTATGTCCCATGTGTACCCTGGTTAATGAGCCCGGCAAAACCAAATGTGAGCTCTGTGAAACATTGCTGGTCAAACAGGAAGAACAAAGTTCACCTGATGACTAAAAACAAGTCTGTTGTGAAAGTGTGATAATAATTTGTGATAAATAGAGAAAACGTTTTGATTGCTTCCGCTCAGGGCGCTTTCTAATGGTGTGTCTCTTACACTTTTCTCTGTTTTCGATGTTGCTTAAAGGGGCTATGACACAAGCTATATGCTATCTTTAAAAAAAGAAAAACTAAAACGTGTCTTTGCACCAATTAAATTCCAAAAGTAATGGTCCAGTTTTCTTATTCAAGGCCACATTGTGGCATTGAAACTGTTTCCTGTCTTGTGTTGCAAGGGATGGCAAAGATGGAAATGGATTGTAACTTGAAAATGTTGGGCAAACCTTTTCAACTTTTAATGTTATGTCTGCTAATGTCACCAAATAAATTATTTTAGTTCGTGTCGTCCGAGGAAATCTTATGATATCTCATAAGTCTGCAGCAACATTTTTTGTATGGTGATGACTTTGACCTAAAACAGCAGTATCCTCGTAACGTAGCCCCTTAACCCTTTAAGCCCCAATATTCACATACAAATTCTCCAAACTGGTGTCTATACACTTCTATAAAGAATAAGTTGAGAGAATTTGATAAGAGATCAAAGCCTTTTCCTTCAGGTGATTATTGTATTAATTCTCACAACCTATTTTCTTGATTGTGTATTGATATTGTTAAGGAGAAAATTGATGTTTGTCACTCTTGGGAGTTAAAGGGCTAACGCTGTTCGTTTGAAGTTAATTCCAGAAGAAACGCTAAGGGTGTGTAGTCTGTCTATTTATTTTTGTAGTTTACCGGTACCATTCTGTAGTTTGAATTAAGGTTTTGTACTTTTTTTAAAGGATTGTTTAGGCTTACGTCCTGGCTTACGTTTGTTTCTTTTAGTTTTGTGGAAACTTTGCCAACTCCTTTATTGTTGGAATACCCTGTAAAGAAATCCATGTATAATAATAGCCTGTGTAAATATGTAGTTAAAACTTTTCCAGATGGTTTGTATAGCCTGCGTAGCAACTTTCTCGACGAACTCGCGCGGAAACGCTTGCTACGTGGTTTGACAGTCCTTGTAACTTACGAACAGTCTTTAGGTAAAGTAAAAATGCCGCAGTTAATTGCAGCATATTGAATACTGTTAGAGAAAATAAAACAAGTAGAATTTGGTTATATATATTTGATGTTATGAAGAGAAGTCACGGGGCAAAAAAGTTTACTGACAATAAATTCATCAGTGGCACTCTCCACTTCAGTGCTAACTGAATGCAGTTAGGTCATTTGAATTTAAATATCCTACTCTGAGAACTTGGGTAACTTGTGTCAAGATCTCGGTATAAGAGCAAGCGAGGTTTATCCAATACTCACACTTTTTTGTAAAGTTCAAACTCAGCTCTACGAGTGTGGTACAAGTTCGAGTCCCGGCGACGATATCATATGTTCACCTTTGTCAAACAGGGAAAAATTTGCAAAGGTGTTTTGTGGATATGGGGATGGGCCTGGTGGGTCCAGCCTTTCCTTCCTTTTGGCAACATTGTTGTACATTTGCCCGGTCCCCGCGGTACGGCGTCTTCCCAAGCCTTCTCGGTCAATGTATTTCGGTGACGTATCCAGACCACGTGACCCGAAACGTAGCGGCCGCGCCCAATGAGGTCCAGGGACTAGGCAAGGTGTATATATATATATATATAAATACTTGTATTCTGGGTAGAACGTATTCCGTAGAGCGCTCAATTCATTTAATTGAAGATTGATTATTGATTTATGAAAACCGTAACATCGGACACCAGGGTCCGAGCCCACACATCAGGCAACTTAAATCGTGACTCAACTAAAGTAAATATCAATGCCAAGAACTCTGCTCTATATATATATACCCCGGATTTATGAAAACCGTAACATGGACACCAGGAGCCCACACACCTTCTGACTCAACTAAAGTAAATATCGCCAAGAACTCTGCTTTACCCATGGTTCTCTTAATTCTCTTCTTGGTTCCTGATTAGCAAAAGAAACATTCAAGTCCATCAAAAAGACACTCTGGACTTGTCCATACACTCTAGCTGCTTAAAGGCCCTGAATGACGGAGGACGCTTGAGACTTCAGCAAGTTCTAAGCAGAGAATTCAAGGTTAAGTCACCCCCCTGACTTCCTCCACCCCCCCAGCCTAGCACGTGCTTGAGGGGAATGCTTTCATTGGCCAATGGGCCTCAAACGTTACAAGAATTTCACATGACAAACTAAAGGCAGACGTGACCAGTGCACTGACTCTCCCAGACCAGGACTAACGGAAGGTACAACGCTTTTGCAGCAGCCTCCCCCGCTAGGGATTGACATGGAGGCCCCTTTCCAACCCATGGCGAGTTAGCTCAGGGACTGAACTTGACAATGAGACCAAGCAGGACAGCAAGCCCTCTATGTTTTTTCTCACCGCAGTGACCAGAAAGCTGGCTATCGCCAGCTTTCTGTGCGAACATTCTGGTGCATTTTCAGGTAGGTTTTCAAAAATTCGGCTAGATATATATATATATATACATATATATTCATGGGAGTTAAATAAACGCCATAAATCCAAAGAAAATCAGTTTACTTTGTTGTATATACATATATATATGTATATACAATATATATACAATATATACAATATATATACATATATATTCATGGGAGTTAAATAAACGCCATAAATCCAAAGAAAATCAGTTTACTTTGTTGTAGCCAAATATTTCTGATATTGTCAACAGCATTAGCAATTTTTTTCTCCAGGTAGCGAGAGTGAGGTTTTATGATTACTGCAAGACACGATCACCGGGGCCGTCTCTTGCTTGATACAGAAAACGAAGCCAAATCTAACAAACGAAATTGCAATCACTTACGGAAGCATTCGTTTTCGTAAAATACTCTTTAACAGGGTTTCATGGTTCCGGGACCACGTGACCCGAAACGCATAGGCCGCACGCAATAATGAGCGGCCTAGGGACTGGGCAACGGAGATAAAAGCAGTTGGTTCGGCATTTATGCGCAACCATCTGAAGCGCTTACCGCGTTTTTTTTTTAACTATAGAGCTTTTTCATTCACGTGGCCAGCAGCTATGAAAATGTTTTGGAACAAAAGAAAGTTTCTACATAAGAAAGGTTCAACTCCCACAGGACTGGTTTGGGCCACTAACGTGGCCGCCGTTTTATTGTTTTGTGATACCAATTTGGTGAAAGCGATGTCATGTAAAAACGCTTTATTGACTAAGTACAGCATAAATTGAAGAAACTTTATTCGAGATCTTTAAGTGTGAAGTTAAAAGTGGCTTTATCTTTTTCTCCGTCTTCCTAGCGACGTAGCGGGAACGTGAAATAAGGGTGTTCTGTAGTAGGCGTGCTAGCTCTTGGCCACAGCACAGTCACTTGATATCTGACACTGAACAAAATCACTCCACATCTGTAATATATCACTTTGCTCGCTAGAAATGTTTTCTCCTCTCATCGCTTCTCTTGCCCTTTTTCGTTCAAATCCATCTCTTAGAGCTCCAACGCCATCATTACCATGTTCTTGCCCACCCTCTGTCCCTAAGCTTGCACGACTTCCGCTGGCTTTTTCAATCAGCTTGTGTAGATTTTGCTGCAAGTTCGTAACTTCATGATTCATGGTGCACACACTGTTCTTTACAGCGGACAACTCTAACGAAGGATCAGCAAGAATACTAACATCAGGAGGTAAAACTTGTCGTAATCTGTGTAACAGTAGGTACGCTTGCTTCTTGTTTCTAGAACAGGATGAATAGATAATGATTTAGAGGGAGCATATAGTTGTTCTTAGTCTACATTTTTTGGTTAAATTGCCTTTTAGAAATGTTATTTTAGGAGATAAGAAGAACATTCTCTCAGAACAAGTGCTAGAACCAACAACAAACTTGGCCCACGTATGTATTACGTCGACGCCGGGATTCGAGTCCAGTCCAAACTGACGCTAGAGAATTCTCTATCACTGCGCCACCTTTGGCCCTAATCAAAGGGGGCCTTGGTAAAAAGAAATTATTTAATTTTGATTACTTGGGGAGCGAAAGACCAACACAAGTAATCCAAATTAAAAACATGGCCGATTTATAAACTGACAAGGATGAACATTGCCTACAACAACGACACGATCTTAAAGGCGGATCCCGTTGCCAACTAATGGCGAGAATGTCGACTGCATTGCTGGAAATCAAAAAAAAAACCAAACAATTCAAAGCAACGAAATACAAGCTGTTCTAGGAGTGTGGTTTTGACGGAATACTAGCCGAATGGGAAACACAGTTTCGTTTTGTACAAGCAAAATAGGTGCCAATTGCGTATAATAGCTGATATCATGTTACGTGCTGGCACAGACAGCAAAGAGATGAGTTTCTGAAAGTGTTGTTCCGCGATTAATCAATTTATTCCAACAGCAATGTCACATTCGTTTCTTAGTTACTGTTCATGTAAATGGTAAACACGCGTGAAAAAAACAAAATCTTACTTTACCTCGTTATAAGGGTAATTCGATCTTCACCACTGAGGACAATCCCAGCCCCACCCAAGGGGCCGTTATCTTGGAGTGCAAGAAGAAGTTGACCAAACATGATTGAGTAGTCAGCTCCTTCTGTCGCTTGTATTACAGGAACATCTCTCATTAACGTTTTCACCAGCAACGCGACGTGGTAGGAACTCGAAAATCTGCTACGTAAGGAAAGCTGGGAAGAAAAGAAAACAGGATAAAAACTCACCAAAACAACATACTTTTAAGACAAAAGATAAAAAGACACTATCTGGAGTTACATTCTCAAGAAAAATATCGGTCGAGAGTAAGAATTCTTGCTCGAATCAGCATGTCATCAACATGTATATTATTCTCCCAAAATGTATATAATCCTCTCTGTTTTCCATTTGTTTATTGCACTGCAAGACATTTCATCAGTGCTGATAATTGCATTCACTCTCTTTCCTTGTTCATTTGATCGGGCAATGATGCTGTAAGGAGAAGTTTGATGCGGGTCAATATCGGTGCTTAAAGAGTTAACAACTAGACAGCATGACATTTTTTACCCCTCGTGTACAATTTCCCTTACCTTGGTTTCAATAGACACTGATCTCAATGCCTCAATATTGTGCTGGGTTGACTTAAGATCCACACCTGATTTCACATTTAAACTACCATTTATTATTTGCTCAAAGTGCAACGTCACATCTCCGCAATGCATGGAATGCCGATCATTGCTTCTATCCATGTTTTCACTGGTCCACGTGACCACAACAGACACGGAAGAACTATCTGAGTGCGCAAATCTTGGTAAAGAGGCAACCACTGTCAAGCTTGTTTGGTCTCCTGGTAACAGCTTCTCTTGATTGACAGCTGTGGTTTCACGGTCACGCTTTTGTCTCTTAGAAGATAGAGATCTCCAGTTGCTGTGAAACTCAGAATCCGCTGACATTCCAGGTTGTTTATGATGACAGGTGTCCCCACTACAGAACGAAGCCTTTGATGTATATGTCAGACCATCAGGTTGGCAACTTACCAGTCCGACAACAAAGTCAGAAACAGAACTAAAATTTAAAAGGAAAAAAAGAACTAGCAAGCGTGGTCTAGTAAAGATGTATCTTTTCCAAAAATCAAGAGAACATCCATATCAGACACCAGCATCCAACCCTAAATAGAGTACTAAAGTGATGACGTCATAAAAATGAAATTTCTGAAATTATGGGATTTGTCAGGATATTCTGAAAGAACAATGTCCAAGAGGCCTACTTGCCAAAAATAAGCATTTCGGGGCAAACTGTCAAATTTTTTTGGGGTCGACCTAAAAAATCCCATAATTTCAGAAATTTCATTTTTATGACATCACACTTTAGTACTCTATAGAGAGGGGGTTATGAATTTCCCACGATTTTAAATCAGTTGTTGACACGTGACTAATTCACGTGACAAAAATGAACGTTCATTGCTGATGAAGACAGTGTTACAGTCGAAAGCTACAATAATAAAAAATCTGAGACCTTTTGAGACTAGAATTTATTTTTCAACTTTCATTTCCAAGGTCAATAATGAGCATTCATGGAATTAATCTTGGGAGACTCTCTTGAAAGCGTTCTCACGCTTTTAATACCTTAGTGTACGAAAGCAGTTCATCAAATGTTAATCAAAAGGAATTGCACAGTGCATAGTAAATTTTGGCTTAAAAGCAAACAGATCCTCTCTCAAACTCTATGTAACTTTTTACATTTTGAATGGACTAAGTGAGTACCTCCAGTAACACATCTTTACAAAGTAAATTTGCTTTTTTGCTTTACAGCAAGCGTTGACTGATAGAGTAGCATTCCATACTGAGGGAGAAGGGGTACTATGACCGCTTCATTCACTCCATGTAAGGCAAGCTGGACTCCAAAATAAAGGAAATTTTTGCTTGTAGAATCCAGAATACAGCTCAAGGAATGCGGAGTCCAAGTTCCACCTACAAAGACTGAAGTCCAGTACCTGGAATCTGGAATCCCCAGCTTGGAATCCAGAATTCAAGACTGTCTAAGATTCCCCTACATGGAGTGGGCTTCATCCTAGAGAATGTAGGGTAAGCCACAAGTAAGTTGGCCTTGAGAGGCCTCATTACCTCTACTCTAAGAGTGGAGACATGGTGGTGAGCAGTCAACCCATTTAAATACCAATCTGTCTAGGTTTGAACCTTGCTGCTGTTGCCTGGCTTCCTTAAACTAGAAATTTTGCTGCATTTTGTCTCTCGTCACCCAGGTGTATAAATGAGTTAAGGTGATGCACTACTGTGCACTACTGGAGGTATCCTTACAATGGACTACAACCATGGCCAAAAGGGTTTGGGACACTTCCCTTTTCACTGCTCTTTATGGTTGGGAATTTGTGAGTGACTGACGATTCACAACAATTGTAAATATGGCTTTACGAAGGTTCCGTCTCCCTCCAAACAAAGTTGAAGTCCAGACACTTTGAAAGGTTTCCAAACATTTTTGACGTGTAGCACCCATCACTGTCCAGGGAGGGGGGGAGGAAGATTATTAGAAAGTCCACAGATCATGGGTAAATGACTAAGTGTGCCAAACGCTTTGCCCAGGATTGTAGTATCCCCTCCAGTCAGAGCAGCAGTAATACAAGACACTTCATGCTACAGTAACTGGGTTAAACTGCAACCACATGATCCCTACTGGGGCTTACTGCTCCCTTAACTCTTTTACCTTATTTTAACAATGAAGGGACGTTTGATACCTCTCACTAGTGTTTTCCACATCAACACCAACAATCCACTGGTCATGAACAATACGCTGCCATATCTCACTGACAGACAGGGTTGACCGAGGCATCTTAGCTGCAGCGGAATCTTGTTCACCTGTACACACAACAGAGTGATGAGAGAAATATCATATTCCATTTTGTTAGCTGACCGAAATATAATCTGCTGCTGTGTTATTCTGTTGCATGGACATCATAATATCTTAGATGCCAAGCAGACCTGTAAGACACACCCAACTGGCAGCAAATGGACACCACTTTAGATCCAAAATACCTCTCTTAGAAGTTCTTTTTGGACTTAATAGCTGGACAAACATGTATATGTTTTCTTTTTTATTGTTTTCAGGAACATAGGAAAAGAAAAAAATGCTCATTGGCCTTCACAAATGGGAATTGAGTGCCTTTCATCAACCTTTTTCACAGATTTGTTTGACTGTCATACAATTGCCGCCTCTACACACACTCAAAGGTAAGGACTGGGTCACCAGTACTACAACATGCCATCTTGACGCACTGTTCAATGACTTACCATCAGTACGAGCGCCTTCTAAAAGACAGTAAAGACCTGGGCACTAAGTAGAAGGAAAAAAAAATTACTATCACCACAATATTTACATCTCCAGAGATGGGTTGTACCTTTGCTGTTTATATTATTATTATTATTGCCGGCTCCTCTTGTCGCCCACAATCCTAATCTCCAGGTTGTTATTATGCATGCGTCGCAGGTATGTAGCCAGCATTTGTTTGGACTTCCACTAAGAATGAATGGAATGCACAGAACGCAATTTGATCACACTCGTTTCGACCTTCTGCCTCTCGTAATCTGATTATGCGTGTTTTGAAAATCTGTGAAGTGAAACGTGCGCAAAGCACAGCAATGGAGCACAAGTGTTTGGACCTCCAATCGTTGTCGCACGCACCCCCTTACCTTTGGTTATTGCTAGTTATTATTATTATTCAGAGTTAAATTTGAGAAGGTGCTGTGAGATGTGCTTATGATCTCATTAATTAATTTTCTGGACCAGTTGAAGTAATTTTATTACTCTCCACCAACATCCAAATAGTATTTCATTCTGTTTACCCACAGAATGACAGGCTATACATTTCTCTTCTATGACAAGTAAGACAACTTGTTAGCAGTAAAACGATCCCTAGCAAATTTCAAATTATAAGAAAATTCAAGACATAAAGTCTCATTTTGTCAGATGTACCTTTTCTTTTTTCACCTTGCTGCCTGGATCATCAGAAGAGGTAACTTCTTTCAACACTTTACAACAACGCTCCACCATTTTCCATTTCTCATGGCACTCCATTTTAGCCTCATGTAAAGCTGATGCTCTAGCCTGTGAATAAAATATTTTCTGCTCATATGATATCAAGCTGGAACAAGAATTGGATTGGAATTTGGAAATGTTTCTCTAATGACAGGACAGAAAACCTTCCTCAAAAAGTCCTTGGGAAAGTGAAAGAAGAATCAGTTCAAAATTTTCTGAGACCCATCAATTCTCTGGGGACAGTTTGCCACCCCTGAAAAAGTGTTTGTTTTTGCTTTTCAGAAATAAATTTTCAAGCTTTCATTTAAAGCAAAACAAAGAAAGACAATTCATGAAAGTAAACAAATGCTAACTAAAATATATAGATTTTTGGAGACTGCAATGCCATAAGAACAACTTTTTGGTGTTTAATTTGAAACTCCTGGTTTTTGATAAGAAAGAAGCATAACTTTCAGGGAGGAAATAAAGTGTAGTGTTAGTTATTGGATTTAGTTTCTCTGACCTGAAGTCTTGTCTGCAAAGCCTGTGCAGTTTTCAGAAGTGAATCAGTCACTGGCTGAGGCTGAGAAGAAGCAGAACCCTACAAAAGGGAAGACTGTGTCAGTGTATTTCTCACAAGTAAACTCAATGCTAAATTGCTAGCTTGAAAATACTAGGAAATCAGTGAAATGGAGAAAAATCATTTAATTTATTCATGCAGTTTCTTGCTTGATTAATCAGTGATTGCACATTGCATCTTTTTCATTCTCAGATTCATAGTAAGGATTGTGGCATTGAAGGTGTAAAAAACAATAAGGATCTCTACATGGCCTAAACATAAAAATGGATGGACTGGATAGTCTGCTCTTTGTAAACTTTGGTGATTTAAAAAAAGAATTAGTTTTGTAGGTTTGTAATTATCTAAATGCTATTGATGGCCACCCAAACAATTTTGAAAAAAATTTTGGAATCACAAGTCAAGATCTAAACAGGATGGAATCAGTCTAAAATACGTTGTGAACCATTTTGATTTCTAAAGGATATAAAAAATATGGAATCATGACGTTTGTGTAAATTCAGCTGAAAATGTTTTCACTTTTGACAATGTCTGGGTTTGCCAGAATGAAAGCCAGCAGTAAAGAAATTTTGAGCGATCCGAACTAAAGGCGATGGCTGTTCATTTTATGGCAAATGGTGCTCAGCATGTGAATTGCAGTGCCTGTGATTTAAGAGTGCAATCAACAAAGATATGGGGCTAGTTACAGGTGATGCAAATTACAATACAACGCACTCGCCCAGCTTGGCCAGCAACAACAACACTGTGAATGACTCTAGACTGCTCAAGAATAGTGAAGGAAATCACCATGGTTAGTGAAACTTCTGTCGCGGGAGGCAGACATTGCTTTATTCTTGCAAGTGACAAAAATAAGAAAGACCAGAAAAAATCTTCGAAGCAAACTAGTCTATGATTGCCCCACGTCGTCATTTCACAACGGAAGATATGTAATGGGGCATACCAGTAAAACCAGAAAGCAATGTGTTTGTTGATACATATCGTCACTATTACATGTCAATCGCTATTTGAACTTTCCATACGAGTATTAGATTTCGTAAAGATTTATTTTCGCAGATCTTTAATTTCAGGATTTTTCACAATCTTGAAAGACGCAAAATTAAAGACCTGGGTATAAGTACCAATAAGATACACCTAAGTTATTTAGTTTTCCTTTTTCATATCTTATACATGTACCTTAAATGCCTGAGAGAGAGAGAGAGGAGAGTCATATCATTATGACATATCATTATGATATATCATATCATTATCTTGCAAGCAAGATCCATAAACGTTGGAATTATTAAGTTCATAATACCAATCAGAAAATAAAATAATAAACTGCTAACAGTTACAGTATGGGTACCGTAGTAAGTATATGTTTTGTGTGGTTGGTATTTTTTTCACTTCCCTTGATCTCTGATCTCTCTCTCTGATCATCACTGGTTATTAGGCATTTAGGAATATATCCTTGTTTGAGAGAACTTTAAAACAATGAGATGGGTTAGGATGAAAGTTATGTTCATTCTGTGGTGAGGTGGTGGTAGTCACAATTAAAAAACTAACCTTACTGCCTTCTGAGTCAATGGACACCATTCCCTTTGCCATATCTATCAGAAAATATCTGGACAACTCACCAGCTATAACATATGGAAGTGGAAGAAAGAGAATCACATCAAAAAAAGATAGACAAAGTTACACGTAAGTTGCTACGAAGTAATTAAAAAAATATTTGAATACGTAATTAATTAAGACCCTTACACTCAGTACGCATGTTGAGATTTGTCTGCAAGAAAAGAACTTGCTCATGTCCGCTTTCCAGGAAGTCATCTACAAGCACTAACTCAATGTCATCATACTCTTTTACTACCTGAAATGAAAAAAAATAATAATTTATTAATATTAATAATAATAATTAATTTTGGTACATTCTGTCTCTAAAAGGAACAGTAGGATGGTGTTAGATTGCTACACTTGTATTAGATGAATCAATTCCTGAAACACTTGTAGAAATATTGTATATAATTTCAAATTGTTTGATTTCTGGTTAACATAATCACAACTTTGGTGTTGGATTGCTACACGTGTATCAGGTTAATCAATTGCTGACATCATATATAATTTCAATTTGTTTGATGTCTGATTAACGTAATCACAACTTATCCTCAGAGGTCAGGGGAAGAATATATTGCATATTCAGATATTTTCAGACCAATCAGAAGTTGGGATTTCTTCTAGAATGGTTTCAATAAGATTAGAGAGAGTGTCCAGAGGCTCTGAATCCTCTCTCTTCTTAAAAACTTTGCTGTTAAGTGATGTGAATAATTTGTGAAGAATGTACATTTCCATTTCAATGAGCTAGCCCTACGTACATGAGGATAACAAAAATTTGAGAATAATAATTGGGACAGGAAACATAATGCAGTGGAAATCACAAAATTACCATAGCGGATTCATCTTACCTGGTTCTTTTTGCAATTCACTACACACACCTTCTTCTTTTGCGATGCAATCATAACCATGACTTCACCAGGCTCAGGCTGAAAAGAAATATACATTAAACCTTTAAGCCTACAAGGACTAGAATCAAAATTCTTGTTGTTATTAGAATATTGTCAATATTTTATGCTCAATTAGTCAGTCAGGACCATTTTTTGTAGATATTTTATTTTATTATATGGAGGAGAGTGTTTTACTGAGAACTAAACCACTCGTAGATTCCATACGCCACTTCATCCGGGACCCGAGTGGCGTATTTTCCGTATGTCACCATTGTGAGTGTCGTATCGTTCAATGACGTCACAATTCCCCCCTTTTGCTTTTGTTGAATTGGTTTCTCCATATAATAAAAAGAACATTACACGTTGACTCAAAGATATGAATTTTATGTTCTCGTGGCAAGAACAATATCTCACTTGTTCGCATCACTCACTCGTGAGACATTGTTCTTGCCACTCGAACATAAAATTCATATCTTCTAGCCACCGTGTAATATCCTCTCTCTACATATTATTTATTAATTATTGCATTCTATAATCAAGTAAAATTTAAACACAAACAGCTATTTTTTTTTAAATTCAATATTACAAATTTGGAATATTACAAATTTTAAATGTTTACACTAACCAGCACTCCATTGTTTCAATCATTCAACCTCATATTTCTCCTAAGACTGAATTGAAATCTCTATCACGACTTTGCCGTAAAAAATTAAGGTTGCAGCTGCGCATAATTGAATTCTTTCTTTTAACTGGATGATATACTACTAAATACTCAGGAGATTTTGATGATAAAAATGTAAGCAATTAGAAAGTTTGTTCCTCTAAAGTGTTTTCACTAACAGTTACTGGTTGGTCACATTCATTTATTCACAGGGTCAAAAGTTAAAACTCATTAAAACACTACTAGTAACCCAAAATAAAAAAAATCCTGAGTCTCCTCAACAGCTCACACTCTTTTTTTACCCTGTCTTTCAAGCAAGAAATTAGGAAAAGATGGCATTGAACTTGCTATCTTACCATATGGCTATTTCTTTCTGCTGCACATTAACCTGGTTCTCATATGCCGCTGATCTGTGATCTGTGACACTATTAGCTGCTGTTATTGTTTGGGAATTTTGTTCCAACAAATTATTATGAAAACATACCCTGCCAAAAACAAGACGCATCACAGGTCTTTGCTGCCTGAATGCCCGCAAAGTTGACTTCAGTTCAACTTTGCAGACATTACGACTAGAATTAGCGCTTACGACTAGAATGGCCTCTACTGCTGGCAACTTCATTTCCCATTTCAGAACAGCATGCCAGATGTTACTAGCTAAGTTGCCTCAAGTAGATCAGAAGCATACCAGACCTAGGCTATATCTTAATGCTTGATGGACAAAGAAAAAGACTGGGCTGTCATTTGCCTCCAAAATGGGAGTCACATGTAATAATCTTCCCATTACTTGCTCCTAGCTAGTTATGGAAAGGTTACAAGATTGCCTCTTTTTAAGAGAAAGTTGTTTTGTACTTTCTACTTGTAAAGACTTAGTAAGTCACTGTTGACTTTAACCTCATCTTCCTCTTATATCAACAAGGCCTGATATCATTGAAATAAAAACATGACAACCTCAATGTTTGTCATTCATTTTTAAAATAGGAAAGAGAGAGAAAGAGAAGGGAAGGAAAGGTAAGCAGAAGGAAGAAGAGATGGTCAAAACAACAAGTGTCCTGACTGAACACATCAAACATTATACTGTCTGATAACAAGCCTACCTCCAGTATCCAAATCCTGCATGCATCATTAAATGGCAGAGGCCAGCAGTTTTTTAGATGCCCATCCATAAACTTTAACAACTGTCCGTGATTTGTCGTTAGAAATACTTCCAGTCCATCATACATGGTTTCGGACTGGCCAAATGACACATCTCTTATAAGAATGAATGTCACTATAGGAATGTACACATTAGGAATCAGTGGAATCTCTTGAATATGATTCTGGGGATGCGAGATACAAGTCCATCTTGTCAATACATTTTCACCATCACTTGTCACATGCAGCTTGGTTCCCATGGCAACTGTTTCATCCCTCAGTAGACCGCACCAAAAAAGGTTAAATTCCTCAACTGGTGGTTTGTTCAAGGAATCAATAACATTTATAGTCTCCACTGTCATTTTCTCCAATTTAGGGTCATATCGAGCAAAAACAACACAACCTTCAACGGCCCAACAGACCGCTGGTCCATCAATCAAGTGAAACTCGATCTGTGCTTTTCCTGTTCTATTAACCTCAAAACTTCCAATCATTATTAATGAATCGTAACTTTCTAGAAGAAAAACATGATACTTCTCCATGTTATCATTTTTTGAAGAAGCCTGGCGAAGTAATATACACGGCCGATATATTCCGAATCTTATGTCCAACGAGCACTTCACCCGCCAGACTTGAAGCTGACAAAACGTCGAGATGTTCAACGATAAAACTTTATCCAAAGTTTTTTCGAAAGATCCGCTTGATTTCGAAAAGTGATGAACTTGTAATGCAATGTGTCTGTCCATATTTCTGGTCGCATTTTCCGTGGCAAAGCTGATCACATCACCATTGAATGCTTCATAAACCGCCATCTTGGAACACAGAATTCCCCTCGCCTGTGGTCTCATAGGTCTCATTGGCCCTCACTGGCCCTCATTGGCCCTCATTGGCCCTCATTGGTCTCACGGTTTTCTCGTCCTCACACAGGCTGCCCAAGCGCACTATGTTTGGGTTCGGGCTTCAGAGGTCATTTGGTCGGAATATTATTAGTGTATTATCTGATGCCAAATAAATGCAAAAATCTTAAAGATGTGTAGTCTTCTTGTTTGTCTATCTGTACTAGTAGCCTTTAAGATAACGAAGGTCGAGATTCCTTGCCGCTAATATTACATGTGATTCGGGCCCTTATTGTTCGAATTTTATCACATGTATTAGAATCTACAACGCTAAGAAAAGAAAATCATGATCACTCGAAATATTGATTCAAAAAGCTCCCTTACCTTTAGTTCATAGCCACTTTGTGTCCTACGGCCGGTTTAAACGCCGTATAGAAGAAAGTCGACTAAACGGCGTTTAAACCGCCCGTAGGACACAGAGTGCCTCATGAACTAAAGGTAAGGGAGCTTTTTGAATCAATCTTTGATCTTATACTTCGAATGCGTTCATAGAAGTGGCAGAGATTCCATTTTGGATTTCGCGGGAAAAAGTGCCCTAAAATGTGTCTAAAAATAAACCAGTCCGTAAAAACGCCGTAACATAGGCCTAGTATGGGAGTTGGTGGCTCCGCCGGGTTATGGGCTCCTGACTTTAACCTACTGAAAAACACCAGTATTTCTCATTTCATCGTGTCATCCTCATCACAATAAAAGCTCTATTCCTTAGAGCCTTACACTTCGCGTTCTCCGCATCTGTTCCAGCCTTGACAGTTACATACAGCATACTAATCAACTTATTAACTACCTTACCAATCGCGGTTACGACAAAGCCTTTCTCACAACACAAATGCTGCGAGTATAGTTTTTTTTAACCGTATTGTAAATGAATGGAATGGTTTACCCAATCATATTAGAGAATCAAACAGTATGGTAACTTTTAAAAAAATGTTTTAAGCTTTATTAAGGATAACTAGAACATTTATATTTCTACTTGTATATATTTTTCTCATATTTCAATTAGTCGGGGGATCCCTAGTATGGCGCATTGGCGCTTTTGGTTGTCTCCTTCTCCACAACTCTTTTTTTCTTATAGTAGTGTTAGCTTATTTCATTTCATTATTTGCTTGTAATGTAGTGGAGTGAATCTGTAATAAAAAAATAAATAAATAATTTAAGGGACCTTTCTCCAGCGGATTCGACAGATTTTCCTTTACTGCATGTTCATGTTAAGAATTGAATAACGGTGGAAAGGTCTATTCTCTCTCATTGGTTGTCTGCCATTTTTGGCGGACAGTTCATACCTTCACACTTGTTTCAACCACTCTTAAACGACCACTTTCTTCTGTCCAGAAGGTGGCCATTGTAGAGAGGTTCAACTGAACTTTGTTTGATGTTGTTTACTAAGCAATTAAAAAATGAAATACTATCAAAATAGCGACTTTTATTAAGGATAAGATAAAAGGAGCTCCATCACGAACCATAGACCTATTTGCTTTCACAATATATGAACATCTGGAAATAGCCAAGGTAATTCATTACTTTAAATAGAATGATAACAAAAATTTACAAAAACAGTATTGTTTTATAAGGCATTAAATAAAGATCAAGCCTCAAAGTCTGCAATATCTCAAAACCTCTACAACAAAATACTTACAGTAGCTTTGGCCAACTAAACTTTTGCTATAGCTGTCTAAAACAAGAGTGCTCTTAAACGTAGCCATGAGGTGTAAATGCAATTATATTGTAACCAAGAAACCCAAACCATCTAAACTCTGGCGGAGCTCTCCCCCCTCTGGCGGAGCCTTAGTCCCCAGGGCTCTCCCCCCTCTGGCGGAGCCTTAGTCCCCAGGGCTCTCCCCCCTCTGGCGGAGCCTCAGTCCCCAGGGCTCTCCCCCCCCTCTGGCGGAGCCTCAGTCCCCAGGGCTCTCCCCCCTCTGGCGGAGCCTCAGTCCCCAGGGCTCCCCAGGGCTCCTCCCCCCTCCTCTGGCGGAGCCTCCCCAGGGCTCCTCCCCCTCTGTCCCCCCCAGGCTCCTCCCCCCCTCTGGCGGGGCTCCCCAGGGCTCTGGGCTCTGGCGAGCCTCAGTCCCCAGGGCCTTAGTCCCCCAGGGCTCTCCCCAGTCCCCAGGGCTCTGGCCCTGGTAAAAAAAGTCCCCAATTAAACTTACCTTTAACTTACCTTTTTGCACTTACCTTTTTTTTTTTTTTGGTTTTTGTTGATAATAGGTCTGTTCTGTTTTTTCTTTATAGTTTTTGCTTTTGTTTTTGAGTTTGTTGTTGGTGGATTACGCTGTTGAATTTAGCTCTTTGTAAGGTTTCGTTTTGTCAACGAATCCGAACTTTCGTCACTTAATTCAAAAGCGCAATCTTCTTTTAAGTTGTGATATTTTTCACTGTCAGGCCTGAAGAGGTTTAATTTAAAACTAAATACAACATGCAGTTGTCTTGGGGTATATACCAAACCAGAATTTTCAGTGAAACCAAAAAACTCACATCAAAATTATTGGAAAGAAGGATGCAACATGAAAAGAAACATAGCTTAATCGCTGAGCCTCGAGACCTTTTTGAAAATAATGACCGAGCGCGTATTTTTCCATAGCTTTAGAACAAGTAGGTTATTATTATGGTCACTGAATTGAAACAGTAGGTTATTATTTCTAATAATGATCTTCTGTTCCACCTCAACGACCTGTTCTTAAAATTTATGTAAAATAATGACCTGTTCAAAACAATGGAAAATTGCAGAAGACTCGACTAACCGACTGTGTTGTGCAAAAAATGAACTTACCATAGGTTTCGTATATACTGAATAAATGACAGACACACAAATGAGTTGGCTGCGTATCCTTGTTAAGGACCGTGGCAGTACTTTTATTGTTATTTTGAAGACTTTCTTGCAAGGCAAATTGTTCTGCTTTTCTTTATGGTGAGGCAGTACCTGTTAAAAAATGGAAAGTGTTATTTGTTGTTGTAAATACTACCGTACTAACGTGTTAAGAATTGTACTCCGACATCTTCAAATTCCTTTGATTTGCCGATCATCCCACGATTTGGATGACTCAGAGAAGTTTGGAAACAGGATAAACCAGTTTTATCTATGCACGCAAGCGTATTCTGTAGTTTTGCCGATTCGTTCTGCGCCCACGCTCCATAACAAAATAAATTTTCATGCAGGAATTTTGAGAAAATTACAGATTGAACGTTTAGTTTTAGAAAAATTGGAAAATGCAACTGGATTTGAGATGGATTTTGTTTTGGATTATTCACACCTGTCCTGCCACTCTGTCGACTATTATCCCGGGAAGCATTGTAATACCAACCGTTGGTTTGTTGGCATCGCGTTTGTGCGGCATAAGAGCATAATTTACCTTCAAATCGTACATTAATTAATAAGGTAGCGGTTAATTAAATACAAAAGCATATAGTCTGAGTCAGAGTAATAAAAACTGTCCTACGTTTGAAGTTTTTTATTTTACAAGTGTAGCCACTGAAGTGAACACTTCGCTAATCAAAGCGAAACATTCTCTACACAGACGTCAACAAAATAGGCCAATTTGTCTCTAACAATCGCAACTCGCGCTTATCCTGTTGACTACACGTAACCTTTATTACATTTTTGTCCCTCAAGTTCAACATTCATCGAACCAACATAACGACAACACACAGAGGAAAGAATTGTGACAGAAAATCCGTTATGTAATGTCTAAAAGAATAATTTCTTTCTGCAGCAAAAATGACCAGTAAAAACCGTTAAAGCAATTTGGACGCTTATCACCGTTTCTTTAAATTGACTTATAATTCTTTTCAGAAAAAAAAACTTGAAAGTAAACGATAGCGTAACGACAAAGCGAAACCAAAAGTTGAAGTTGAACTAAGGACAAACCTGCTGTTTTCGAGGAAGTTATAGAGAATCTTGACTTTCATTCCAGACCAGAGATCGCCTAGCTGAGTTTTGTCTTCTCTACACCGCAGGCAATCCTCCATTTATACGGTCGCTCGATTAAAATTCAAACCAGTACGAGAAATGTTTTTGATAAATCTTTTCTTGAAACTATATGTGAGAAACGCACGCACTCTATGTTCAGCAATGGGCAATCAAAGCATAGATTGGTCACATTCAAAGAGAAAAGTTTGCCGACTCGCTCAATTACATAACTTAGCTCTTAGTTGAAAACAGTATACTGGTGGATAAGCATGAGATCGCCTGTCTTTCATTGATTATGCTGGCGAGAAGTATGCAAGCAGACCCACGGATCAACCTTCAACACTCTTTTATTTTTTTAAATTTTAAAGGCATTTATGACTAAAACTATTTAATGGAAAATGAAACTTATAGGACAAGTCACAAGATGTTGCTTAACTCATGGCTTCAACCTTGAATCTTGAACTGTCTTCTAGCTGACATCAATGGTACAACCAGTTGAGAAAAACATTTTGTCTTCTCTGACTTGACAGTTCAAATGACCCAAAAATGTCCACCCCTTCCCCATCAGGCTTAAAACCGATAAGTGCATAACACCGCAGGCAATGCAAGGTACGGAGGTTTCTGGCTTTAAACACAGTTAAATCAACTTGAAATTGGTGTCTCCATGTATACGGTCGCTCGATTAAAATTCAAACCAGTACGAGAAATGTTTTTGATAAATCTTTTCTTGAAACTATATGTGAGAAAAGCACGCACGCTATGTTCAACAATGGGCAATCAAAGCATAGATTGGTCACATTCAAAGAGAAAAATTTGCCGACTCGCTCAATTACTTAACTTAGCTCTTAGTTGAAAACAGTATACTGGTGGATAAGCATGGGACTTGACAGTACATTGAGAAAAACATCACTCAGTTCATCAATGAACAATTAGACTAGCGCTTGAATTAGACGCATTCAGAAAAAACAAACGCCGACTTCATTAAAACTTGACAAATCGATGACAAAACTGGCTAGTGAATGAGTAGACAATGGGCTTTTCGCCCCAAGAGAAATTGAAAACAATGCTAAAGTAAAATTTTGAAGGGACAACAAAGAGTATTACGTTATTTTTGAAAAAAGGCCTATAGCCGTGTGAATTACCACAAGCTAGCCCCTGAATAAATTTGAAAGTACCAGGAAAGAAACATACAAACTTTCCAAACATCTTGGTAGACAGTAAAAGCGAAGAAACTGGACAAAAACTAGTGTTAAAGAATTGCTAGTACAGGAATCATTTTCACCCCTAACATTTCATTACTCAGTGATGTTGATCACCACCATCAGTTTGACAAAACTAATGAATATGCGAAGACCACAATAGCCTGTTTTGCACCCGCTCGTCGCGACTAATGTTAAAGGTGCGGAAAAGCGAGAATACAAACTTTTAAAACTTCTAGGTAGACAAAAATCCTCATTCATTCAAAAAGCCCAGCAAGTTGAGCAAAACTTATGATTAAAATTGCCAGTTAAAAAATCACTTCTATCACACTGACACATGAAAAGCTCGCGTTCAACGAAAATGCCGCGAAAAACACAATATTGAGGAGGATGTCATTGATCGTAGCATCGGGTTTTTAGTCACTGGGGTCACAAGAATAGTGGAGTGGATTTCTTTGATCAGAGGCATTAGGCCCGGCCGGTATAAACTCTTCCCCAGTTGATCATAAGATAAGTCAACATTAAGAATCCTCTTTGGAGATATAAGTGTCTTATCACTCCAACTGCAATGCATTTCTTTTTTTTGTTAACTTCGCTTGATTCCGCTCGATCGCGAGACCACCCCCCAAAAGAACTGGGACTACTCGGCGAAAATCCGTCAACGCGGCTTAGTGAGTGTATTCACATGACGTCACGGCGGAAATATTCGTGTTCCAAAACGGTCAGCATTAGATCCCGTCGGCCGCAGCCCCTTTCTCCCCTCATGAAATGTACACAATGAAACGGCGACCATATTGGTGTTGGACTCTTAGGTTTCTTAAGTAAAAAATTTCTTCTCCTCTCATAAATTTGCATGGATGCTTGTCACGTGAGTGAATACGCTCTGTACTAAAAATGTCAAGTTTCGACGTGATTTTTTAACAACTAACGAAGAGTTTAGATATGCAAAGTCGCCTAATTTTACAAACGTGGAGCGGTTCTACTGTACTTTGTACGAGAGGGACCTGTTGTTTATTAAGCAATAAACAAATGAAATACCGGTACTACCAAAATTGCGAATTTTATGAGGTATAAGCTGAAGGGAGCTCCATCAAGAAACATACACCTTTTTGCTTTCACAATATATGGCAATCAGAATACTCAAGGTAATTTATTAGTTTAAATAGAATGATGAACAAAAAACAGTACTATTTTATTAGGCTTTAACTGGAAACCAAGCCGCAAAGTCTGCAACCGCTCGAAAACACTACAGCGGAAATACTTACAGTAGCTTGCGCGAAGTAAACTTTTCCTTTTGCTGTCCGTAACAAGGGTGTTCTTAAACGTTTCCATAAGGCGTATTGTAACAACTAAGAAAACCAAACCTCCTAAACTACCATAGTTCAGAATTTATGATTCCATTAAAAGTTCAATAACATATGAAAGGTGTACAGAAAGTACAGTAATTTTTTCAAGCTAAGTGCTTCTGATAATGCTTTCCTCTCGACAAAAACAGAAATGCACTCCAAAGGGTTACAGAAAACACTCAGGGAATACATTTTAACTTTCTTGACTTTGCACGCACCATGCGTAGGCATTCTGGAACATGCGTAGCCATGGAGATGCCTCGAGACTATTCTGCCAATCACGAGGCATCCACGGCCATTGCCACAGCAACGTACATCTCTCTGGGTGGGGCATCATTGCAAGATGCCGTCCATCAGGAGAGGAGAGACCAGCTATCCCCTCAGGGGATCCATTGGGATTAAGCGGGTACTGCGTGGTTGGACAGTCGTCATCGTCTACATAACAAAGTGGTACAAGGTTGTTCGTTTTGATATTCTGCAGCATGCTGTCATCACGGAACTGGATTCGTCCTTCGCCATGTGCAACCCAAATACCCAGAGTGGATCCCTCCATACCACGCAACATCATGGCAGGGCTGGACTGGATTTTGACTGTCACAAACCGCGATTCAAAACGCTCAGAGGTATTGTGGGTGAAGCAAACACCCTGTTTGGAGCTGGAATCATTGTGACTCTTGGTATACCGACCAACCCAGCCTAGAAGGCCCATCAACTGGCAGCCGTTACACACTCCCAAGCTAAAGGTGTCTTGTCTGGCAAAGAAAGCATCTAACTGAGCCCTAACGGTGGGGTTGATGTTACACACTGCTGCCCATCCTTTGGCTGATCCAAGCACATCAGCATAGCTAAATCCCCCGACAAACACTGCCCCACGTAAATCTTCCAGCGACATTGTTCCGCTGCACAGGTCATGCATAGTAACGTCCCAAGCTTCAAAACCAGCCATGTAAAAGCTCGCAACCATTTCCCGGTCTCCATTGCTTCCTTCTTCGCGTATAATGGCCACTTTCGGACGAACATCAGTGTTCACTGGGGGTAAAAGCACTGGTTCAAATGACAACTTGTACCCTGGAGCACGCCTCGTACGAAGGCCAGCTTCTTCTTCCTGTGCACACTGTGGGTTTGTCTGCAGTCTCTCCAACTGGAAACTAGTTGCCTCCCAGATATCTCGCAAATCCACCATTTTCTGTTCCAGCACAAGCTCACCCCCGACACGGACTAAAACAACTGCATCTTCACCAATCCCGTTTGATCTGCCAATTTGGTGGCAAGGTACGCCTTTCTCACGGAGGGCGTTCAAAACTTTTTCAGTGTTCTCTTCTTCAATTTCCAGAACAATTCCAAGCTCCTCGGCAAAAAGCACATCTGCTACTTTGCTCACTGTTGAGGTACTGTTTTCTAAACAAGGAATGTCAACTGTCAGGCCACAGTTTCCAGCAAAGGCCATCTCCAAAAGAGTAGTAATCAGGCCTCCGTCGCTAATATCATGGCCAGACACGATAAGACCCTGTGATATCAGTTCCTGTGTGGTCCTGAATGCAGCCTCAAAGATCTGAAACAAAATAATATGAAATTCTTTTATTTCATTCATAAGACAAAAACTGTGATCAACACAAACTCCGAATAGAAGAGTCTGTGGTGGGATGTGTAATGCATGTAATGTTCTACCATCACTGACAATGTATATACTCTGGCCTTCTAAAGAGGTTTTCATGGGAGATAAAACTCGGCCAGATCATTGAAAATAGTAACCAACGTTGACGTATCCTAGTGCCTCAAGCGTAGGCGACAGGACAACAATGTCCAACAAGGTCTGTAAATCCTCTGTAATTCTGTCATAACTTTGTGGTTGTCTGTGCCACAAGATGGTATAAAACGTTACAAAGGTTTACGATTGTGATTTTATGACGGAAGAGTTGCTCGCTGTGTTTATTTAATTGCCCACACTGAGCATATGTAGTCTTGTCATGCAGGCAATTTCATTGAAATAGCTGTATCCAGACACGATCACCTGTGTGTGTAAGTAGAAGTACAGGGCTGTAAGAGCAGATCTGTTACTGGCGCGCAACTGTTTCCAATATTCCAGAGGGTGCTTTCATTGAAACAAGATTTCTTACCTTTGGATCGTCTAAATCAGGTGCCTCGCTTCCAAGCTGATTGTACACCTGCGCCAAAGAACTTCCTCCCAGCCTGTAATTACAATCAATACCAAACTTGACCCACACCAGATTCCCTCCTTTGCCTGGGATCTTCAAATCTGGAGTAACTGTGGCTTGGATGTCTGGACATGCCGCATAGACTGAAATAACCAGAGAGCCAGGTGCTTTAACGGTATCACCTCCCACTCTAGCAGCCATGCTCAACGAGTCTTTTCCACCATCTATGGCAATGCCAAGAGATGACATGACACTGCACATAGCCGCACATGTATCGTACAGACTGGCACCTTCTCCTGGTAATTTTGCAGGCCACATCCAATTACCACTGCATTTAACATCCTGCGGGTGAATTGTGAGAAAGAAAATTTAAAGCCTGTGTATTGTAGTCAAATATTGCATGGCCTTTCATCAACATGTATCAACCGACTAAGGGTACGAAATTTTGGAAACAAAACTTAGGCGACACGAACTTTTTTTCTCGGTGGTACTGTTGGGATGTGGCCTTGTAACTGACAATTTTATATCGGATGAAATTGCGGTATAAAAATAACGTGACCTCCAACACTGTCCACCTTAAAATGTCAGTGAGTAATGATCAGCACGCATGGCCAATATAGGGGGGCCATCCTGAGGAATTAAGCTCACTAAAAAAGCAGCTTTTATCTGGGAAGCATTCAGGTTGAATGGTTCATGAAACATTTACCATTCAAAGCATCTCACTTCCATTGTACTACAGTAACACTTTTACTCTCAGTGACAGGAAGAGGCAAAAATCGAGGAAAATTCTACATGTTATCTTCTAAAAATAAAATACTAAGAAAGCAAAAAGTGCTATGTTACAGTACATATGAAGAGAGTTTGTTATGATCCAACCGTAGGATTCAATCCATACATTCAAAAGTAAGGATTGCTTCACTTGTTCCTTCAGGAATTACAGGTTGATTATAATTCCTACTCTTTGTTTTGTGGTACCCCAGATTTATCACCTGTTCCACATCACAAAAGAGTGTACACCAATTCTTCACCTGAGCGTCTTTCACAAATACTGTAATGTACGCTTGCTTATTGGTGTGACAATTTTCCTAAAGTTCTTTCAATTGAATCAAAACCTTAACTACTTCATCACACTATCACATCAAGACAGCATGCCATCCCCATTCAATTAAAGTTCAGTGTTTTTTGTCACAAGATGGGGAAATAAAAAAAATAAAAAGGACTTTGAAAATGTAAAATTGTGTATCAATTCTTTGGGGACTGGATCTCTTTGAAACAAAAGAAAAGCACTGCATCAGGAAACAAGCCTCCCACAAAGGCGTTTTAGGAGAGTCTCCCCTAAAAATTGCCCGCATGGGAGGCTAGAGGAAACAAGCTTAAATTTGATACCTTTAGATCAGTTATTCTTGCAAACACCAAATTTGTTAGAGCTTCTCCAACTGCCATTCTTGCTCCACATGCTGAATCTACTAGGCCTTTGATTGGCTGTTCTCCAATGGCAGTCGCTGAGCCCACTGTGTCAAAATGTGTCAGTGCTGTCACTGCTACATCAGCCACTGGCGTATGCAATGGACCTACACACTGTTGCTGGGCAACCAGACCTGTGACACTGCGGTCAACCTCAAGTACACATTAAAAAAACAACTTAGAGCCTGTTACACATTACTTCTACATCTACATACCACTGCTTTTCAATACAATCAGTCACAGCTTCATAGTTTGCAGTTTGTAGATCTTCTTTTGTTGTTGTTTTTTTTTCGCAATTATTCACTTATGGGTTGTCATGTTCAGAACAGTTTTGAATCATCTTGGGTTACAATACTGAGTGTGTATTATTTTACCCTTGTATTTATCAATATTATTCACCTATCCTTATTCATTTACGTTCTAGCTATTCACCAATAACACTGATTTCCTGGAAGGATACTGTTATATGTGTTGTATGACAGTTACTAATGTAATCACTTTTGATATGAAATATTTCCTACTAAAGTACGCAAAATGGAAGAGAATGGAAGAAAGAACATTGTCACCAGAGCTCGTTTTCAAAACCCTCTAGCTTATTTACTACCTTGTTTGTGAGATATCTCTTGCTGGCAACTGCTGGCAGACGTAACACTCTGTCTAACATTTCCTTCACTGTAAAACTCGGTTGAATATGCAGTGGCACTAACTGTGACTTCACACGCTCTAAATTAAAAACCTGAAAAAAAAATTTAAAAAAAGAGTATTATTTTTCAATTAAGTGCCAAAAGAAACTACTTCACAATTATGAAAAGAACAAAATAATATTACTGAACCTTCTGTGGCATTTTCCCAAGCACAACTTCAAGTTCCAGATCAACCGGATAAGTTGTTGTTCTCTGGCGTTTGCTTGGCACACCATTTTCCTCTGTTGATATTCCATTTTCAAAATGGGAAGTTTCATCTTCCAACACAATTCTTCCATCACCTGGCAGTTGAAATTGAGTGAAACATAAGGTTTTTAACCCTGTAGTTTATTAACTACCTCATAAAAACACAATTTGAAATAATTACACTATGAAGGGCATACAGGTTGAAATGTGCCTAAATTTTAAGCATTGTTCACTTTGTAGTCCCATGAATTCTCCATCACACCTTGCTCAAGGCCTTGTATAATACATGTATTATTGCAAATGTGTAAAGTTGCATCTGTGGAAGTGATTAGGCATTCAAAAAGCCTGCTAATTTAAAAAAAATATGTATGTGTTAAATCCTAGAAAGAAAGCCTGTTGCTCCAGAAGACATCTTGTACTTCAAAGAGTTACATTGTATGTGCTACCACCCAGTACCAACTTGAGGCAGAGTTATTATGAAGGACAAAAATCATAATTCTGGATGTTCTTAACGTCAACATGTAAAATATCAACATGAAAACCAAATTTTTTGAATTTGGCCACCACTGTTCATTATCTAGTGAGCAAGTGGCTCCTTCGCCTGTGCATATGGCCACCTCTCATTGCTAACTGTACAAAAAATCTATTGCCACTGCAGGTAATATTAAGAGCTATTCATATTAGCAGGCTAGGTGGCTCATCCCCCATTGCAGTCCAAGTCGGCCATCTTGATGCTGCATGCAAGTCTAGTTCAGTGTTGTGGCAAACAGCACTATTGGAGCTGATCTGGAAATGCTGTCGCTAATTCTTTCACTGGCTTTTACAAGGTTGGGTAGGTAACTGGGTCAAAATTTGTCTCCCAAAATAGTCCCTAGAAGCAAGTCACCAAAACATGGATCCACTCCCAAGTGCAAGCTCACAATTGGCAATTGGTAGGATCAATGGTAAAGCTTTGACTAACCTGAGATCAGGCCCAATTTTAGCCGTTCTCATACGTTCTCTCTAACGGCCACCACTAATTTCGTTTCATCTTGCCCGCCGGATGTTATTTACAAAGCAAAATGAAAATTGAGCCTGATCTCAGGTTAACAAGTGACCACCAATATTGCAAACATTTAGTGGTCACTTACAGGTGGTCGTTTATGAGAATCAAACCAAGGGGTCCTTTCCTAGAAAATATCCGAACACATCTTCATTTTCGATGAGAATCCATAGCATGCAATTTCTTATTCATATTATTGTACAGTTTCATGTTGTCAGTAAAAGTTCTTTGTATACTCTGAAAAGTGTAGTACATACAGAAAAGATAGACATCAAACCATGACTCAAATGGTTGCTTACCAGAGGGTTAAACAACGAAAAATTTTAAAAACTTCATCCAAAAAAGTAGTCTTGGTTGCTTACAAGAGGTGATCATTTAAGACAGGTTCTGATCTAAGACTCTAACTAGAAAAATTTGGGTGTTTTGGAAAGGTGGTCATTTATGGAAGATGGTTGCTGTTATGAGAGGTGGTGGCATATGAAGGTTCATTCAACGACGTGTCTTTCTCAATACAATGTTTTATTTTTGGACAGGGGTAAGGTGTGAGGCCTCATGGACAAGTAATAAAGTAATCCTCTGCACTGTTTTTGGATTACCACTGCTTACCTGTTATTTCCCCTACAAAGGAGACTGGCACCTTCTCTCTATCACAAATATCTTGCAAGGTTTGCCTGTTTTCAGCATGCACCAGTAATGCATTACTCTCCTGATACTCAGCACCCCACAGTTCCAAGACGGAAATGGTTGGATCACCAAGCATGAAGTCTTTAACTCGAATAACTGCTCCAGCAGGTTCAGAGATCTCTTTCAGTACATTCCCTGCCCAAGGAACATAATAAACATAATTTCTATGACAAGTTTTATCCCTTATTAACTTTGCAGTTTCTCTGTACAGTTATTTTGGGAAAAAGACAGTGACTTTTTAGCAATCATTTCAATTCTTCACATGATATTTTTTTTGAATAAATTAATACTGGTTAGCGGCCTTGTGCCAGTTGGGAATCTTAACCTTGTCATGTTACATTTGAATTTATTATTTGTTTCATTATCACTGAAAAGCCATAAATTGATTATTAAAAAGGGGAGGATAATTAAGCATTTATTACTACTTCATGATAAATGTTGTAGTAATAATTTCAAAGTTGAAGCCCTCACCATTCCCTCCAGCTCCTTGGTCATGAATACTGCAGATAGGATTACCAGAACCCATTTCAATGCAAGCTCGAATGGCTCGGTTCAGTTTCTGCTCCATTTCAGCATCACCCCGTTGAACAGCACCAAAGTCCAGCTCCGATTCATTATCCCCTTGAACCTGTATTGAAGAGGCAGCTCCGCCTCCAACACCAATCCGATACACAGGGCCACCAACTTTGACAACCTCCATTCCTTTTTATTAAAAAAAGTTAAATAAAACTAAATAAACAGTGCTAAATTCCCTCTTTTACAACCAGTGGCTGAATTGCAGAGGGACCAAGGAGGTAAGATCAGGCATCAGCATGTAAACGCGCCTTTTTGCACTCACTTAAGTTCAAGTTTAATCTCATCTCACCCAACCAGACCAATGATGGGACAAGTTAGATAGACTACGTCATCACCACACGGCCGTCATTCCCTACTCTTTTCAAAGAATGACTTGTCATAGGTTCTTTAAGGCCCCCTTTTGACTGATGTGTAAGGGTGAAGGAGACAAGGCCAAGTGAAACCCTTTCTCAATTCAGATGACCTAGTGATTTGGTGGCAACCTCACTACAGCTAGTATGATCTCACAGTTTTAATTTTTTCAAAGACCTTTGTTGGTATAAATGTAGTTCTGCCAGGATTTGGACTCACAACCTCCTGCTCAGCAGACCAGAATCCTTCTAACAGAGCTAACTGCACACCATTAACCATATGTGATAAACTGATTAAGACAAGCATCTTCAGACAAAACCTTAGACTACTAGATAACCCTTTAAGCCCCAGTATCCCCATACAAATTCTCCATACTGATCTCCATACATTTCCATAAAGAATAAGTTGAGAGAATTTGATAATAGACCAAGGCAATTTCTCTTGGGTGATCATTTTATTAATTCTCAAAACTAATCTCTTGACAGTGTATGGATATTGTTAGGAGAAAATTGATCTTGGTCACTATTGGGACTTAAAGGATGTGAATATTGGAGTGTCATAAAACAGTTTTGCTTGTCGACAAAACACTCTGCAGGATTTTCGCGTGGACAAAACGGAACCTCTTTGCACAAGGTGCTATTTCACTTCTTTTCTTTCTTTATTTATTTTTGGAAATATAATCTTACCTTTTTCAGGCTGTAGTTTTGTCACTCCCTCACCATCAATCATTCCTATTCCACCACTAAACATTATTGGCTTCACCCACTCACGTCTGTCTCCATTTGGTAGCATCATACCAAATGATCTAGCAAACCCAGCAAGAACTGGCTCTCCAAACTTATTTCCGTAGTCTGATGCTCCATAGCTTGCCTCAATCACAATTTCTAAAGGTGGTGCCATGTTGTTGGGATAAACAAATTTGGCATCTTCCCAAGGAAGTTCATAACCTAAACGTACATGTAATGTCAAGAATAAGTTGAACAAATATGGACAAAATGGAAAAGCAGGAATCATTTTCTATCAAATTTCTACAAAAATTTATTTTTTTGCCAAATTCAGTATTAATTTCAAGTTAAGGGCTTATTCAAGTGGTGACAGCCACAAACAATGTTATCAGCCTACAGCGCATGTATACAGCATAATAATTGCTTTTCTAACCTGGGATATGAAGGTTACCAAAGCAATAACCAGCAGTACCAGCCACAACATGGGCTCCTCTTCCAGCTGCCTGCACATCCCGAATGCGTCCGCCAGTTCCTGTTGTCGCACCAGCAAATGGAGCAACACCTACAGTAATTCACAAGAGACATTTGTGGGCAGGCTTTACTGTAATGCAAAACTCTTTCAGTTCAAGTCCACTGCCTTACAAAATACCAATTCAATGTGAAAGCTATTTCTGCCATGCTGTAGTTAAAAAGTGACTCATACCTGTAGGGAAATTGTGAGTTTCGGCAGTAAAGATGATGTGCCTGGTACAATCTTGCTTTAACTGAAATTTGGTGGCTTCTTTACAGGTGACAGGTAATAACAATGGAACTTTATAACCAGAGATAGCACTGTAAAAAAACAATGACAGGCAAGCTGTACAGTTTGCAACAAAAATGGTGTGTTTTGAAGATTAAAATGAACCATGTGCTGGTACACGTATACATGTGGTTTTCACTGACTGACAACGGATACCTTTGGAAATTAATTAACCACTTAGGTCAACAACCAGGTCTGAGATGTTTCAAGTTGGTTTAAATAAGAATATTCACCTACTATAGATGATCCCAATATAAAATTATTTTCTGCCTGACGTTCACTGTGCTACTGTGAACTGTATGTACTTGTACATTGTATAATATGACACCTGGGTTTCAGCCACTTTAATACAAGAATTATACAACTTTTTTGGTGAGTCTGCATTTGTAAATTTAATTAAATTTATAATTTTCCTTGTTTTTTGGAATTGGGTTTAAAAGAACACAGCTCCATAACTTGGCCTTCCCCAAGTCTGAAAATACATCTTTAGGCAGCAAGATGGAATTAATGGTGCAAAGCAGTGAAGAATATTTTTTCTTCCTTACAAGGACAAACATCTAGCTAAGTCTCTCTTTTGGTTGCAGAAAACAAAAATGTGGCCAAACTAAATTGAGACATGGGGTTCAGATTTAGACTGGTTACTGCCATACATTACACCACAATTATGTTATTTTCTTGTGAAGACAGTTCACAATTGTTCAGGGTAAATTTTATTTACTGCAAATCAATAGAAGTCGACAATAACTTTTCTGGACATTAGGTCCAATCAGAGTTAAGATGTTGTCAGACATTGGCCGATTTAAATCATACATATTATTTTGTTCGAAGACCCACCACTATTTGCAGCTCAAGAGATGGCATTATTCACAGACTTAAGCCTAAATGAACAGATTTGGCTGATGCAATAGACAGGTGTTCTGCACCATAAGCTTCACTGCCAATATCATTTACCCCCAAATTATCTCTCACCAGGTTCTGGACCCCCAACGGACTCAACGAATTACCGGAAGTGCGTTTGAATTCCCCTTCAACCTGATTGGCATGGCATGTACACACAGCTGGAAGTCCAGAACAAGGATTTCGGCGCTATTTCGCATGGGAAGAATAACTTTTGGGTGAAGTAATATTCATGTCTGGGTAAGATAACGTTTGGATGATTTGACCAGCTGTCATGCCTTACCTACTGTTGTCACTAAATTTAATGATGCTGTTGTTGTTAGTTGTTTCCTGTGTTTTCATCACCATTTTCATCAGAGAATCTTCCACTTCCTGTCCATCAACAATCAATCTTCCTTTAAAGAACCAATGGCGAGAATGTTCACTGTTTGACTGGGCCAAATCAAAACATTCCACGCTGGTGGGATTTCTTTTAACTCTTTCGCGGAATAATTTGGTGTAATAATCAAGATCCCACTCATCAAATGCTAGCCCCAGATCTCGGTTAACTTTTTCCAAAGCAGATCGACCCTCTTCCATAACATCAACTTCGTAACAACTTTCAGCACGAACGTTTACCTTAAAGCTAGTCAACGGCTTTTCGTATCGACATTCAGTCATTCGGTCATGAAGTTTAGCTGCAAAAGCGTTTTCTTCCTCTTTCGTGATATCTGTAGAATCGTCCTTGGGCCTGACTTCAATCAAATACCGACATGATCTTTCGATTCGATCAATCTGTTCTAAACCTATGGATTGACAAATGGACACAGCGTTTGTTGACCAGGCCGTTGAGAAGTTAAGCCTTGGTCCGATTTCAATCAAAACTTTGCCATAACCGTCTGTACTTGCAGTTTCATCAAGGAAAGAAGTTTTGCGAACAGTATCTTCCTCAAAAGTGCTTGTCAACAGCCAAAACAAGTTCTTGAGTTCATCGGCGTTTAAGCATTCATTTCCTTGCACGCTAACATTATAACATATCTCTGTTGTTAGCTTTGTTACTTCCAGTCGTGTTGAGGCTGATTTCAGCTTAGATAAAGTCACATCATGCCGTCCAGAAGATAAACCGGGAAAGCTGTAAAGTCGTACGATTTGTTCCGCCATTTTGGAAGACCATGTGGATTCGATTAACACGTGACTTGTTTGAATTCATTTACAGCTCGCGCCATTTTTCGCACCAACTCGTCCTCAGGCTTCTATAAATTAACAGTTTTTGGTGTGATCTTTTGGGGCCAAATAATTTTAATCGGTTGCTACTTAATCACGGAAGATAAGCACCACAAGCAAGTCACTTGTATTTTCCCTTTAATCTCTTCTATGGTCACAACGGAGTCCTTAGGGCATTTTCCTTCCACTTTTACACCGACTTTAATTTATACCGTAGCAAGATTCTAGAAGGGTTCATACCGACCACTTGTTCTTCACCAAGATCATGCTACCCCCCCCCCCCCCCCCCCCCACACAACTTTCCGGGCGTCCCTGCTTCCAGCTTGAAAGACAAGTTGCAAGCATTGATCTTCTTTTATTTTGACTGGACTTTTTATTTGTACAGCTCTTCATTTTTAACTGATTTCTCTTGGTCGCCTTTACTGTTATAAATAAACAGCTACCGAACTAGCGGGTGAGCAGCGAAAAAAGCGTGAGCCGTTTCGCGCACTTTGCTCGAGGAATCGCTTTCCCTGCTATTTTTGGAGCGAGGAAAAAGCACCTACCGAACTTAGCGCGCTGAAGCTTTTAATTAGAAATCTCTCTAAACGGCCACCACCGTAAACGAGAATGACGTTCCCTCGCCTAGTTTCGCCCAGCCTTACTTTTCCATTTTCCCCACGCATGGTAATCTAAAATACTTTGCCAGAGGAAAAGACACAGCAAATATGCAGAAGTAACCATTTCAATGACATTTTTCTTTACACTGACCAGGGACTAGGCTGTTTTTTACGTTCTTCATTCTCTTCACTTAATTTATACATGGCTATTCCATTCATCTAAGAATTTTGGATTTTTTCGTCTATTTTCCCACGATTTACAACATTATCATGTACAAAAAAGACCCCTAAAATTGTCATATTTTTGCACAAAAATACTGTTCTCAGCTAAGGAACAGTGCCTAAAAACTTAGTGCGACGGTCTTATAACTCCAATATTTAAACCTGGTGCAGATCTTTTATCCTTCCAAATGGTACCAAATTAAATGCGATTTCATATGCTGATGATTTAAATATTTTACACGATCCAAAATAGGATTACAGAATTATCTCGACACGCTATCCTCTTTTTGCAACTCTGGGACGTTAGATATAAATTCCAAAAAGACCAAAGTTATGATCTTTCAATAACGAGCGAAGAAAGCTCAAACCTAGAATTCCATGTAGGTAAGGAAACATAAATATTGTACCTGAAGGTACATTTTTAGGAAACTGTATCTCCTCAACCGGTAATTTTAATATCTCACTAGAACACTTGAAAGAGAAGGCTCTTCATTCTCTTTCTGGTTTAAGAAAACACACAGACATCAGCAAATTAAAAACTTTCATGCTTGCTTGCAAAATATCGACATGATGATTCCCTTATACTATATCCTACAACTGTGAAATTTGGGGAACATATATACCAGAAATAAAATTTCAATGCGTGGGATAGTTCCCCAATTGAAAAAATCCATCTGCACTTTTGCAAGCGGCGATATCTAGAAGTAAGTAATAAGACTTCTAACACTGCATGTAGAAGTGAACTACGCAGATCGATTGCAATGGAAAAATTCTTAACTACATAATGTATGTTTTAGATTATAAAGATGAAGACTCTAATGTCATACACGCATTCCATGTGTATCAATTAATCTTCACTCTTATGGCAAAACTAGTTTTTATAGTAATCTAATGGAAATATCCAAATTCTTAGTCTTCTCAATTTGATCTCAATAATTTAGATACAACCAAGACAGCTTGTTAAATAGACATAATGAAACAGAATTATACTGCTCATTGCATGGCGACATAAAGTGAAAAAATTAGACGTTTTACAGCACGTTTAAGCATTGCTATGAGGTCTCAAGTTATTTAAAACTAACAAGAAAAACAATTGATAGAAAAAGTTTAGTAAGATTACGCTTAAGCAATCACAAACTTATGATCGAAGCCGAGTATATGACCAAACTCTTCGGGACAAAAGATTTTGCCCAGTTTGAGATTCAGAACCAAATTGAAGACGAAATTCACTTGATCTAGACCTTCCGATCCACTACTCTGATTCAGCTCTTAGAGATGATTTTTTTCATCAAATACAAAGTTAATTCTTTTAAACAATTTAAGCAAATACCCTACGCGGACTTAGTGATTAAACTAATGGTTTCCAGATAGCTATGTTAATTTACGACTGCTGAATTTTGTCCCATCAAGAATTAATTTACGTGATAGCTTACTATCACTTCAGAATAATGCATTTTTTTAGAAATGCATTTTTTCAGTCCCCATCCTTTTGCAATACCGCAATCAGACTTACAGTCATGCAAATACAGGTAAAACTGTTTAAACCATATAATAAGGTGGCTCTACAATGCTCATATGACGATAATTCTTCCTCAGCACTCCTTGTAACATTTTTCCTCATTTGAACGTATTGACTTAAGAACGCATCCTTTAACGGTAAACGGGTTCTTCGATGTTATTTGAGCAGTGACCACAGTACGGGTGCGATCGCGAACGTTTGTTGCCGTAACGGGAAAAGACAAGACATCTCTCCTGTTTGGCTTTATCCACAGCATGTACAGTACGACTTTTCTCAATTTTCTGTTGAGCAATCCGTACAGTAATGGGTTAAAAAGTGAGGTCAACTGGAAAGAAAACGTAGAAATCATCCATATTTCACGCGGAAAATCTAAAGATCCCAGCAGACCTGCGTTTTTTAGTATCCCTTGAGGTAGCCAACATAGAGCATATAAACTTGTGACGATGAAAAGTTTCTTCGTGACGTACACTTCTTCTTTTCTGATTGAGATTCTGTTACGTCTTCTTCTCGAGCACCTGCTGCCTTCTTCCTGCTGCTCGGTCCGATGAGCTTCCAATTTGAAACTAATTTTTCTACGATGCAAGTAAACTGATTTGAAAATGGCAGCATTGAAACTGATCGTTGCCAAAAAAGTAATGTTTCCGAACGCAACCATAAGTAAAGCTCTCCAAGCACTCTCTCTTGCAATAATACAAAGGGCTTCTTCGGCATGAAATCTGAAGTTTTCTTTCGCCATTAAGGAAAGCGACAGCACAAAACCGAACGAAAGAACCCAGGTCGCCAGAATAAATGTGCAAGTGGATCGCTTAGCGAAGACAACAGGGTGCTTCTTGTAATGAACGATGATGAAATAACGGTTAAGAGTTATCAGTGTGATACTTAGATGCGAGGTAATGAAGAGAGAAGACGTTAAAATCGCTTGGTATTTGCAAACATTGGGCCCTAGAAACCAGGCTCCTCGAATGAGCACGGCCACTAGCAGAGGATGACCAGTTAAAGCAGCTAAGATATCAACAATTGATAAATTCAACACCAGCAAATTCGGAATAGTTCTTAGCGTCTTGTGTTTACAAAACGCTACGATGATCAGCGTGTTTCCGAAAAGTGCAAACACCGTAAAGACAACAGCTAGGGTTATTTCTATTGCCGAAATAATCTGTGTCCTAGCTGGCAAGTTTAGCTTCTCAACACCTTCCTCCATATTTTCGAACTTTCCGCGTTTCTGGCGTAAACGTGCTCTGTAAAATAGTTCGATACGTGCTTTCACACTTTTTGGCGTCACATGTGCAGCTGCATTCTTATAAAGTACTAAATTTACTGCACTATAATGGTGACGCCCTTTTCAGCAGTGAGTTTTCATCGTTTCACACTAATTGACACCTTCGCTTTTTGACAGCCAGCAAAAAATAAATCTCGTCTTCTCACAGAGCTGCTTTTTAAAGATAAATTCCTCACGTGTTGATACTACGCTAAAAAAAAATTATTCACGTGCGGGCAAAGAGCAAATGGAATAAATTTGTGTCCGGTAATAAACGTATTTATTGCTTGTGGATGAAAAATGCCCGTCCATTTCAAACATTACTAGACGAAAATGAGGAATTGATTGTCGTTAATGGGTTCTGGAATGGTGTTTGAAGGAAGTAAACTAGACCGGTTGTCGGTCATCTGCCAAATTAGTTACTTTATTAAAGATTGTTGGATATAGATTGTATAGATTGCTACTGAAGCAACTTATTATGTGAGGCATTAGCAAAAAAGGTGTTTCTAGTTGTTCAGAGCACATATGAATGCGATCATCAAATGAGGTATCTCAAACAACACAACATAGAACTTGATATAAAGCCATTCGTGAAAAAAAACTAATAAATGCAAAAATTTTTTTCTGTTTGTAAAGATATGAAAAATAGTGAGTGAGTCTTGTAACAACTAAAAATCCTTCAAATGACATACACTTGTCATTTGAAACAATTTCACTGTAGTCATTGTTTTTGAAAAGCACTTAAAAAGGGGCAAAGTATCTCTGTCCAAGCCAACATTTCGAAATGACCCTTCAAGCAGGGTTAATCTCTTTTTATGGTTATGCACAGTGAAACTGAAGGTTAAGTGAAAACAAAGTCTATAGCTCTGCTGTTTACGTTGTTTCCTGAAGTTGGCTCAGGACATGCAAGGCGGGGGTGAGAGCAACTTACGCGCGTGCCGACTGAGTGAAAACAATGGGCCAACACGTGCCTTTTACTATCCAGTTTATGTCTCATTATTAGGTGGTACATGGTTCGAGTCAGGTCCTCATAGCATTTGCCGATTTTTTTCCCCTGTGAATGTTTGTTACTGATAGGGTCTTTTTAAGTGATAGTGTTATTTGCTTTGAATCTGGTTGGATGTTTTTTAGATTGGTCTGTTCGTGAAAGGGTAAACTGACTAATTTTTTTTCTTTATCAGTTCCTTTTCTATCTTTCTTAATTTCTGTACATAGTTTCAAGTTAGATGCAAACAAGGTCAAAGACCTATGGCGGCGTAGAGCGATACTTGTTAGTATGCCGGTTTTATCAGTAATACCAATTTGATTTTTTCTTTTTGTTTTTCCCTATTTCAGATACATTTCATTTTTGCGTTTTCCAGTTTTTCATAAACTACAAAATCTCCTCATCTAATCTTCTTTCGACATTTCATGGCTCTAACGATAGGACGACCGGTTAACTGCGGCGTGTTAGCCTGTCCACACGTATCGGTCCGTATTCGTTTGAAAAAGCAACTTTTTTCCCCGTTTTCAAAAAAATTCGCGTCCCTCGTAGCGTTTTCGCCAGTCCACACGTATACGATGAATCTATTTCAAAAGGATAACTTACCCGACTTCGCATGCTTGACGCCTACGTGTTCGCTATTATGAGCCCGCGAAATAATAAATTGGCGCCATCTTTGAATTTCTTTGGTGTGGGTTTATATTGTTGTGACGTTCTTCAAAGTCGCAGAAACAGTTTTTAAACTGTTTCAAAAACGACATTTTAAAAAATGTTAAAATCAGGGCAAGAACAAAGTCAAACTGGAGGGAGATCCAACCTTCCGCCTCTTGACACCGGCATCGAAAGTAACCTGATAATGTCCTGCCGCCTCCTGGAATAATCAGCTTGAAGAATTAACAAAGCTGAATTTTCTTGAAAACAAGCAATTAGGTTAGAAATAAGCCCAAGTATAAAAGACAAGAAAGGAAAGCGCTCGTCCGCCATGTTGAGTAAGTTTTTGCGCAGAGTCGATTGAAACTGATAGTGTGTCCTCAGCGTTTTCGAAAAGTTCCGTTTTCGTCTGTCCACACGTACACGCGAAAACGGCGTTTTCAAAAAGTTCCAGTCTGGAGAGCGTTTTCGAAAAGTTCCGTTTTCGTCGATCGTTTTCATTGGGTACGTGTGGACGGAAGCCGTATCCGTTAACAAAAAGTTGCGTTCTCAAGTGAAAACGCATACGTGTGGACAGGGCTGTGGATTGATTACATACAATGGCTCTGCGCGAATGCCACGTGCCTGTACATCTCAGCACATTTTTTGTCAGCACGTTTTGTTGGCTCCCTACAGAAACTGCACCTTAGAACATGAAAGAGAAAATCTAAATCTAAATCGACGCTCTCGGTGGGGGATAAAAGACACTTACTAGTGACCCTGCAGGACAGAGCGGCAGTAGTAAACACGCGAGACAGCGAAATTTCTGTTCTTGATCTTTCAAAAATTAAACACCTTAATTGGGAATGAAGTCATACGCGGGTCACAGTTCGCCTTTCCCAGATTCAGTCAATACAGCCAGCAATTACCCCCACGTCTTCCACAACAGAAGTCACGTTTTCTTTAATAACAGTTACAAATTTCACATGTCTGGCTTGCGGAAGTAATTGCATCTTTAGGTTTGTAAAAAACCAACCGAAAATAACCCGCGTCTTCAGCACTAATTTAACACAGCAAGAGAAAAGTTAACTTAAATGGAATTGAGGAGGAGTAGCAAAACAAAGGCAAAGTGAACTGAAAACATTCAAAATCTCTCTTCCCAAGAATTAACAGCTAGCTTTTAACGCTAAAAAGCCCAATAAATCAGATCAGTAGTTTAATCACACCAAAAAATTAAAGTAACCGTTTATCGTGTAATGACCCCTTATTTTGCTGTGTAATTCAAATGAGTTTATTTGCTCCTCATGACATCGACAACGTCTGGGCCATTAAGGCCCAGACGTTGTCGCTGTCATAAACTCCCGGCTTGGAAAATGTGTTGTGTCGGAAGCTCTAAAAAACAAGCTGAGCGTCTGAAATAGGTTTATCTCTAATGCGAATATTTCTTCGTCCCTCACAAAACTTCACATTTTTCTCATCGAGTAATAACTTTCCTAGACCGAGAAACAAACAACATCAACAAAGTCGTTAAAAAAACACTTTGTAGCAAAATCGTGAGTCGTTTGAGTAAAAAAAATAACAGAATGACGGAAGGATTTTTCTGCGGTTTCAATAGCCTGCTGACGGAATCATGAAAAAATTACTCAGCGCCTACGTATAAGGGAAGCGAGTTTATGAAGAGTTTACGCACATATTTGTTACGTAACTGGCTTAAAATTAAGCTCGCCCTCAGTCCTGTTCTTGGCCAAGACTATTTACTCATTTCTAGCGACAATTTGCTCTAGTATCCTTCTGTTTCGATTTCCTGATGATTTGAATGATGGACAGAATGGGTAAAAAATTGTAAAAACCATCAACCCCGGTTTTTCAAAAGGTGGATAGCACTATCCACTAAACAAACTGCAACTACCTTTATTTACAATATCCATTCATTTATCAAATGTACAGAGGTCTACCTACACTGCTCTCGCATTGGACTAACGTACTGAAGGCGATTCTCAATTAAGCTCTGCGAGCAACTTGTGTCGTAGTTGTGCCACGACAGCTTAAAAGTTGTTGTTAGTTCCCCATGTGCTTTCATCACATTTATTCAAATAATAAGTGGTCAGTGAATGTTATTTAAAACCACATCAAGGGCTTGCTTAGTCTTTATAACACGCGGTATTTTAACCTGATTGGCTGCGGCAGGATTGCTGCGTAGAAGATATTTTCTGAGTTCTACGAAAGTTCCTTTGTTTACTGTGAAAAGCTGAATGTGAGATATGCTCCCTTTCTGTCGGAAAGACTCGTAAACAGGACTGAACTCGCACAAGGCATGGTCGAGCTGCGAAGGCAAAAAAAAAATAGATTTGACTTAATAACTGAGGGTGTAAATTGTCGTACGAACCAAATTGTTTCCAATCGAGTTATTACGTTACGAACCAAAAAAAGGTTACAAACAAAGGAAACCTTCATTCCCCTTCCCTCCCCGTCATTCATTTTTTTTTTTTTCTTGTCCCAGGACCTCGCTTTATCAGGACTTTTTATCAGGACTTTTGGATGTTATGATGTAGGAGGTTTTGACGTGAGAGACGATGCGGTTCGAGGTTACTTGTGTCCAATAGGAGCACTAGATAACGAAATAAAAGAAAATGATTTTGCGCCTCATGAGAAGCCGAAAACTTCACATATGCCTCAAAAAAGAGTCTAAAATATCAAACAATAGGTTTTACTTACGAAATAAGATAATTGCTGACGTTTTGATTATCGCCCACGCTTCGCTAATCTGTTCTGCGTGGCAAGGTGTTAACAGGAATACAAATAAGAAAAAAGGTGGAAAAGTGAAAATGGAGGGAAGGCCGTAGTCATGTTCTCCCCCTCTCCCCCTCCCCCCCCCCGTCCCCCAAAAAAGTTCTTCCTGTCGAGCACGCTATTAGCTCGAGTAAACTACTAACTTAAAGGGAGTGTGTGATAGAAGTTGTCGAGAGTTTAACATCGCCGCCCCTTGTCTGTAGCGCAATCTTTTTAGCACACCACCGAGTATAAAAATTCTCTAACTCGCTTTATCTCTTAACTGAGAACAGCTCGGCGCTACAATCTTGGACAGAATAAAATGAAACAGCAAACCCACTCCCTCCCCCAAATCAAGGATGAAGCCGCTCAAAAGCCAAAACGTACCATTTTCCCATCCTTGATTTAGGGGGGGGGGAGGGGGGGAGGTACAAATTTTCCATCTATTTTGTCTAAGACTGTCGGAGAGCCAAGTCCAGTACTTGGTCATTGAGTTGGAACTCCCCGTACCACGTTCTCGTTCTATCGCGGTGATGGCCTTCAATCGCAATTTACATACCTTGTTTTCAAGTGTCTTTATTTCTTCATCCTCGAGTTTCCCACTACTCAACTCCAAAAACACGACATAAAAAGGCGCTGTACCCTTAACATCAGCGGTTTTCAACGCACGACTCTCGTCATCGAGCATAATACTCTCTGCGCATGTGTAATCCACCAAACGAAACCGCTGTCCCTCTTGGTTGAGCACTGACTTAAGTGCGTCGTAAAAGACTCGTTCGGAAGTCTTCTCTGCTCTGACGTTCAGAATTTGCCCTTGACGGTACTGGTACTCAACTACTGGGCAGTTGTTATGGAAACGAGCGATCTTGACAACGTCTCCAATTCTGTAACGATACAATCCGCTCAGAGTTGTGACAACGAGCTCATAAAGTTTTCCAATTTCTGTTTGCTCGGCGAAAAGCGTCTGCAAGATAGAAATAGACTGGTTTTAGCTGTATATGGAGCAAATGACATGCAGTTAACAAGGATACATGGACAAATACCCGGGCCCAGTTTATTAAACAATACCATTACCTTCGCGCAAATTTCTGGAAATAAAATCAAGATACGGTAGTCTTACAAACTTTATTAGCTTACGTTGTTGAACTCCTTCTTTCATGATAAGTTTCTTTTCAGAGAGCAAATCAATGCCGTGTGAAATGTCAGGCCCAAACACTAACCAAGAGACCACGGCTTTGAAATTTCAGCAGTAGAAGTCCCCCGTCTTATCAAGTTGTTTAACAAATTATCTTTACTTAGTTTCTCTTTGTTATTTACTTACTTTTGTTATTTTAGTTTATTCTATTTATTGTATTGTTGTTTAATCCATCTCACAGCTGAACCTTGTATTGTAAATATAACCTTTCTCCCCCGGCCTCGGTTAGTTTAAGAGTTATTTGCGGGTGGGAAAATAATTGGACCCGCTCAATTTGTCGAATGGAGGCGATTTCCTCAGGACTGGAATTCTTAAGTAGTCTATCAAGCTTCAAAAAGAAAAAAGAAAATTCGTTGTCGTATGTTCAAGTCCTCCCAGCAAGTCCTCCATAAAACGCCTCATTAGGGGGATTCACGTTGTAGTCGTGACGTCAAAGAAATGTACCAAAAAATGTGACATGTGCAGAGCTGTTGTTTTGCTCATTAAAAAATTGTTTCTTGAGATTGTTGTTGTTGTCGTGGTGGTGGTTGCTTAAGCACCCTAGTAAGGTTTTTTGGACTCCAAAGGGAAACGCCTTCTGAATACAAATGAAAACTATTAGAGATTTACTCCCTTGAGCCACTGTAATGCCACTGGCTCAATACACTTTGACTACAACATGTTAGTAAGAAAGACAGAGAGATTAGTTGTAGAACAAAAACGGCCTATAAATATCCCCTTCGCGGGAATCTGTTTTAACTTTTACTGAAATGAAAATCCTCGTCTTTCGACAAGAAATCTCAAGGCGAATGTTAAGCGCACAAAGAGATGACCTTGGAACACGAAAAACGAATAAGCAATTTTCCCACATGTGCATAAACAAGAGCCATAATGGGACTTGGCTTAAATAAATATCTCAAGGCAGAAAAAGAAAATAAGTAGCTTCACAGCAATCGAAAAATTACAAGGTGTACATACAGTAGGCTGATCTTCACTGCTTTCGTCTACAGGGATAAACTCGAAGAACATGGCCCGTGGTACCAGCATATACACGGGGTTCTCTTCTTCCGGCCACAGGTTGACTCCAATAAGCCCTTCAGTTGCGCCGTAAAATGGCGAATAAATAGGAATATCGCCTAGGTATTTCTCCTTCAGTTTGGAAGCGTAGAGTTCAGAAGAACCTATGATGCAATGATAAAAAAAACAAGAAGATATATCAATAAGTACGACCTTTCCTCCTTCAGGTGCACGAGTGTTTAAAACGCGTCAAGACAAGAAAAACTATTTCCTAACTCTAGTGTAGTGGACTAAGCGCAGTCTGTCTTTTTTCTACAGGTCCGTCGAGCCAGACGCTCGAAGGCGCGAGACAGGAGAGACTTTTATTTTCGGGAAACGTGAGAACCCCCTGTCGATGGTTTCGGTTGTTTGCCTTGTGAGGGCAATGCATAATTCATTTGCTTTGGCTATAGAAGCAGTCTCTCTTTCTTCTTCTCAGGCTGACGCCCTTGTTTCTCAAGAATAATTGGCTAGGTAAATTAAAAGAATATGCGAAAATGACAATGTGTTTTCTTCTGATCATCGGTCAACTGGTGAAGCATTCGGGCATGCGCAAAATGAAGAGAATGATGATGACGACGAATGATTAAAACTGCGTCTTTTGCTAACGCCAAGTTACATCTTTGTGTAATGTTAAGTCTAACAGTTTAAATACCTGTTGAGCAAGCAAGGACCAAATTTATATGAGGCCATATTCTATTAACAATGCCATAAAATCCTTTGGAAAATTCCAGCTTCAACTCCTCTGCACGTTTCCTGTCTGGTTTAAGAAGGTTGTTCAGTTTTCTTAAAGAGACGAAACAAAAGAACCAATGATTTTATTAAAAAGGAGAACCGATGAACTCATACCAATCCTTCTAAAATTGACTTGGATCGCTAATTTAGAAAGATTTGTATGGAGTCATCTAAGAGTAACAGTGCTTATTTCTTCGATTCCCACCCATTTGTATCAATAGATTTGTTTTTAGCTAGTGAACATTGTTCATCTTGTTTTTTTTTTTGGAATATGCCAACTTGTCCTATAATTTCACAAATTTAGTTCTTCTGACATCATTACCTTTCTTCTCTATGGTAGAAAATGTATTCGGTTGGGGTGGAGGGGGGAAGGGTTTTGTTTTTACAGAGTCCCTTTGTAGAGTAGTCAGGGGCACCCAACGAGGATATAGTTCAAAACAAATCAACATAGCATTGTTGAACATATTTTAGTATTTAAACGGTAGATATAGGCATATTTTTATCCCCTAAAAACTTTTCATCTGTTCGGATTTCCTAGCTGAAAGTCTGGTGATCCGAAAATTATAGGGATCAAAACTTACCTTTTCGAAAATTTCACCCAGGAAAAGGCTCCCGAAAATTCTAGGTGGCCTTTTTTAGGGTAAATATCCGTTTAAAATGGGTAATCATACCATTTTGCAGATGTTTGAAAATCCTAGAAGAGGCAGGCAAGCAAGAAATTTGACAACAAATGTTCCGAAAATTCTAGTTCCCAAATCGTCTTCCGAACAGATATTTTCCCGAAAATTGCCGTTGGGTGCCCCTGAGTAGTACCTGCTTGTTGGTGGCATTGTCACAAATGAGGGGGTTTCACACATGATTGTAATAATTAATGTATTCTTATGGAATACATTATTTTAGGTGCAGGTACTTCTCCTCTGATGTCAACTGGCTGCCTGGCTCCACAAGCCCCTATGGTTATTCCAGGCAGCTAGTACTCTAATTTTACTTTCATTATTTTTATTGTCATAATTTATTATTTAGCAAGAATGAGTACAAATAAAGATTGTTGTTGCTCTTGTTGTCATTAGGACTGGGTGTCTACTCATGGGAAAACCCAGGAAGTGAGATTTAAATATGATTACAGTCAAGTCAGGTCAAGAGTTAGGTACTGCTTGATTCTGCGTATGAATCTATTAGTTTAAAGTTAAATCCCGTAGTCATTGTTGTTACGAGATTCAATTCTTCATTCTTGTACATGCAATGAGCAGTGAATTCACACGTGAGGTAGTAAAAAGTTCTGTTGTTCAGGTTTCTTTTTTGACCCAATACAATGTCCTCATACATTTGCAGGAACTTTATCAATTCAAAGTGGGAAAGACTTAATAAGACCAAGACCAAAATCAGCGAAGTTTCAGTCTAAAATTTACTGCTACTATCCATGTATGAATACCAATTTGATTTTGAAAATGGTAGCAGGAATGACCATTGGAATCACTTTTTGAAAAATCAGTTTATTAATAAAATCGACTGGCGAAGTTTGAACTGGCTTTACTGCATATTTTTGAAGCCATTACCAACCTTCTGACACCATCTTCAATCTCCAAATTGGGGTTCACTTTTCCCAGTTCAATATCCTCCACCAGCGACTTCCACTGTGCCTCAAGAGCCGACAGTCCCGAATACACAATCTGTGCAAAGTTTGCTTCTAAGATACCAAGGTTTCTATCCTTTAAAGCAAACAGCAAGTGAATGTATAAAGCTTCGGGCTCTGTCAAGATGTCAAACCCTGGTTTTGGTGTTGAATAGAGGTGTAGGATGCGCTGTGAATTACTGGGTGAAGAGGAGGTTGGACCAATGGGAAGGCCTGACTCTGTGTATTGCCACCTTGGGGAGTAAAAGAACTTCAAGCTTTTCTGTAGCTCATAAGTCTGCAAGAGAACAATGGCCAGGAAAGAACTTCAAAACTTTAAATGGAATCAACTAATGAACTGTTAAACCTTCAAGTCCTCAGAGAGACCAACATCAATTTTCTCTTAACAATATCTTAACTCATCATGAAGGAAAAAGGTTATGAGAGTTACCATAATGATCACCTACAACGGAACTGAAATGCTTTGATCTTTTATAAAATTCTCTCAACTAATTCTTTTTTTTAAGGAAAGGCCATCCCCTTTTTTTCTTCGTTTGCTGTAAAATGTGTTTCCTGATATTGGGTTGGTCGGTCGGTCGGATTGACAAAAAAAAAGCAAAAAAAAATCACAAGAAGTCTTGGAATAGTAGGCCCTGGTACCGCAGGACGACGTTAAAAGTTAACCGGCATTCACATATTTGGATTAACAAAATCTACAATATACTGTGAAAAATGTTCATGTTTTTGTTCCTGTTTTTCTCTATGCTGTTACCATGTTCATTTTTCAGATTAAAATAATTATTTCAAGTGAAAAATGGTGTAACTACATCGTTAGTTTTTTTTTTTTTAAAATGCCAAAAATTTGGGTCGGTCAGACGACGGTAAACAGAAAAAAAAAGAGGATGATCAAATGTACAGAGATCAGTCTGGAGAATTTTTATGTCAATGGTCAGAAGTGTTATAAGGAACTGCTACGGTGTAACAGCAGATAGCACTGAACCCTTTCAGTCCAGTCCTAGACCAAGCTATGGTAAGTTGATTATTTTGATTCCCTTTTAGCACCAACAACTACGAACAAAGCCTGTTGAGACACATTACAAAAATACCTATTTTTTGCAGTCGCCCTGCCAAAATTGTTACCATTGCAAATTAAGAGACTGTTCCCCCCTCCCCTATTGGAATATTGCTTGTGGTAACACAAGAAATGCACACGTGAGCTGTTAGGCCAAAACAACATTGCACAAGGGGTGGGGAGGGGGGGCAAATTTGTTCTGTTTCAACGAGACGGTTGCATGTGGTGAAATTGAAAATTACATGGAAATGTCTCAACAGTTTTGTCCAGGGTTGTAGCAGTAAATCTGCGGACAAAATCCTATGCATGGCAATATCATTCACTGAAACCTGGCCTGGGTTAGTTCAAGAGGTTCACTCGTGCAATTTGGGAAAATTTTGGCAGTGGAGCCCCATTTTCCTCCCCAGCTCTGCCACAAAAATTTACCCAGACTGACACACCAGTGAACCTGCTCGCAGGCTACTACAGACCTACACATGTAGGTGCAGGTCTATTTTACTCAAGTTTACAAATGGCTATTACCTTAGGAAAAGCCTCAAACATGGTACTTATTGCAACAAAAACACCATTGATAAGGAATGTTTTTGATATGTCATTGGTAGTTGGAAGCAGAGAACTTTTCCCAGAAGTGCCTGAAGTGACACCAATCTGATATGGATCCTTTGCTGTAAGAATGTTCTTCTTGCCACAAAGGACCTGATCTATATAATCAAGGTAATTAACAAAGACACATTAGTATGTGTAATCAAATTGTTGTGGGTGAAATTAGGAAATAATTTCCTGTGCATTTTGTTTAAATTCTAATAACTTCCCTCACCTAGACAAAATGCAAGTGAAATTATTCCTTAATTTTACAAGCATATCATATGATTACCTATTAATATAATGGGTGACAAATTACATTCACAATCATGGGTTTTTGACATGTTTATCATATCAATTGTTGATCAAGAACTCCCCACACTGAAAAGTTTGGAGCTTGAATTTTCAACAAAAAACATGATAGAATCTTTCTTGATATGCTCTTTGACTTTCCTGATTTCTGAAGCGTTTTTAATGCCCAGGCATCTTCATAACATTTTTTAACCTTGATGCCATCTTGGCACTGAGATGTATGGAGCTATGTCACGGCAATTGATTTTTTTGTAATTTCACATGTGAAATTATAAATTTTAGCACTGAAATTTCATGCCAAAATTTAGGAGTAATTTGCCACCCATGATATTAACATTATATAAACATATACTAACAACAAACTGCTTCAATGCAGTCCTGAAATTGTGTCTACCTGTCTACTCCAATTATAAAGTTTCATTATAATAAATTGTTCATGCATTGTGGACATCATTGAACATTAAACTCATCACCAATAGATGAGCTTGGGAGCTGGTGCCTTGAGAATTGGTGGAGCCGGGCAAAGCTGTAGCAAGAAAAAGAGGTATCCATTGCAACCCTGCAAGTGGCCACCACCAATGGATTACTTACCACCAATACTTACCTAGGTAGGAGGGGCAATTGGGAGGGTGGAGCGGGCAGAAAATTTTAAGCAAGGCAAAGGCAGGCAAGCTTAATATGACTTGGCAAGTAACTATAAGCAAGCAAACTGCATTTATGTATCACGAGGTTCCCCTGCTGGATGCCTGGGGTCACCCCAAGCCAGGTAACAAGAAATTGCTGGCCAGCATTGTTTCTATTTTAACTTTGCCTAAATTCCATTTAGCCACATTCAACCCCTCTGTCATCATTCACCTATCGGGCATCTGAAGTCCAGCAGATTCTGCGATGACTATTGAGGTAATTGTTCTTTCACTAGGATTTATAGTCAGACAGTAATTCCATTCTTCATTCAACTTACCTGGCGGATAAGCTACATATTAAAAGCACACAAGTTCCACCTTTCTATCCACATACACAGTTTCCACTTTCTTAATCCAGACACTCTTTCCACACGTACACAGTCTCCACTTTCTTAACTCAGACACTCTTTCTTCACCTCTTGTATCTAAGAGGGGGAACATGGCTGTCCAAATTTCCCACCTCCCATTATTCTTTGCATCCCCAGCTCGAACCACTATTCTCATGGCTAATCCTCCATTTTATCCCTTTGCATCTGTAAATATTAAGCATTATTATTTTCCCTCATTTCTCCTGCTTCCCTCCCTTACCCCACCCACCCCCCATTCTTCCAGGCTTCCACCCCTCTATCCTCCTCCTCCATTATTTAAGATAACCTGCACCACCCCCCCCCCCACCCCTCGCATCCAAGCAGAATTCAATCAAGCCCTCAGCCACTGCCTATGGCGGCATAAAGTAGTGCCTTCCCTTCTACTCAAGGAAGGCCTAAAATCTCACCTATAAATTCTTTATAATGAATATGTCTTGTCAATGGATGCATGGCCACATACTGCTTTTTGCCTTCTATGTCACCAAACTTATACCTAACACCATATTCACCCGGGGGGGGTACTCCCTAATATGGGCTATATAGGTATGTGCGGCCCCAAAGGGTAGGGTTTTTCAGCCGTTTTGGTCATAAATTGAGTATCGATTTTGGCTATTTTGCCGCGTTTGCACTTTTTAGAAGAATCTTCAATGTCAAAATTCTTTAACATTGGTCTGAACTTAATTATAAGGCAGGTCTGAAACAGGGTATTGAGTTTCTTCTTGCACTTCGGCGAAATTAACACTGTCATTTTCCAGTTTTCTTCTCATTCTCGCCCCAAAAAAGGACAAGAAGAAGTACTCGAAATACTGTCGAAGCATAGAGCCAAATGAGTGCAACTCTGACCGCCTTTTACGTCGAATGTCAAGTGTTATTCCTAACGCGGAAACTCCCACAAGGCCAACTGCAGTAGCTAGGTACAACCTCGGCATGTTAAGCGCAAGTGGTACGTGGATGAACTATAAGATCTTCAAGTCAAACAGCTGATGTTTTATATTTGGCTTATGTAATACTTTTAGTCCAAATAAAATATATTCCTACTGCGTGACAAACTCGTTTCCAGTTTCTACTCTTAGCTTCTTTCTTTGAAGGAACGTTTCCCCCCGCTGCATGACAAGAGGGGTCATGTGAGAGAGTTCCTTTTACTGATCTCTCCTCCTAAAATGCCGTATACTCTCTCCCCCTTAGGCTCTAAGGAACGCCTGATTCCAAGGTTAGGCACCTCAAACCCTGAAATGCTTTGTGGAGTTGTGGGTAAACGTCACAAGAATGCTTTGTGGGAAAATGGCGCACCATTTCGGAGTAGTTTGGGCAGAGGGGCAGTAGCCCCCCACCCCAAACAAAAACGTGGGGCAAAGAGCCCCCCCCCCACCCACCCACCGATGTATTAGACAATACCTGTGACATCAGCGACTTCAGAGAGCACATTTTCTGCCCTCAGAACTTCCTACGAATAAAGCAGGACTGCCTGAACAACTACCCACTGATATATTGTCACAAATAGATTACGGACAAACTAGACATTGTGAAGATTGCTTGTGCCAACGAACAACGCAAAGGGCATTTTGGAAAATTTGAGTAGGAGTATGCGTATGGCTGAGTGGAAGCAGAATCGGCTCCTGGTGGAAAAGGCCCTGAGATGTTTTAGTGACACTCTTACAAGTTCATAAGTTGTTGTTGTTGTTTTTTTTAAGTTTTTGCAAGTGAAGTCAATTCCTAACAGAATAGCGTTCACGGCAAACGCAAAACGTTTAGTCAGTTTTTATCACGTGACCACACATTATTTCTGTTTACGTGTTCATTATTAGTCTTGTACCCAGTGTTTTGGCTTTTTGGTCACCCAGCTAACGTTGTTGTCTCGCTAACCAAAAATCCGGAAGACTCCGGGGACAAGATTGAAGTCCGACGGGAAGTCAGTTAACTACGAGATCTGACAGCAGCCCATCAATGAGAATGGGCTCAATGGGCTCCTGGATCTGACCAATCAGAGCGCATCATTTTCGTGGGTCCTTGAGCTTGGAGAAGGCTTTTGTGAGAAGTTTTTCGTCATTCACGACGGTAGGTTCATTTATTAATAATAAGTGAAGTAAGCGGCGAAAGGATCGTAAGCTAATCAGATTCATATTTGCTCCATTTAATTGTTTTTAACTGGTAACTTTTGTTTTTCTTTTCTTGGCTGTGGTCTGACCAAAAAGCCAGAAGACTATGGGTACAAGAGTTTTTACGCCAGATTCATCCATAAGAATTAATTTGGACAGTTTCTCGGATAAAAATTACAATACAAGTAAATAATTTAAAGTACTTCAGAAGTGTTTTCTGTAATTTTTTTATTCATTTCATAACAGGCAGTACAGGCTTAAATTAACGGACTTACTGACAACAACATGTAGAAAGCCGATGGAAACTATTATCTAAGTGAAACATTTCTCATATTATTCTGATTCAAATTCTTGACATCTGATTGGCTGAGAATGGGTGACTTGATGAATCAGCAATTAAAATTAGGCCGAAATTTAGCTATGGCCACAATGACTTTCTTTTCTTTTTTCCTGGTTAGTATCAAAACCTTGACTTAATTACATTAGTTTGAAACTAATATAGCTCTATTTAATATTTAACTACCTTGTTCAAGAAAGCTGCAATAGCAAAAAAACTAAATTATCAAGGAAAGCATCGCAACTTGACACTGTTGTTAGTCAGTTACTGCCTATATAGCCTCCAGTAAGCACGATTGAAGTAATTGGCATCAGCTCCTAATGTAGGGGGTCCTTTCAATCGTGACCACCCACGACCCTCTTCTCTTCGACTATTGCCTTTAAGCTTCTCTCCATCTTGAAGCATATACCTCTGCGTCGCAATGTTTTCAATAAAGTACTTGTTATCACTTACTGGCAGGAATCTCCAGTACGCACGGTCTTCGTAGTTGTCATCAGCGCCAACAACAGGCGGTGCTTCAAATCCCGTGGACTCTTGCCACCCATTTTCGTCTCCTCGATCGCCCGTAATCTTTGGACCGCTTTGAAACAAGTACCTCCTGGTCTCCACGTTTTCAATTAAGTACTTGCCCTCGCCTTGAGGAAGCAACCTCCAGTATGTTCGATTGTAGAAGTTCGAGTAAGCTCCAACCGCAGGTGGCGCTTCACGTCCAGTTTCTTCCAACCATCCTTCTTCATCTCCTCGCTTCTCAATCCTCTCTCCCTCCATATACAAGTAGCGCATTGTCTCGTAATTTTGAATGATGTAGGTTCCTTCATCAAGGAAACAAGTCATGTTGATGATGACCTATCTTTAACTGAAGAGCAGCACAGGAAAGGTTTCGTTCAGGCTCACTGACTTCAAACTGTGGCGTAGCACTTGTTGCTCGACCATTTATGGATTTCGTCTTTGTGGCTACAAACCACGGACCTATGGGAACAGAAATCCAAACTCGAAAACAGAAAACCACTAACCCGAGACAGAAACACCCAGGCCAAAAGCGAAACCCAAAACCGGTAAATGAAAGACACAACTAGAAACTAAAACACACAAAGGTGACGAAAACATATTTCTGGACAAGGAAGAACAAAAAGCAAAACAAAACAAAACAAAACATAAACATGAATAGGAAACAGAATCAAAATCGCAAAAGTCCAAAAACAGAAACCCAAAATATAAAACAGGCAGGCTATGTATGGTAATTTTTTGTTTCTTTTTTGAGTTTTTGTTTTGCTGTTTATCTTTTCTTGCTGTCGGCCACCATACTTACGCCTTCCGCAAGCTCCTTCTGATATAAGATTACATTAAAAACTCCGCAAGTAAACCGAACCTCACTACTAAAGAACCTATTAGGCTAAAATGTGATATCTTGATTCCATCTATATAACAACCTGTTGAGCCCAAAATTTTAAACAGGCTCTTAGTTTCTTAAATCAAAAATATGTACCCATGGACGAACACCGTAAGTCCTCTAGAAAGCCCCCCGGGGGGCTTTTTTAATATTTCAAGCCCATTTGAGGGAGGGAGGGGGGGGGCTTATTTAATTTAGAAAAGACGATGGTATTAGTTCTCCATAAAGAACTAGAACACAAAGTGGAAAAGCTCAAGTACAAGAAGTTGGAGGTCATGCAGCTGATTTCTGTTTGGTGAAAAAACCATCCCGGATCAGTCCATACAAAGTTTTACAGTCGTTATTGATACAGTCTACCATTTATTAGTGAAGAATGATTGAGGGATGTGGAACATTAATTTTCATCCCCTGAAGAGGGGCGGGGGGGGCTTTTTAGAGAGAGGGGGCGTATTTGAGAGGGGGGGCTTGATAGAGGATTTAACGGTAAGATAAGTCAACATTTAGGAGCCGTTTTGAAGACGCATGCGCCCTATCACTCCACCTTCAATGTAAATGCGAATGTTGATTATCAAATAATTATTTGGTAATGGAGATTTCATAAAAGGAGGAGGCTGAATACCACTTAATGCTATCAGACCATATCTGCAATGTAATTTTCCAGTAAACAAGAATCTATTTAAGAATTCAACCGAAATAGCCTAAATTTAAGTTTATTACCAGTTATGCAAGAACCAGTTTAGGCTAATTTGGGAAATTGCAGGTTCTTATTCTACTGTCTTACTTGCGGGTTTTTACTGGAAGCCGCGCACGTGATAAAGAGCGTTTTCACTCACGTGGCCAGCATCTATGCAAATTCACTGGAACAATAGAAAGCAAAACAATCAACTCCCAAAGCATTAATATTTGTTCACAGGATTGGTTTGAAACATCTATACATGGCCGCCATGACGTCATGTGAAAACACTCAGAACGCCTCTTTGTTCTTCAGTCATCGACCGCAGCGCCAACCAAAAGTCAAACACTTCTGCCCTTGGCTTACCCTGGTCCCAGAGGTTTTTCTTGATTTTTCTTCGCGAAAGAGATCAAGAGCAAACAGCGAAGCGGCGACAACGAGTCGCGAAAGCGACGAGGAGAGACAGAAAAACCTCTGGTTACCTTGACCTCGAATCTCACTTCCATGCAGACGACAGGGTCAGGATCTGACCCTCGTGCGTTGATTGGTTGATATTTTTTCAAACGCGCAAACCAATTTGATTGGCTCGTTTAATTGTAACTACCGAGGGGACGCTGAGGATTTTCACACCTCATTTTGCCTCTCTCTACTAGGGAAGAAAATTGTTTGTATGCTGCACTCGCAATAACATTTGCACGGGACCAAGGCACGTAGAGGCACGCCATGGATGTTGTTCCTCAAAGAATATTCGAAGAAATTTTGACCTCGGTACTTAATGAGCGCTTTCCCGAGTCTCACTGAGCAACAAAAGAAAGCTTTGTTCGCTGCGTTGAGTCGAAAGGATGTGTTCACCATTTTATCAACCGGACATGGAAAGTATATTTTCTGTTACAATACTGTCATTCCATTAAATAAACTAACTTGTTTAGGGCAGCAAAATAAAAAATCTCCGAATACGGAATGAAAGTTTCCTTGTAGGAAAAAAACTGACATACAACTTTGTACAAGTGCGTAATCATTTTCGGTGCAGCTTGATTTTCCTGCGACGCCCAAAAAAGATCTAACCAACGTTATTTTTGGCATTCACCTATTCGGCTAACTCAATGTTGTACCCAATTCAAATCTCCCGGGGATAAGATTCTTTGTGTATTGCATTTGCATTATAATGTGGCATTCACATTTAAATGATATGGAAATTCCTGAAACAAAACGTTTTATTCCCAAAGGGTTTGAATTGGGTACAACATTGAATTAGCCGAATAGGTCTATTGGGCCAACAAAAACCTCTGAAAGTACATTCCGAACCTTAAGGGTTTGTTGTGCTGCATGACTCTTCCTAGCGTCGCTGTTCCACAAAAAAAGGAAATGGAGCCACCAAACCAAAATGCGAGCCAGATTGCCAGAATACATATTAATATTACTATTTTCAGGGG